GCCTGAACATCTCCTTAGAGCGAAAAAGCTAGCATTAGCATTGCATACACCCTCTTAATTAAAGAACAAATTAAGAACAATCCAGCCTCAGATTTTCGAAAAAATTAAGAACAGTCAGCCTGAACTTAAATTTACTAATTAAAAAAAAAAGAGTGTATCACATTGGCTTTTCAAGAATGTGCAAAAACACTTTACATGAATCAAGGATATGTGGACATTTCTCTGAAACTTACAGCTGTTAAACAAAATTTTATTAGGGATCAAAAAATTTACTTTGTTTAGCGTGGGGCCCTAGAAACCGCGGGGCCCTAGAAATCGCGGGGCCCTAGAAACCGCGGGGCCCTAGAAATCGCGGGGCCCTAGAAACCGCGGGGCCCTAGAAACCGCGGGGCCCTAGAAACCGCGGGGCCCTAGAAACCGCGGGGCCCTAGAAACCGCGGGCCCTAGAAACCGCGGGGCCCTAGAAACCGCGGGGCCCTAGAAACCGCGGGGCCCTAGAAACCGCGGGGCCCTAGAAACCGCGGGGCCCTAGGCCATGGCCTAGTTGGCCTTTTCGTGAATCCGGCCCTGCATCTCTATGCTTTGTATCCACATGTATCATCTCGTACCTGTATGTATCTCCTAACTATAACTCGCAACTTACATTTATACGTTTTCCTACATCCTGTTGTTGCCATGGCGGCTACACTCATTTTTTTATAAGAAACTGGCTAGAAGAAACGAATACTGGACGATCAGAAAAAATTAAGAAACTTCAGAACTCGAAGCAAAAAAATTAAGAAACAATGAAAACGTGATAAAACTAAGAACAACGAAATTTTTTAAAATCCAAGAACATTCTTGCCCTCTTGGTCTAGAACTTAAGACACAAGTGATAAAAATATACGAGGGGCGATTCACTCTTGCAAATAGCGTATGAGATTAGTAAGAAGGGTTGAGCATGCCCTATTTCACGACAGGTTTAAAAAAATATGCGACCTTTTGGACAGGATCGATGAAAACCTTACATTTTGTCTAATATTTCAAATTTTCTGACAAACGTTGGATTTTCCGACTATCCGACAAAATTTTTGCCAGGGGGGGCGGCTGCCCCCCCTGCCCCCCAGCCACTGCGCCCCTGACAGCACAATGATTTAAAGATATTTCAGTCTGGTCAGGGGGAAACTTATCAGGGTGTCGGCTGCAACAGAATGGGCAATGGACAGAGATCGGTGTTGCGCAATCATAGCAGCCACAGCAGAGCATTTCGCGCCACCTAACTAAACAGACTGACTGACTGACTGACTGACTGACTGACCGACTGTTACTTCCTAAATTGATAACAGGGCCTCCGACGAAAAGAGGGTCGGGGCCATTCTCCCCACAACTTTTTGCAAAACAATAGAACTTTTCACAAAATCTTTTTTATGACTGTTAAATTTTTCCTTCCCCCCCCCCCTCCACCTTTCAAACCTAATTTGAGGATAAGCAACTGTGTCTAACATGAGAAAGTAGAATGAAGGAAATTGATAAAAGTCTGCTCATGAAGGGCAAAAATACCAAGGCGGATATAAGGTGGGTTTATGCTGTGATACGTATGGAAATATCTCCAGAAACCGAGAGAATGGCCAGTATTGTACACCTGGTCACTGCCAAAGCCAAACCACAAAAAACTTTTACAAACAGTATGTTAATAATGGTGATGGTAGCCATTAGGCCGTTAGAGGGGAGGGGGGCACAAAATAAAAGAATGATTTACCACATCCCTTTTACTGTTAGAAAATAACTTTTTATCAGCAGAGGTAACTAATTTTACCAATAAGAATTGGCTATGCATGAATTTTCCGAATCATAGAATCACATCACACAGAATACTTTCTCTCATAAAATTTAGACGAAATACAAAATCGATCCTGCCAAGAACAGGGTAGGGGAGGGGGGCATGTCACTTACCGCCCCATGTGGCGTCGGCTTAAATGGCAAGTTCTCTCCTCTAACGTGGTTTCGTGTATACAAAGAGACAACCCACATTCGCAACTACGGAAGAATCATTGGGCGTTGCACAACATCGAAATGACGCAAGCAGAGGTTGCGGAACCACACAGCCTACGGTTACCAGACCAGCTGTTCTTTTAAAATGTTAGCTATGTTGTGAAAAACAATACAATTCGTTTCACATCCAATGTTTTCCTGCAGTAAAATATTTTTGTTTTTTAAATTCCGTTAGTTTTCCACCAAAATTATTTAAGAACAAAATCACAAAAAATAGTCCTCAAAGTTCGAGCTAGCCTCAGATCCCCGCCAAATAATCAACTGGGACTTAAATGTTTACTATACACTCACTTGTGTGGGTTGATTTCAGATGACTTTAAAGTGGCTTAAATTCCGGATGTAGAATGGTGTAGAACCAAACGTTGGAAAGTAGATCTGCCGCCTTTTGCTTCAAAACAAAAGGTGTATTGTACCACTTTCGTATGATGAATAGCCGGAAGCATTCTAAGAATGGAGTTGTGAAACGAATGGTGAACGGAACAAGAAACTGTTGAATTTTAGACAAATATAAAATGCAATGTAACTGGCTTGGATATTTTAAATCTTACAGATAAAAGCAACTGTTGTAGTCATCGGTTTATCAATATGCAAGAATTTATAGCAATTTTTGAGGATTTCTTGGTAAATACCTTAGCAGACGAGATACTGTCGGACGAAGCTGAAAACAAAAGATTTGAAGTGATAAACACACTAGAACGACTCTCCAGCAATTTGAAGGTGGATGAAAATGAAGGGTATGTAGAAATGAAGCGATGTTTCCATGAACCTCCCTATAAACCATATGTAGAGATAATTGCAAATGTTGGCTCGACTGATTGCCAGTATCAAGAACACGGATCTTCGAAAGCTTGCAATTCAGAATCTGAGAATCTGTACCAATGCATTAGGGAATTTCAAGCGGATACCGATAGCGAGAGTGACGATGCAGTTGATGGGCAAGAAGAGTTTATAAGTGAGCTGAAATCTTTGCAAGGAAGAAGCTCTTTACATACCAAAATAGACAGTTTCCATTCAGGCTATTTACTAAAAGCAAAGAGAAAGCTTTTCAAGCAACATTGGGATAAGGTCTATGTAGTCATTAGAGATGGCATGGCGTTGCTTTACGAATCCGAAAACGCAGAAAGAGCAATGGAAATAATTATTCTTACTGGTTACGACATGATGGAAATCGAAGTAAAAACGAAAAGAATGGAGATTCAGTTAATACCTGTAAACAACGTCGTTAAAAGACCGCGACCGGACCATCGATTTCGTTGTGAGCTAGACGACTTTTATGATTGGCAGAAAGCCCTCTCGCCACAGAAATGGACCAAAAATAGGGATCGAAGAAGTAGACTTTTACTACAAATTGCCCATTTGTTTGACAGTTTCAGTGATGATAATTTTTCCGATAAGGCTGGACTTCCAGTAATAGAAGAAAAGTACTGTGAAGGTATAGATTGTTCTGCTCGTAGTGATAATGAACTCAAGGCCAAATATCAAGACAAAGATCCTGAAAAAACATCGGGCAGTTCGTTGGAGAAACCTAAGGAAAGCGGATCGAATGGAGGTATGCGTGGACCTGGCACAAAAAAAGCAACGTTCAGAACGCATTTGGAACAAGTAGTTAGCCAAAATTCACCTCAGTTGCCATACAGAAATATTCCACCTCGTCCAGCTCCAAGGCAAAAAAGACAGTAATACGCTGGCCCCATTCTCCCATTGTATATATAACAAAGTGATGAGTTCCCACGAATGACTCCAAAACTAGCATTAACCCTCTGGACGAGCAATTGCTTATATCTATGATCCTCTGAAATCTACATAGGATCCACCACAGTGCCCTAACACTCATCTTGATACCGTAAAATTTGTAAATGATCACTGTTACGCATTGAAACCCTGTTTTCTAGTGATCTGAAACCTGGCAACCCTAGATGCGCTGTAAATATTGGCATGCACGTGTTTAGATTTTTGCAATGGTAAAAACTTTGATTCATATGCCAGAATAACGAAATTTTACTTAACATTGTCTAGGTTTTGTCGCAAGACTTTTGATATTACGGTAAAAGCGTTTGAAGTCCAATCCAAGGTCATATCAAATTAATATTGCTTACTTTTGAGCATTAATTCATTACATTTTACTGTTTTTTATAAGAAACTCTCGCGCTTTGGACGTTCATTCGAATAAGTAACCGTTTTTTTAATCTGCACAGAATTCCTTGTAAGATATTTATAATTTGATAATCATGAGCTTGTAAATCTCAGTTTCTTTAACGCAAGTGCTTGCTGTGGTTAATTTAGAATGAGTTATCGGTCAAATTCCAAGGAAACTTATGAAGCGTCAGCCTCTTGAATATTTTGCAAAGGGTCTTTGCTGAGATTTGTGAGAAAACCTAGCCCTCAAAAAGGTTCAGCATATCTCAATTTGACACCGTGATCTGACAATGGACTGTAGCACCCTCTGCCCCTAGGTATTGCACCCCTGGTGCAAAAAATGCTAGAGAGCCAGCATTGAAAAAACAAGGGTTGAAATCAATACAGTTTAGAAATTAAAATTTCCAAAAAAATGTGCATGCTGCGCATTCAAGCCATTTTCTTTAAAATAAATGGGAAGGGGACACTTGGTACAGATACAAACATGGGTCAGTTCAAGAATTTTATGGTTCGCCCAAAAATTTAAGGTCATTCTCACACAGATTCGAGGCTCCTCCTAGAGTTACAAAAGAAAATTTGATACTAAAAGTGTGTCATCGCTATAAAATAAGAAAACAAAATAAAGCGTGGCCAAAGATCCCCCTAACATTAATGTCATCAAGATTTCATGCCATTGGCGGACGAGCAGAATGAAAATTTGTGGCCGACGGACATCTTCGGTTGTATTAGAACCAATGGCTACTTAAAAAGCTTTGACTTCAAGGCATCAGTTCCATGATCGACGATTTTAATACAGTTTAAAGGAATAAAAGAAAGATAAAAAGACAAGAAACTGCACATTGTTGAATTCTCATAAACAAATACTAAGATATTGTAGGAAAATCTTTTTTTACAAATGGATCAACTGAAGAATGATCATCAATGTGACCCTTGAATAACTTCTGAAAGTCTTTGGATTGGAATGCTGAATAAAACGTAAAGCAAAATTCAAAATCCTGCAACCGTCTGAGAAAAATGTCGCAAATATTGATTTGACCTACAATTTGGTGGTAGTTTAAACTGTTACGAAATTCGCTGAAGTAAAACGATTGCTGCTGATTCTTTTTCTATACAATGGGAAAAGCTGACCTTGACTAACACTCATGACTACAACTCTCGCTTAGATTTTTCACTTGCTCAACGATGGTAGAATGCTCCTTCAGAAGAGCTTCCAGTTCCTCTTTTCGATTTCTGGCAGCTTGCTGTCCATTTTCCTGAAAAAGAATTATCGTAAGTAGAGAAACCTTACGGCTAAACAGTCACTAAAACGTTTGTGAAGATAAATGTCATACTTGAAACACACCATTTCTTTTTACCTATCCAATATGGTTTACGTTGCATTAATCAAATTATCGGTTGCAAGCTAGGACCACAGAGCATATTACGGATCTTTGGTAAATTGTATAAAAACACTTAAAAGGACCTCCCTAGCAAAATTTTGCACTTACACTTTATTGGCTAATCTAAAGGAGTTTAACCTGCTGATCACGAATTCGCTATTTGTTTTTCGATATTTTTTACAGTTTGTGAGATATAAGCTCTTGCATTTGGACAATTGAATTTAATTAACCGACAAAAATTTTTCGGTTTTGTGACATTGTGACGCAATTTTGACGTCACAGTGTATTTCGTTAGTCTCGCCTCAAACCGAATCGAACGACGGCGATTCGCAAATTGAACACTGCAAGTGATGCTACTCTCAGTTCTGTTCCACTGGCTTTTAGTTTGAGCATTTCAGACACCAATTCTGAAGCCTTTAGTTGTTCATCGTTTCTGGAGAACAACTGAAGTGTCAATTTCGATTAATTATACGCGAGGAAAGAGCTGGAACAGGAAGCCGTTGCTTTGTGGGCCTACACAGGTGATCAAAACAAAGTCGTGACACAGCATGGACACACTGCAACCCGCAGACTTGGAATGATTATAAACATTTAATATTTTTCGATCCTAAAAAGCTCCTGCTGTAGATTTAGATGCAGTTATCAACGGAGGACCATGACTCCTTCACGCTTCGATGGAACATATACGAAATTCATAGCGAACGAGAGCCGCACATTGTGACGTCAGAATGTCACCAAACTGATTCGGCTTTTGTCGTTTATTTTCTCGGAAATGTGCAACTTTAAAGCCTTATAACTTTTAAACTAATTGGAATTTCGCAAAAACAACGACTTTGCCATAATACACGTACCAGATGCTAACTTTTTAGTCAATAAATTTTTTTTTTTTGGCTGGAGAGGCCCTTTAAGCCGAAGGTCTTTGTTTAGAAAGCTGAACAGTCATTGGAGAGAATGTTAAGGAGAACCTTGTGGGAGGTATCAACAACATAAATCATTCTAAAATAGTGGGAAATAAAGGATACATTTAAATGATATAAGCCTTGTTGTTCGATCCTTAAGTTTCGCGTGAAACTCAGTGATTTCATTACTTAGGCCAGCATCAAAAATTTACTTTGGAAGTAAATAGCAAATAAAATATTATAGCAACAGGACGCATGGCACTAACCTTATTGGCCTCATCTGCAGGTTCGATTCCCGGATCGAAATTACCTGTTGGTACGGAAAAAGGCGTGATACAAATTAATAAAATAGTTGCTAAATACACGATGGTACCGAGATATCCATCGTATCATCCTTTTATTTAGATGGCATACAAATAAAACAGCCAAATTAAAACAAAAAGAATTTCATTTTGATCATGATCGTATATCCTGAAAGAGCGACATGAAATACCTCTAAAAGTGAAAAACCAGTTACACTTGTTATAAATGGGCTGATATATGGCCTAATGAGGACGGGTTCTTTCATCATCAAATCACTGTAATTTTGTCTTGGTTAATTACTTTATAAATCAGGCAAGGATTACAGTAATCCGTTAGCAAACTTGAAATATTTTACGTTATTAGAGGTATTAAATGCCTTTTTCAGATTATGTCTTCAAAACAAAGATCTTCTAAAAATAGCATTTTGATGACGACACACATTAGTCATCTATTGTATCAATCTACATATATATCCTTTTATAACTGAAATACTGTTTAAACAGAAGACGCCATGGTCTTTATTTTTAATTTTTAATTTTAAAAAATTAATTTTGGCGCCTTTGATATTTGATCGACTGATCAATTGATTTGATGCTCAATTGCCCCCCCCCCTGCCAGCACGCCACTGATGAGAAGTTCGACGTTTGAACCAGACCATGTACAGAAAAGAAAGGTGCCTGGAAATTAGTTAAAAAACTTTTGAGGGATAAAGTTATTAAGGAACTCTCTCCCACTCCCTTTTGAGGAGAGTCTTCCAACTGATGATAACAAAGAGGAACTGACACGTCACTGGACTGGACTTTCTACCACTTTACCCGACAATAGCAGTCAATGAATATAACCAAATCGTTAAAATCTGTTTGAATAATAAGACGAGAAAAGACTTCGAAAGATTAAATCAATTAGCATCAATAGCTTTCGGGCCATCTGCTGGGCAGCATGAGATGGAAATCTTTGTGGGAAATCTATGTGGTTATGAAGCCTTTATGAATGAATCGACAACTAAATGCAATAGATGCTATTATATAGAAGAAATACAGGGATATTATGAAGTCCGCCTTTGACATTACAAATTAGATAACAAGCTTAGGAGCTTCAGTAACATGTATTTTGATAAGAAGCCTTTTAAGCTTTAAAACCAATTACATTCCTTCAATAATGAACGTAAAATTGCAAGATGTATCATGCATGGACGATAAACAATGGCTGTTAATTTGGGGCAGAGTTTTATCAAAATATAGCGATGATTTTTGTATTTCTATCCACTGAAACCAAACGAACAGACCATATAGCAAGGCATGGATGATCTCAAGACTCTCCTACTGAGCCTATTCTATTTCTAAAAGTCAAAATCAGAAAACTGTTTTTCACTGTGTTGAAAGAGAAATCGCTACTTTTGCAAGTTAGTTTGTCGCTATAAACTATTCAAAGACGAAATATAGCATATCAGTAACTTGCTTTGGTTCCAGAAAGTATGGCTACAAATTATCTCATTCTGGAACGAAAAAAGCCTGTGTCAACGGTTCCGGGGACAAAGCATCGCAATCAAAACAATATTTGAACACCGTTTTCATACTTCTGTTAGTCGGGCGTTTATAACGACAATATCGCTTCTGTATCTTTACAAGACAGTATTTGACCTGCTTGTCTTAATTTGCTCATCCATTTATCCGAAATATGAATCGACCAAAATCTTTGAAAATCCCTTATAATCTTTTTCAATCACCATGTCAACAGATAACAACAACAATTTATTGAGTAAGCGATTTTAACTTTGCCTTTCAGCATGAGAAAATCTCATTTCTTGAGCAATGTGGGAGTTTCGGTAACTAGTTTTGGCTTGAAAGACTGTCTTTTGTTCGAATGGAAAAACGAAGCAGGCAAGTAAACTTTTAGAGGTGACGGCAAGGAAACTTAATTCACATTCTGAAAAGATTACATTAGGGGTCATCTCAGAAAATTTACCACTGGGTAGGAGCAATCCTATCGTAAATTGTATTCATAGGCAAACAACGAGAAAAGCAACCCCGACTGAGTTTTACCCTCACCTATATACAGTCATTTTCTTTTTGGGCGCTCTCTTACGTGAGAAGATCTTAAACTTGAATGAGCTCAAAAGAATTCCCCATGATCAAACAACGATTCGCACAAAGCTTACAGATTCAACAGAGCTGTAGCCTGCGCCGCAGACCCAATCCTCCAAAGAGAGTTTTGGCGCAGGCTAACAATGCTGGTAAACATGGTTGGGTGGAAATGACATCTGAACGAAAGCAAGATTTTCAGCACAATTTAATTGCGTATAAAACTCTGCATAAAACTCAATCTAACAGTCATTATTTTAGAAAAAGTGCAAACTAAAATAATTCGCATCGGCTTTAATAGAGTAAATACTACGCAGAATGGAACTTCAAATTCCACCCAAGATGGAACTTGCTCTTTTAATAAAGTTGAAGTGTTAAAATTTATTACAAGATTAATAAGAAAATAATTGAAATCGACAAAGAATATTAAGAGCATTCTCCCACGACAATGAATCTATATTATCGATTCTAATTCAATTGTTTTATTCCAATATCTAGAAAACTAGGGTTAAATGTCATAGCATATATCTATTAAGGAGATCGGTGGCTGAGCCGTAGATTCGTTCTCGATATGAGTTAGGCAGAAAACGTTCTCGACTCATTATATACTGTATAGACATTATATTTGTTAATGAAGTAAGAGAGGCGAGAAAAAAGTCTGCAAGACTTTTGTTTAGACAGAAAAACAGAACAAACATTAACCAATGGCCTTAACCAGTAAAAGGTTTTCATTATGCCAAGCCTGAAGAAACTTTTGACTGAGAAAGAAATCTTACAAAAAAGGCAAGAAATCAGACATTTCATCTTGGCTTGGGTACAGATGCATGTTCAAATTCTGACGTCTAAGAAGCTACTTGCCACTCTACGTAAAAGCAACAATGGGGAGGGGGAAGATATGTAAAGTTCCACGAAGATATTTGAAATTCCAGTTATGAATTCTCTGTTCTGTATCTTACTACTGTCATGTGAAAGCATTTTCTTTTCAAAGAATGCATAGTTTTTCTTTTAACCTCAACCCGACAAGACTCTTCACAGCCTGCATCTTCTTGGGGAAACAATTTTACTTTCGTTTGTCAATTGATTTTTTGCAACTGAATTATTTCAGCAAAAACAACCAATAAAAGTTTTTTTGCAGCAAGTTTAACGATCTATTTAGAAATAGATGGAAATGTCGACCAATCGATACCTTGTGTGGTTTTCTTAGGATTAACCTAATGAATTAAATTGTTTCAGAGGACTTGATAAAAAATTACTTTGATCAACTTAAAAAGTACTGTTTTAATATTGGAGCTTACAACTTGCTCTAGATTGGTAAATATATTCAGTTCTTTAGCTCTTTAGTTCTTTTGATAATACTTTGAAGGAAAACATCATGACTTAAGAAAAAAGTAACAGGATTTCTTGTCATTTACAAAATTTCCCCATGAAAATTTCACGAAACCATCGTGGAAGTATCAAATTTTTTAGATCATTCACGAAACTCATGTTTCAGATTCCTGTAAAATGTATGTTCCTAAGATCATTTTCATAAATTTCTAACTACTTTCTGGGTTGTTGAGCTTCAATTATTCAGTTTAATTCATTAACAAGAAGTTCTTAGAAACACAGTTGATAGAAAGTAAATGAATACAGTATGGTGCCAGGAAAGCTTAGACAAGCAAAGATTCTATTACCGAAATTGGAAGTGTGATTTTAAGAAGAGTGAATTTAACAAAGTATGACAATTTGCGAGACCTCTTTATCACAAGAGATAATACATTCAGGCTGACAATGTGATGGGAATTTCAGTCCCCATCTTATTATCTACCTCCAAGCTACCAAAACTGAAAAATCTCCAAACACAGGTCAAATCCAACCTCCACTTCTTCAGTTGTGAAGATTATTCGACTCGTCACAGAGATAAAGATGGCGTCATTGCCAAAATCAGTTCACGATTCCTTCAATGATTGTTATGTTCGAAAGAGCCTAGGGTGGCGAAATTTCTTCATAAAAACAACTTTGCTGAAAAACTGACAAATAAAGGATTGCATATTGATTAAAGATTTGAAGGCTAGGTCAACTCAATAGCGACTGATATTGTCTTGCTCTTTATGACAGCAGGATTCAAAGCCGTAGAATAATTCACACTTGAATGAAGAGTCATTAAAATGCTGATTGCAGTCAATCTGGGATGAAAAGGATTTAAAGTCTGAGCTTACTGAAGTAGTGATTAAATAGTCAGCTTATGTCAGAAACGAAAATAATGAAAAAGATGAAAACACGAGATAGTGAATTTCACATCTTTTTGAAAGCAAGAAATAAAGTTAAACAATATTACCAAAAGAAAATAAAAAAGCTAGCTGTTTGATATTTTCTTACTAGCCCGAATCAATGAAAATTTGTTAATCCGTATCATATGATTCAAAATCTCCACGAATCTGTCGAAATCTGTGCTTATGGTTTCTGTTGCATTGGAGCATAATCAGAGGTTTAATTTCTGAGCACTCAATAAGGATCTGCTATTGCTAAACACAACATAGCATAACATAACATAACATAACATAACATAACATTACATAACAAAACATAACATAACATAACATAACATAACATAACATAACATAACATAACATAACATAACATAACATAACATAACATAACATAACATAACATAACATAACATAACATAACATAACATAACATAACATAACATAACATAACATAACAAAACATAACATAACATAACATAACATAACATAACATAACATAACATAACATAACATAACATAACATAACATAACATAACATAACATAGCATAACATAACATAACATAACATAACATAACATAACATAACATAACATAACATAACATAACATAACATAACATAACATAACATAACATAACATAACATAAACAAGCAGAGAGTGCGCTCTTGTAATTAATAACATTAATAAAGAAATAAGGATTTTAAGTTAAGAACAAAATAACGATGAAAACAAATAATGATTTCCCATTAGTATTTCCCCTCCCCCTACTCAGTGCTTATAGCATCATGCTGTCATTAAGGTTACACCAAATATAAGAGAGTAACACAGATTAACACATTGGATTATAGCAGCTGTTATAATCACTTCTACCTATTGAATGTTTATCGCAAAGAATATTTGTCTTTCCTGTTGAACGCTACACAGGCCAGCTTATAGCATTACCTGAAGATGCATCGCAGAAAATCGCATCAAATATGCGAATTCGGTATACTCGCCATAAGGGTGTTTTTATTTGGTACGGAAATACCTAAGAATCAAGTTTTCCCCAAAACTCACCAGTGATTGATAATTTACAAAATCAAAGGCATATACACTTTGTTACAATATAACTTTGAACATGCGAAGAAAACCCCGAAATTTTAGCCTGAAATTGCTTCTCGTTAACAGTTTGGGATTTTGGTAGAAAGAAAGGCAGCTTTTGTGTGCATGGGTCATTACAAGCAAAAATGAATGTTGACGAATTTAAGACCAATGGCATATGAGATTATAGAATTACCGTGGCGAGAATTTCGAAATAAAAATAAACGCTTTAAATGAAATTAGCATTAGGCTAAGATGGAGACTTTGTTTGGTAACAAGTAATCTATTTGACCTTAATCTTGACAACTCGATATTAAATGTAATGATATCATAATATTTCTGATGAAACTGAGCTATTGAAATCGCACTTACCGTCTTTCGCTTCCCTTTTTCGATTATATTCGTATATATCAGCATTCACGTCCTCTCCTTCGTCTGTTGTTACGTTGACAACAACAACAGTGACATTTTCAAAACTACTGCTTTTGAGTTCATTCATTTCTGATTCACGTGTTGAGTCTGTATAAGTGTGATGCCTATGAAAGCTGGTCGCTGAACTGTTTAATGGCAAACCAGACCTGATTTCGGCAATGCGATTTTCATCGGTATCCGAAACAGAACTAGAGATACTGTTTAGATCCAGGGCTTGCAAATCGATACTGTCAACCATCGAACTTTGAGTATTGTGGTCAGCACTCGCCGTAATGTTTTCATCAAGTGCCACTGCGCCAGCGTCACTGTGCTCAATTTTACTCGGCGGATTCACAGTTTCTTGGCAGATTTTATCACTTGAAGCCACCTTTTCTCCAACAGAAGTCAGTTCACTTTTATCGGCTCTTTTATGCGATTCAGATTCGCCTTGACTTGGATCATTATAATCACATTCTGTGTCACTATCTCCTCCAGATGTCAAAACACGATTTCGCTCGGTTAGAACGTCATCCGTTATCTCCCTGCGGTCAGTCCTTGCTTCACTGGATTGCGGTTCTGCGTTCGCCTCGCTCGTGTCAAATCTGTTCTTGCTAAGCTTTAATTCAGCACGTCGACTAGCTTGACTCACTTGTTCAGGATTATGCCGTAACTGCGCAGGAATAACCTGCGGCAGCAGGTCCTTATGCTTTGCAGATATAATTTGCATCTCATTTCCTAAACGAGGTTCTGGAGTAGAATTTGGCGCTCGCTGATTCCATTGTGAAGACGACTTGTAGACCATTGGCCTTTTGCTTTTGGGAGATTGGTTAGGCCGGCAGTTTGTCCCGTTCGCAGAATTGTTCAATGAGTCCAACTGCGGCGTGCGTGGAGGCTGTTCCGGAAATTGTTCTGGGTCAAGTGTGAGAACTGCAGGAGCGGTATGAAGGGCATTCGACCTTTTCATATAGTCATGCTTTGGCGAGCTGAACATGACTGGGCCTTCGACAAGTTTCCTCTGTTGGAATTTCCTCGAGGAACTGCTACATTCGCTTCTGAAATACGGTGCTGGAACAATCGGTAACCTTGAAATTAAAAGGAAAAGTCATCAGATAGCCATCTGTAAAGTTACGATAAGAGGTAGTCATTCATAACAAAGAGTTAAAAGGGGGCATTCAAAACATAAGAGGCAGTTTCAGGGCGTCCGTTTAATTCTACATACGTCTGGGAGGGCTTTCATTCGGGAGGGTATTTAAAAGAGGGGCGGCTTTTCATAAGTAAAATTTGAAAGTATCACGAATAAATTATATACTGCAACCTACTATTGTAGTCAAGGAACAAATTTGGACTTCAATTATAACTGGCAAAGGACAAAGAAAGGTTGGGTTGGTTCTTCAATCAAAAGGCAACTCAGTTCCTCAGTATTTTCTGATAAATGCTCTCTACCGACGAGATGGCTTTGAAAAAAATTGGGGCGTTCACTCGAAGTAAAGGGTGAAAAAATCAAGCTACATTATCAAAGTTTAGTCACAGAATAGAGATTCTGTGGTTTAGTTAATTTGCGGCAAATGGCAACATAGAAAGACGTCATCTTGCAAAACGGCTGATCTCGGAAAATCTGCTTACAGTATAAATGATGCAGGAAAGAAGGAAAATGTATGTGCAGATGCAAATGACTTCAAAGGTTCCGAAACGATCAATGAGTATTTTATTCCTTTTACTTTTCCTTATTCAACGAGTTGAGAGTCTCGTATTTATACCCATTATAGTCGAGAAATAAAGCTATATGAGTATGCAAAGATCCAATGAAGTTAAGTATATTGACGACGTTATAAAGGCTGCCATTTGAAGTACATTCAAATATGCAGTTCTCTGAATAATACACCCTGAAGAATGCAAATAAAAGAATGATTGCGGCGGTTAATTGCAAAGGAATGTCTAGGGAAATTATGGATAAATTGCAGCAGTTGGACATCATTTTACGTTTTGCCTACGTAGTCAGGTTTTGTAGTTCAGATAGAAAGCGAAGAGGAGACACAAAACAATTGTTCTTTGAGAGTAGAAAAATTCTGTAGAAAAGTTTCATGGAAGAAAAAGAACACTAAAGAGACATAGGTTTATTACATTTAAATTTGTTTCGTTTCCAATTTATTTTAAAGCAATTGACAGATACTAAAGAGGCTTAAGCGATCTTTCAATCAAAAATTGGCCAATCAGCGAGTGTGATTCCACACACAAGCTCATTGATTGGCTAAAACCGATTTGCAGATGGCTTAAGCCATAAAGTAGGCTGTTGAGAAATAGCTAAATTACAGCTAGATGATTCCTACTTAAGAGAAGGGAAGAAAAAGAAGGGCACTTGGAAACCCCAATTTTGGAAGCCATAAAAAGATAGTGTTTAAGTGAAGGATAAGTAGATGTAAGAAAAGGTATCAACTTAAAATAAACGAGAAAAAATCATTTAATAGTATGATTTTTACAAGAGAGTTAAAAGCATAAGATATAGACGCCGAAAGAGCTGCAGAGCAGGGGGGGAGCAAAGCGTCAAGAAAAGGGCAAAACAATAGAAAAATAAAGGAAATCGCTCCCATGTGCCCCGGTTTTCCGGCGTTCCTGGACAAGCATTGGAAAATTCACCTTTAGACTATACATGTATAGAACTCTAATGGCAGCACTACAAATTCAGAAAGTCTTATTTGGTATCTGGAAACAAAGACAAAAGGAGTCTTAGAAAACAAAATATGCAAAAACCAAATTCCAAATAATCAAGGACAATAGATCAAGAAAAAAAGAAAATTTCTTCGCTACAATAATCATAATCATAAAGTCTGGGCCGGAATAAGGTGGGTGCTTGAAATAGGGGACTAAAAACATACGAGACTTTTCTGAAGCTTAATAGGCCCGATAATGAGTCATTTTTGTGTTGCAGCATCAGCACGTTTTGGTGCTGATGATGTTTTCTTGGTGAAGTTCTTGACAAAATTTCAAGCTCCTGGCCTACCTTGTTTTTCTGCAATTTCTCAAATGTAGAAATGAAAAATTCCTTAAGCATAATTAAGAAAAAATAAGCATCATAATTAAGGCATAATCAGCATAATTAGAGTGATAGAATACGCCAAATAGGCCAATTCCACATTATAAAAGTTTAGTTGATTTGAGCATAAAATTTAGGTCTGTTTATAACAAAAATGCAGTGTAAGAATAAGAGAGTCTGCCGGCAAAAATTTTCGAGCTTCTTGTTGCATAGATGAAAGAAAGCGTTCAACCGCATGAAATCAAGCGTCTAAGAGAATTGAGACCATATATGAGTTGAATTCTGAACGGCTTTTGAAAATAACACGCTTTTAGCACGTCGCAGCTGTTATGGTGGATGCGCCACAATCAACAGTCTTAAAATTAAACCAAATAACAATGTAAAGATTCACTCATCTTCGGGATTCTTAGCGGACCACAAGCGCATCTTAGCCATAAACCCAACACATTTTTTCTATCGAATGAGATTATCCCGTTCTTAGAAATTACGAAGTAAATCGCGAAATGTATCCATTATTGATTGAATAATCCCGTACACAGTAACTGACTTACTGCTCTTTGGCAGTTTCCTGGCCCACCATCTTTAAATCTTGCTAAAAGATGCCACCGAAACTCTTACGTAATATTTTCATTCCCGATTTTTTACAAAGAATGGCATTCTGGGCTTGTTTTAAAGATCGTTTTTCATTGGAGCATCTAAAGTAGATGGAGGGTGTTAAACGCATATGATTACGTGGAAAAAATAATATTCTATTCCGAAAAAAGTACGGAAAGATCTTTGCATACTTTCATACGATTCAGAACCACACTCTATAGCTGCCGATTACCTTTCACTATACAGATCTGCTAGAAAACCTTTGTTAAAATGCTTACATACAGGATAAAAGAAACATCCTATATGAGACTTCAGACAATCCACGACAAAATTAGCATTACTGAATTAAACTGATTACGTTCTCAAAAAATTGCATTGAACAAAGATGCCCGCCAGACTTATAGTTGAATTACTTGGGACTTACACCGCGCAAGAATCTTTCTGTTACGCTGTTGGAATTTAAAGTTTAATGTTGCTGGCTTAAAAACTTTACTCTTAGAAAATTTGGTCTTTTGCCACTGGGCAGCCATAATAACTTAGTGTTACTGTAGAGGCAATGTGGTTTCGTTGACGTAACATGTGCAATACAAAATATGGAACCAGCCACCTGGAATGCTGTATCTTTACAGAAATGTAACATCTTAGTGGTCATAATACTCAGCTTCGTTTAAATGGGTGTGAAGAAGGCTTATAAACCGAAACAGATGAAACGATTGCCTTGGCCTCGGTAAAATCTTCACGTTGAAATCTCAATGCTTGGCTTCGAAATACTTCACTCATTTTATGGAGTTGTTTGGCTCAGTGAAATGAAGGTTTGTTTTTGAAGCAGCAATCTCCAGTTCGATTCAGCAAAAAGGTTTTGTGGCATGGTTTTTTACACTCTTGTGGTTTAATTAACTTTATGTTTTAATTGAGTTTTACCTGAAGGTATTTTGAGAAACAGCTCCGGCCGAAAGACATTCGTTCTTAAAAAATGCATATAAAATGTATGACAAATAGTATGACGAATAAAGAGAGTGGTTAGTTTTGTAGCTGACAATGAACAAGATTGGCAAAGTTCTTCTGGCAACTTGTGAACTTTCGATTCGTACGTAAGCCCACTGGACTGAAACTTTCCACGAATGCATTTAACAATTGTCCACAAAGTGTGCTATATCACTCACTTTTTATTAACTGGAACATTGATTTACAATACCACTTTCAGGAAACCAACAGCGTTTGCTGGGTCAGTGCTTTTCACAACCTTCTACAACAAAGTTACTGGGAAAACTAGCACAAGAAAATTTTTCCTGGTAATATTTTTGGCTGTTGCTAGATGAGCCCCCACCTTCGAACAAGCCCCGATCCTCGAAAAGTCCCCCATTTGAGTAAATTCCAACTTCTGAATATTCTTTTGCAAAATAGGCCCCTGGGGGGTTGTTCGAGAACTCACGCCTAGATAAGCGTATGGTTGTAGGACACGGAGACAAAAATTTTCCAGCAAAAGCTATTGACTAACAGCACACTAACAGCACAAGAGGCAGATTATTTTCCGTTAAACTCGACAAATTACAAAACAATGGACCTTGCCCTCTGTTCTCAGGCCACGACACCACTCATTCACTCATTCACTCATTCACTCATTCACTCATTCACTCACTCACTCACTCACTCACTCACTCACTCACTCCCTCACTCACTCACTCACTCACTCACTCACTCACTCACTCACTCACTCACTCACTCACTCACTCACTCACTCACTAACTAACTCACTAACTAACTCACTAACTAACTCACTAACTAACTCACTAACTAACTCACTAACTAACTCACTAACATCTTCAACGCGGTAGAGCAACGTATTCATCCGAAATTCTAGGCGTCTAGAAGATCCTGATCCATCTTGCAAAGAGCTTAAGCAAAAAGGAGACAAGGTTTATCTCCACTTAAGGTACCTGGTATGGCAAAATGTGCAGCTGTTACAAGAGAGCAGTCGAAGACGCTGCAACATGATGGCAATTCATTCGAGAAGCTTTTGAGATAAACATTAGAGAAGCTTTTGATTTTTCGTCATTGTTTTACCAATGTTCTCTATATATCGCTCTTATCAAACATTTAAGTGTATATTAGTGATAATTTCATTAATTTAAGTGAGAGATGACATATCGGTGTCACATCATGCACCCCGTTTTCTGCCTTCTTTCATGACTCAGCACAAACCATTGTTTTATTCGTAAAACTAAACAATTTTCATGTACAGCTTCGTTTGGGTATCACCCCGTTCGGATGTCACTTTCACGACTTTTTGAGCTCAGATTAGGCTTTCCGTTGCACGTGATTTCAGACCCTCTAACGATATTTAGTTCGAAACCTTATGAGGAATCTGACTGCAAAAGTCGTCCCGGTTGAAACTTTGCGTCCTCGGTTGCTAACCATAGTCAAATTTCTAATAAAACTAAACTTTATAGCGACTCAAAAACAATGTCACGAGCAACCAAGCTTGCCATGAAAACGCAAAGGTAGACCGAATTTCTAGTCCTGAAGCAGAATATGTATTAAAAGGTTTAGTACAAAGATGCTTGAAGTATTTTTCAAAATTAGGCCACCAATTTATTGAATGTATACACTGAAGGAGGAATTGTGCCAATAATTAGCTGTATTGAAACACGAGATACAGCAAGTCTCCTTCATTGCTCCATTTCATCATATTCTATAAATCGCCCCGGTCTTAACGAACCAAATTATGGAGGGGTCGAAAGCTTTTCTCATATTCCTAAAGCTTGTAATTTTCTTATATATAAAGTTTGAACAGTCTCTTACCGCAATGACACGACTGCTGTTTTTGACAAACCATGAACTTCAGGCATGGTTTCTAGTCCACAAAGCCAATGACCTCACCACTATTTACCTCTAATAGGATCAAAGATCGTTACTACGGCGAAATATTTTTAAAAATGCGGATTTGCTACATGTTTTCTCACTGTATGGAGGTGACTAATCTTTTCAATTATTTATATACTCAAAGCCACAAAGCAAAGAGGGGAAACTCATAGGTATGATCCATGGACTATTCTTCTAACGCCCCTACCCATAAAAAGCTAGAACACATACCCCTTTGCTAGAATAGAACAAATACTATTCATTTCTTATATGCATGGAAAGCTGCAAATATACCAGTACTTACTGCTACCGCATGACTCACTGGTAATTTGTAGAACTAGTAACTAAATGGTACGTAAACACATTGGTACTTGCATTGATATCACCAAATGGATGTAAAGTTCAAACACCCCTACCATCGATTTCTATCTAATCTAAAAATACAAGTAGATGTCAATGGCATCTTTGAGATAGACAATGCTGATGACTTTGCGTCGCCAGGAATTGATTGAGGTGCAAATGAAATGAATTTCATCCTTCCATTGTTTTTGTTGTGATGACGAGAGGGCCAAAAAATTATTCAAGCAGAAATATTCGACACATCCCACGCAGCAAAAGCTAAGTGCCACAAGAAAAGCAAAAACTTAAATGCCAAGAGAGGATGATGAAGATCTTTTAAATAAATAGAATGTTTATTAAAGTGCCAAAAAAATGAAAGAAGGGAATTTATGTAAATGTAAAATGGAGATAGAAGGAAAACATCTGTAGGTTTTTCAAAAATAAAAACGGTAAGGTACGAGAACAGAGTCACATTTTGAGAACTTTTGAATTTTTGCCAAATTTACTTATCTAGATGTGCAATAATAGTTAAATATGTTACAATTTTGCACAGATATGGCCATATGAGCACTGGCTCTTTCCCCATCAAATCACTGTAATTTGGTTTTTGTTCTAAATTATTATTATACCAAACTGTTAGTAATCCGTTAGTGGACATCGAATCTTTCATTGGCCTTTTTCTCGCCCAATATTGAACATGTCTAACTGATTTTTCAATTTTAGAAAGGTCTCATGAGATCAGATGTCAAAACTTATAAAAAAAATTTTTATGACGTCACACTGAAACTCTATATGCCTTGAAGCCAGATACAGTAATAGAAGCAACGTTATGGGAGAAAAAGATGAAGCTATGGTATGAACAAAACGAAGTCATGGTCCAGATATAGAAGATTGTGACTTATTCCATTTATCAGTTCGTAAGCAGTTTGACGAAATTTCAACGTCCAAAAAGCAGATAAGACAAAGATGCTTTGATAGATCAGAGTAATTACACACCATTTGATGCAAAGAACAGGACGGTTCTTAGCTGCTACTCCAAGCTACACGCTTAATTAATGCAATCATCAAGCAATTGTAATTATTTGTAATTGTTTATACCCATTTACAGGGTAATAGACCGGTCTCTGGTCTTCTACAGCATTCAATGTCATTGCAGAAAGTGGATGGAGAAACTGAAATTGATGCGCGTAGGTGATAATATTGGGAGTTAAAGGGGGATATTCAGGTTAAATTATCTGTGCATAATATTCGTTGAGAAAAATCCATCAACTTTCTGCAACGACATTGAATAGTGTAAAAGACCAGAGAGCGGTCTATTACCCCGTGAATGGATATCTGATTTGACCAGGAGCAGCTATTGATAGCGAAAGGCAGGCAGTAGTCGATAGGTGATGATGTTGATGCGTGTTAAATGCATGCCTGATATAGTAAGAATGCGTGGTACTGATTTATTTTCCACAGTTCATTGCAATAGGTCCAAAAAGTTCTGAACATATAAACTTGTGCAAAAAGCTACAAAGCAATGTGTCCCAACACAGCGATGAACTAGTAATTATGCCACTCGTGCTTCAATGGGTCAAAATAGTATTAGAATAATGAAAAAACTATGATAATGCCTAAAAAGGAAGCAAAAGTTTACATCAAAGGACGGTTCCAAAGAAACACGAGAGGAAATGTAACGGTGGATTGATTCCTTGTTTGTGAAAAATCAGCAACTGCTTACCCTTTGCAATAATGCACTTAACAAAACCAAGCAAACTTTCCTAAAAAATGAGCAAGCGAAAGGTGCGCGAAAATGCTTACCTTTCCGAACCACTATCTGTTGATAAACTTCTCAGTCGGGACATACTACTGGTTGTTGTCTTGGAGGCTGCTTTGGGGAGATATCTAGGCGAATGCGGGTTGTTGGCTGAGGAAAGCATTTCAACTGGACACGAGGCTTGGCGACTTCTTTGGTTTGGAAAGGTTTGATTTCTGACTATTGTGCGGATGGGTTCCGCGTTTCCCTGCAAAATGAAGAAAGTGAAAATCCACCATGACCTAAATACTCAAATTAAAAAAAAGGTTAGCAAGGAAAAAATTTGATTCATAAAGCATTATTCGTCTAGGAGAAAATTTGATGCCGGAAAGCACATTCATTTCGCATAGTCTTAAGCAATAGCCTCAAAAGATCTTTTTGGTAACAACGCATTTAACAAAGATAACCTGATAAATGATTTTCTTATAGCTGAAATTGCTTCGCAGTCTTTTGCAATGTAAAATTAAAAATGCATATAGGAAAAACACTGAAAAAACTGACAAAAAACGAATGATGAAATAGCCATTTAAAACCGCTTTACACGTCTACCATTATATTCTCACCACATTAATGCAACCGAAACAAACTTTGTATGGACGAGATATCTGTTTAAATCTCTTTAGATTGGATAAGATTTCCTTTCCACGTGGATTTGAATCATTTGCTAAAGGCCACATTTTGATTCACCGACACTTGGTCCTGTTACTTCATTTCTTAATTGCTCGGTTTAACTTTCGACTGATGGGTTGGGAGAGTTACTGAAAACTATAATTTTAGGAAAATGAAGTTACAGGGCAACATTCAGTAACGAGTAAAAATACTCGAGTCACTGAAAAGTCATTGGATGGTTCTAGAAAATGGACCGTTATGTTACACCATCCTACAATTTTAGGGAGCGTACATATTTTCTGATAACTATCTTATTATGAGAATTAGATTAAGGCTTCTGATACAATTTTGAAAGTACGTCTCTTTTTGATATTTAATTCACCTATATTTTGTTTTCATTTTCTTATTGTTCTGTTCATCAAACGATCTGCAGGTTTGCCCGCTATAGGAAAATGAAATCGCAGCGAATATATTGAACATGAAATTTAACCAATGCGAACAATGACTATCTCTAATAGCCATGCAGTTTAAAATGCAATAAAATTGGTTTCTTAACTATAACAACTTGATCGATAAAACTATAACAACTTACTTGAAATATTCTTTTGTAGCATTTCTCAAGACCAGAAACATCTTTTTGAGACAAGGCCCGCTCAATATCTAAAATCGCCTTTTGATGCCTGGGACTTCTAGATGAAGTCAAAGGTGGCGCTGATGAGCTACCGTTGCTCAATGTGTAGAATCTGCCAATTTTCCTACCAAGATAAAATAAATCTCAACTTAGTCGCTGTCTTGAGAAATAGGTGACTCTAAATAGAAAAGCTTTTAGATAGTGTCTAATAGAGATTATAAACTTATTTAGCATCAAAAGTATGCTGCGATAGTGTACCCTAGACTATCTTGTATGTTGCAACCAAAGGGAAATAAATCGTATTGTATGGCATGTATCCAATTGACAGGAAATCTCCAGCTTGTCAAGATGGCGATGGTACTGCATCAGATAAAGGAATTCGAGTCAATTAAAACCAAAGGTATAGATAAGTTTTCCTTTAGTAGACTGCATCCGTCAAACGCAGAATGGAGATTGGGGAATTTGGTCACCAGAGAGAGTAAAAGCAGTCTACCAAGCTGAATGACTACTGACGATGATGCCAGAGATCCTCATCAGTAAGATTCGGAGAGAAACTGCTTCAAATAAAGATAAGAGGGAAGCCATGACGATTATAAGCTGCCATCATGTCACCCTTAAATTGATCCCATGAAATGCGAAGTTCCGAGTTGCTACTTATAACCATCTTGTTCTACACTAAACCATTGAATAAAAGATGGTGACAATCGATCTTTACTGCTAATCATTTCTGGTTGAAACAAGTTGCAAAAGAAGGAATGATTAGGGTTATTGCATCTCACTTCCATATCAATTCTACAAGGAATGATTGGCAATTCTCCCAAAAAAACTACAGATATGAGAGAAATTAATATGGAGTCTATTGTTTATCAGTTTCAGATATTTCTGTGTCGCCAATACTAAGCGTCACTCAAATATATTTTAATAGATGGAACATTATACTAACTTTGTCAATGATCGCAGCTCAGACATTGTTGGCGGTGGTGAAAATGGTGCCTTTACTGGCCTTTCTTGCCTGGCTTTGTCATACTGCTGTGAAAGATAATATCAGGAACACTTACTCAAAACTGCCATTGCTTTTTCTTTTGTATTTATAATAAAGCTACCAAAATTGTTAGAAAACAATTTTTCAAAGGCTAGTAAAAAAATTCACTAAACAAATAATGGGAATAATTTACAGCTTGCACTTAAAGAATAATTCAAACCTTATTTGTAAAAACTCGGTATAGATGACTTCTTGCTTGTTAGTATTCTTATAAGCACTTTTTCAAGATATTTCGAAACAAAGTGTCCTACAAATTTCCTATACATGACAAATCAACAAAAATATTCCCCATATTGTTATCAATTGAATGCAAAAAAATTTTAGTGGTCTTTAGAGTTTGCCAAATCCCAAATCTAAGAATCACTTTTGACACTTAGCCATAATGTTTTGGTAACAGCACTTATTACGTAATAATAAGTCTTGAGAGCACGCGTCAAAAGAGACCAAGGGGGCCATGGACCCCAAGCTTTTTGCGAAATCGAGGATTGATGTATTAATATAGATAAAAAATTTGATAAAAACCTGAATTTCATTCAGATAAGGCTTGAAACGATAGGTAAGGAAAAAACAACCCCCAACCAAATCCCCCCCCCCCCAAATCGCTAAAAGCCTTTATGTTTATCGAAATTCGCGGTTCATGATTTCTTTCAATAAGAAGATTCTTCCTCCATGATTCCCGTTATAGTAAAGCGTGAACAATTTTTTGTGGTACAGAATTTGAAAATGGCTTTGAAAAAAGCAAACATTTTACAACATACTAAAAGCTTTTTCGTCTGACACTCCTCAGAGCATAAAACGTCAGAATAAGGTTCCGAAAGAACACGATGAAAATAGATACCCAGTTGTGGATCGAAATAGGCCAATCAGAAAAACGCAAGCACAAGACCGGAATAGTTGACCAATCGCGACCAATCGCGAGCCTAAAGAAAAATTGCCAATGGAGTCCAAGAGAGAGAACTCCTTCTGTCTATAATGACGACATGTGTCGGATAATTGGCAGAGCCCGGTCGTCCTTCCATCTAGCAGTTTTGGAGTCGATCTACATACAAATGAAAAAGCTGCCATTGTGTAGACAGAAGGAGTTCGTTTTCTCTCTTGGACTCCATTGGTAATTTTTCCACAAAAGCAGGTATATAAAAACAATTATTTGAAACTGTGTGTGCACTTTGTGTCTGACAAAAATTCAAGCATGCAATCGATTATCAAATATTATCTACACTTGGCAGTATCAAATAAAGAAAGATATAAGGGCAATACCTACCTTAATATTTGATGGAATAAAATTGCCTCTACTTGCACTTGTGAGTGGCTGAACAGAGGAAACCTGTCAAGAAACACATTACTGAATACAAACAACATATTGCTTTAACAAAACATCAAATAACATAATTTGGTTAACAGAAGCTTGCACTAATTTAATGAAAAATTAGATACAAAGAGACCTAAAGAAAATCATCTTTACTATGCATGTTTTTTCGTTAATTTTATGAAAAAAATTAATCATTACAGAAAGCAAAGATAATTTGCCTCAACTTGACAAACATTTATTTATAAATAGTAGTTCATGAAATTGACTAAAAAGCTATCAAAGATTAACTTGAACTATCATCTTGAGACAAACTGCAAAAAAACATGCAGCTATCTTCTCTTTAAACAGCAAGGATTGATGTAAAAATATTTATAGAAAACCTTGTGTTCATCTTTCTGCGTTTGTCCTTTGCCATATCTTTGTGGAATCTTATTATCAAGACTTTTCAAACTTGGCTGGCATTCAATCTGAAAAATAAATTTTATAAACCTTTTGCTTATTGACCATAACTCGGCAATTAAATTTGATAAATAAACATATCAAAACATAAATCAGAAAAAAAGTTATTGCTAATTAAGTCAACCTAAACAGGTAATGTTACCCTTACAATTGCAGTGAAGGCTGGAAAGTGCATAGGAACTTCAAAGAACAGTGATTCTTCCATTCTATACTTCAAGGGTTCTTCAGGATGGGGGAGAAAATGAATTTTCTGAATTAACTTAAAAGAATAAAATAATTTTTTAATTGCCCCGCTGTTGGCCTCTTTATAACCCACATTGTTCTGAAAAGAAAGTAGTTAGACAAGATGATCTTAGGGCTGCTTGCTAGCCAAAATGACTCAAAGTTCAGAGATTGTGAGAGAAAAATTTAATATGTGGAAAAGGTGGTTACAATAAAACTTTTGTTGCTAAAGATGGATTTTTAGCTTTCTTTAAAAGGAATCAGAAATTCTTCTCTAATTCTCATACCAGGCGACAACTGATAAATTGCCACCTGGGGAAAAATTAAGTCTGTGCTGAAATATTGCCTGAAATAATATGTATCAATTGATCTTCTCTTCCCAGCCTCTCTATTACTCTTTCTATAGCTATGAAACAAAAAACTCTTGAACTCATAAAAATCAAAGAGGTCTGCATATTCGCTTTTCTCTCAACAAATGCCAAAAAGTTCTAAATGGCTTCAAATATAACTGGCATTCACAGTTCTAAATCATAGATTCCTAATGTTCTGTTATAATAAAAAAGGCCATGCTGACACTTACTAAGTCATGGAATTGCTCTATTGAGCCTATTCGAAATACAAATCCAATTTGCCTTTAGGGGCCTCCCTAAATTATGTACATAATTCTTTGAAATTTTAGTTTCTGAGATCTGTCAAAAATTTGTTTGAAATTAATGTAATGCTTGATAATCTTGAACCTACTCCTCCCCTTCTGAATGCATATCCTTCAATGGTCCTCCCTTTTGTTAAAACACTGGAGAAATTCGTATGTTAGCAAGTTTTATTCTTTATATGCTAAGAGCAAATGTAATGTAAGCAAAAGTGAGAGATTGTGGATTTCAAAGTTACCAAAAAACATACCAAATCTATGCTGTGGTTTGGTTTCAATATTTCACCAAAAGAACTCCTTGATCTTATAACCTTTGGTGGAAATCCATTTTTGAACTTTATTGTCTTCGTTTTTGATTTCTCAACTTGAATTAAATGCTTCTGATTTGATGGTGGAACCATCGCAACAAAATGTTTCCTCGAATGGCCAGCAGGAAATTTCTAAAAGGAAAGACAATTTCTGGCTTTCAATAGAGGTTTAAGAATTAAAAACACATACAATTTATTGTCAGTTTAGAAGAATGATCCTTGCAATTTATAAAAAGTTGTTTACAAATGTGTCAGATCTCAATAGTATTTTTCAATATTAATAGAAATAAAAGAATCTAAATGATAGAAACTTGAATCCAAATTTGTTTTTCAGGAACAAGATTTTGGAATACGTGTTGAACAGAATAAGAATCAAGATTGAAAGCTTCAGGGTTTCACAAAATAGTTGCCAAGTAATTTGTTGACAATTAAACATGAACTGTAGAACTGTAGGAAAGAATTTAATAGGTCAAGAGCTGGCATGTGCGCTTCAACTGTCTGTATTTAATCAAATACAAAAATTTTCGTATTATTTGTTCATTTTGAAGCAGGAAGTAACTTTGGCCATAATCCTGAAGAAACAATTTCAAAATTACAAAATTAAATGAAATGAAACATGTAAACTATTTGCTTCCTTTTGGCTAAGTCTGTTCACAAGATGACAGCCTTTTAGCTCTTTAACTAAATTTTTTCTGAGATACCTGCAGAACCCTCCTATCTCTAAGTAAATATACAGCTGGTGGCAAAGCTATTTAGATGCGAACAAATGTGATAAAGAGCACGCGAGAGATTTGAAGGGATATATATTGCAGTAAGTCTTTTTAATTAAAAAAGACAGTACAACACTAGAAGTTAAGAACTTTCTTATTTATTCATAAAAGCGACCTTCTTTGAATGATACGATGAAATTTTGAACGTTGAAAGTTCATGGTGCAAGATGCAAAGAGGATTTGTATATCACGCATACTGACATGTGAATGGTCATTTAACTGTAGAAAACAAACCTACCCGGCTCACTGTTATGGACAACAACCAATTTCAACCCATTAATATACTGTGCAGACTGTTGTAAACAAAGCTTTGAAAAAGCCACAGCATAGATGTTGGGTTACCAAGTACGCAGATTAAGTTTTCCTAGCAGCCATGTCATTAATCTTGACAACCACAACATTTACTTTGTGTACACAGCTATTGAAATCTCACAGGGGAACAAACAATTTCTAATTTCAACAAGCCTGGTCTCCAAGGGGATACACATGAATGATAGAACGCTTTCCAAAAAACCACTGCTGCAAGCTTTGCCATGGGACATCCGATTTCAAATAAAATCAAAACCATACTAACTCTTCAAAGATATTTAGCATTAATGGCATTGTTTGCAGAAATTAAAGTGTCATTACACAAAAATCTGTGTGAAATAAAAATCTTTTTATTTCGAAACAATCCCTGAAAAATCCTATTGTTTGGAAAGAGTTATACACCCCTCGACTTGAGTCAATTTGTTGGTTTTTTCTTCTAGAACAACATTATGGCATAATGCAAGAATGTTGCAAATACGTCAAAAATGATAACTGCATTTTTCAAACTTGCACTCTACTCTCATTAATTGGCATATTATAGAATTGAAAGGTTTAAGGCTAAACGGCGATTCCGAGCAAGGTGTTGGTAAAATAGCGTTCACAAAATACAAGGACACTTCTAAATTCCAAACACTTTTTGTAAAAAGTGTTATTAACTGCAATAGATGTTTAAACTTTGTTTTCAAGACCGACATTTCAATGAAACTTTCAAAATATAGTTTATATTGTTTTTTGCTTTGAAATCCTTTAAAGTAAGGTACAGAAGCTCTTTGAAATCGTGCTTCTAAATATACGATAAAAAGTGCATCGAGAAGGTTGGAGCAGTTGTCTGCTGTCCAAAGAGCGACATTTTCGCTGTACAAGCTCTAGTTCGATTTTCTGTCCCGTGAATTAATATAATGTACTCATTCGTGAAAAACAATTCCAGAATGTGCAATGCTGAGAGATAAAAGTCAGTGGAACAATAGGTTTGACGGGGAAGATAAAGTCTTTAGTATTTTTCAGCATCTTTCTCCATAGCAAAGAAATTTATTTACCTTTTCTAGTCTCGATCGCCTCTGAATTTTCATACTAAAGCACGCAGCTTAATTGTTTCTTTCTTTCAGGTCACTTTAATCAAAGCAAGAGCCAATTCACCAGGGCCCACGCCACCCGGGGGGGGGGAGGAAGGCGGAGGGGCAATGGTCCCCATTTAGTAAAAGCTATCTTATACTCGGGCTATTCGGGCAGAAGACGTTTTGTGTCAAATTTCCAGACCTAAGGCAGGGTGGGGCTAGGAGTTTGACAGTGAAATTAACACCTTGGTTTATGTGCACTGACGAAATTTGCAATCAAGTATAGTCTGGAATAGTATGAGATGAGCAAAAATTTAAAATGATGGCGAATCTAACCACATTTTAACACAAATAAGATTAAAACATTGAAAGAATTCAGACGAATTTCATTTATACATTTCTCAAAACCTTGCGTTGAAAAAGGTTTTGCTTAAAGCACAAAATGACTTTATGCGAAATAAAACCCACCGCATGCTACGCCATTTAAACTGGGCTTCTATCTGGAATAAGCCCGAGCTTGGAATATATTTGGAAATAAATTTCTTTTGTGTCATTTGAGTTTGCGATGAGGCTCGGGTTAATTAAAGAGCTATTGTGCAAAATTTCTACTATACAATAACACTTATCCTAGGCGGGAGGGGCGCAAAGAGAAAGTCAGTTTACAACGTATTGCAATCTATTATTACTATCACAACTAAGCCCGTCGCCAAAAATATAACGTAGCGCGTCACTGTCATTACAACATAGCACGTCGTCTTTATCACATCGTAGCGCGTCGCCAATATAACAACGTGAACGTCGTTTTTTTCTCAACATAGCGCGTCACCTTTATCTCAACGCAGCATTTCGGCTTTATCACAACGTGGCGCGTTGTCTTTAGCAGAACGTAGGACCTCATCTTTATCACAACGTAGGTATTTATTACAACGTAGCGCGTCGTCTTTATCTCAACACAGCGCATCGTCTTTATCACAACGTAACGCGTCGTCTTTATCACAACGTAACGCGTCGTCTTTATCACAACGTATCGCGTCGCATTTATCTCAACGTAGCACGTTGTCTTTAGCACAACGTAGGACGTTGTCATTATTACAACATAAGGCGTCGTCTTTATCACAACGTAGCACGTTGTCATTATCTGAACGTAGCCCGCCGTCTTTATCTCAACGTAGCACGTCATCCGTACATCTTTTCAAGACTAAACAGGCATATCTACTTGTGGTCGGGGCTAATGGGGTGCAGCTTCACTTGTTAAGATTTTTAAAAAGAAGCGGGCTCAGCCCACTCACCATTTGCACTTGGAAACAGGAATCATGAAAAGCATAGAAAGCTGTGACAAAATTTTTGCGTCACAAAAGGTCTCCTTTTTACAACTGAACCCGAAAAGAAAGAAGGGTACAACTGGCAGACTCAAGTGCATTTTAAATTTCAAAAACATGAATGACATTAGAAGATGTGGAGGGATGGTTTGCAAATTTGGGCTCGTGGGTAAATGTTAGGTTTTGATCTTGGCCTGCCGGTAATTGTGAACCATTTATCAATTGTGAACCATCACGGATGCAAGTTGGCTTTACTCAAATGGATATTGCCGCTTAGGAAACTCTCATATTAGCCTAGACAAGGGTGCGAGGAAAAGATGGTTGTAGCTTTTGATAGATGTTCGTTAAAAAATCCCCGCATCTCTCAAAATCGTTGGTTATTTTTGTTGCTCTTTAGTCTTTTTACCTTCTTCTTCTTCTTCATTTGTCTCTCGAAGAAAGCTTGTGAATAATGCCTAGTATATTTAGGCGAATCCTTTAAGAATGTATCAAGGCTCAAAACGAATATATCCCAAGAATATTGAGGCTGAACAAAATTTAAAGTATTCTTTAAAATAGAAGTGTATACTGTACCATGGACCTACTACCACTGGCGTAAATAGTAAATGTATTTTTTGAAGAAAATACAGAAACTGTGTTGTAAAATTTCATACCACGGATCAGTGAGATGAGATGAAATCAGCTTGCGAAGCTTTTTATCTGAAATTTGAAGTAGATGATCAAAGTTTAATGATGGAAGTTTTTTGTTATCAACAGTTTGACATAAAAAAATTCTCAGGCTAATGATTAACTAAAATAACTCACATTTTAAGACCTCCGTTTCCTCTTTTCTTTTAATGTCTTTTTCAGTAACTATTAGAAAATCGAAATGAAGCTGTCTATTAATCTAAACTAACATTTATTCTTTATTTATAACAGGTTACGCAAAATATAAGTCTAGTTACACAAAATAAAACAACGTGTGTTGTTGTGTCTCCAATTCGTCCTTGTTTACCGAGCAAAAAGCACAAAGAGGATAAAACTCAATTTCTGTGAAGGTCAAAAGTTATAAGCTGTTTCGTGTATCAAAAATAATAAGAACAAAAAGCTTACGTCAAAGAAGGTCAAACAACCAAATTTAAAAAGCTGCATCAAAGAAAAGGAAATAAGCGATTGACCATTTATTGTATTAAAGATAAAGGTTCTCCTATGCACGAATACATGAGCGCCAATGGACTTAGTAGCAAAACAAAGGGTCACAAATTTGTTGGGGGGACGAGCAAGCTATGCTCAAAATGTCGTACCAAATTTTCATTTTTTGTATAAAGTCGTTATTTTATTGCATTAAATTTTGCTCTTTAAAAGAACAACTTACATGTTCAACTAAATTTACACCTGTATAGACGTAAATGAGTAAAGCAACTCTCCGTCCTGGTGTCAAAGAGCATGCGTAGTAATGACATCGCTCGATGCAAATGCTCTTTGACACTAAGATTTAGATTTTTCACTCGTTAAAAGTTTTTCTCTTGCACGTCTCCCCGACAAAATTTGGTTACGAGAACCCCATGAGAACAATGGGGCCTGAAAATAAAAAGTCAGAAATGACAGGAAATATCGAGCCGATTATAAAAAAATAAAGGAAACATATCTAACCTTTTTCACTTGCACTTCACCAAGGTTCAATAGCGTGCCAGATCTTGAAAACATAGACAAGCCTGTCGAAAGCCAGCTATGACACTTGTGCAGGGCCAAAGCCTTTACACAAGCCCTTCTTGAGACGCTTCGGAAATTTACCCCGGCTACCCCCACCTTCTCCACAGTGCTGAACACAGATTCTTCGGTCGACCTCTGCCTTACTTGTTTTTGCACTTTTTCTGTTTTTGTTTTACATTTTGATAAGATGCAGACTGAATATGTGGATATGTTGCAGGCCTCTCATGCCTTCAAGAGCCATGGACAACAAAAGCAATAGCGAAGGGCTGTATTTTATCCTGTTCGATGAGGTGAACTGGTCCTGTTACAAAAAGGTGGCATGGATATGGGTTATAAGTGTTTCTGTGGTCCATGTCTCTAAACCAGTCTAGGTACACCGTGGATAAAGGGAGGGTGAGGTGATGTGAGCCAAAGTAAGACAAGAAAACAAGACCATCAGACCAAGTAGTGTAAACACTTGTTAAAATAAAGCAAAATCCAGTTTTACAAGAAAATATATTATAAGAATTTCTTGATATTCAACATATTGCCGAACGAACGCAATAAAATACTTGTGTAAATGTGCAAAATCAGCTAGATCTGTTACAAATTGCATGAGATATGACCCATAAGTAAAAGCTTGGCCCGCCTGATCGACGTCCCTAACAAAGACCTATGGCTCGTGATACAGAAAGTTTGGTTAATTCCTATATGTAAAGATGCAAAAACAAAAATTACCCTGGTAAGTAAATACCTGAACCAAAGTTCAATAATCAAAAGTTTTTGATTAATATTTGACAATATTTTTGATTGAGCTTGGCAGTATTCTTTCGTTTGGGAACGTAGCCTTCGACCGATGTGTATGGCATCCTATCCTGGGAAAGCAATTTTTGATCTGTATCTTCAAATGCATCATTTTTCCGATTTAGAAATTCATGAACTTAACAGTTGGCAGCGTAGCAGCCATTTTGTTACAGATTATCTGCGTAAGGGATGGTTGAGGGATTTGGCAGAACCACATCGAGGAAGGGCAATTGCACCTAGCCTCTCTGCCAGCACACCACTCACAACTAAAATTAGACAGCAATTATGCCACTATGGCAGTTACCTTTCCATTGATTTTTGTAAGTTGTGGAATTCTTAAAGTCATAAACTGAAATATACTGAGCTCAACTAAAGCTGTTTGATATTTTTTCTGTTTAAATATTCAAAGTTGAAATGAACCTTTTTATTCTTTAACCACAAAAACTTGCTCGCAAATTCTATCTACAAGTTTAATTACAGCACCCAAAATGTCAATAAATTTTTCTATATAATTCTGTGTTTCTTTGTGACATCTAAGAGACAATATTCAAGTGAAGGGAATGAAATATATATATATGTAAACTTGAAGTGATGTACAGTATGGCTTCCCACTTTCCCATCCTTAAAATGCAGTTCCTTGAATTGACCTGTAGTTAAAAATACTTTGTTGTAAAAACAACACGCCAATGTTGAAATCAAGGCGACGTGCTACGTGCTAGTTATTGCGCAGTCTTATCTAGACAATTTTTAGCACTACATTATTCTTAGGACGGTGCGCTACGTTTCAATAAAGGCAGCACGCTGAGGAGCAAATGCTATGGGTCAATAAAGTTGACAAGCTCTGTTACGTTACGATGAAGACGACGTTCTATATAGGACAATGCACTATAGGACGTAGAATTTAAGGTGACGCGCTGCATTGTAGCTTAAACGACGCACTAAGCTGCAGTTAAGGTGATGGACTAGATAGTAAACAATTAGTCAATTCAAGGAACTGCATTTTAAGGATGGGAAAGTGGGAAGCCATACTGTACATCACTTCAAGTTTACATATATATATATTTCATTCCCTTCACTTGAATATTGTCTCTTAGATGTCACAAAGAAACACAGAATTATAAAGAAAAATTTATTGACATTTTGGGTGCTGTAATTAAACTTGTAGATAGAATTTGCGAGCAAGTTTTTGTGGTTAAAGAATAAAAAGGTTCATTTCAACTTTGAATATTTAAACAGAAAAAATATCAAACAGCTTTAGTTGAGCTCAGTAAATTTCAGTTTATGACTTTAAGAATTCCACAACTTACAAAAGTCAATGGAAAGGTAACTGCCATAGTGGCATAATTGCTGTCTAATAGAACTGGGTATGTGCAAATAAAATATAAAATAATGTGCAGTTTGTTATAATTAAAGGTGTTTCAGAAAAGGAGCGAAGATTTTAAACTGAACGGATCTTGCAAATTATAGTTTCTAGTTTGGAAATAGTTGCAACTGAAATTAGATTCTGTTTCTCGATATATTTGAGACAGTAGTGACAATCGATCAAAGTCTTCCCTTTACGCGGAGAAGTGAATAATCGGTATGATCTTTGGTCTTTAAGAACTTTTCAAAAGGTCTGACAAGCGTAATTGGGGTTTTTTTTAAAAAGTTTACAAATTAATGGAACTACTTAATTCAGCGACACGGCTGCTAGGCGGTTTTGAGGAGAAATACAATGAACAAAAAGTCAGACCGTTTCCCTACATTTAAGCAACCATTTGAGGAGGGTCATTATGACCATTTTTATTAATTTTTTCTTAACCAGAACTGTGGACGAAATTCGAAGGCAAACAAAATTGATTGAATAGCTCCATAAACGATCAATAAACTTACCAACTGAACATTCCTGGGACAGTTGTGTAACGATACCTGTGTAATGAAAATGCAGCATAGTTAGAGTTTGGTACATAAACGAGACACGTGTGAGCTTGCTTCTTAATTTCGACATTAACTCCTCATTCCCTGCCCAAAGTTTGTCTTTATCAATCTGTTTAAGGTACAAGAGAGGTACAATTGGGCGTTGTGTCTCACTCTAAAACAGTGGCGTACTCAAGGGGGGGAATAGGGGTTACGGACCCCCCACTTTTTTAAAATATGGTCCTCGAGTATTGTCCAAAAACGATGTAAAACTCATTGGGGGGTGGGTAGTATACTGTATGCTTGTGTCAATAACAATTGTAAAATACTCTGCTATTTACCGTAGCTAAAATGAATCAAATAATGAGGAAGAATTTGCAAAAAGGGCGTTTCCCCGCATTTGCGAGTGGTTGAAGGGCGTGGTCGAAATAATTATGGGGGCTACGCCCCAGACCCCCCCCCCTGCTAGAGCCCTGGGTACGCCACTACTCTAAAAGATCTTTGTTTTTTTTCAATAAGTTAATGCAATAGCAAAAATATGATTTATATGGTAAGAAAGGTCGATCATATAACAAGCATAGAAGGAAAGCTGCATCAAAGACTTCTATGAGCGTTGAAGAAAATCAGCCTTGTATTTTTTTTCTCGTTGAAGTTCAATTGCATTTGAGCTCGTTTCAGCTGAACCAAAAGAAAGGGCAAAAGAACAGGCATGCCAATATTTATAAGAGCAGGTGTTGGAAAAACCTTAAATCAAAGTAAAAAACTGTCCATAAGAGCCTGAATCTGGTTTAAACAGTGCACTGGCCCTACTACCACTGGCCTTGACATTTACTTACCCAAATTTTACCCAAACATAACCATCATTTGTTAATTGTGAATGCAATTTATTCAAAAATATATGACATTACATTTGACATGAGGGGCCTTGGAAACAATGAAATGTAGGGTTCAACTGAACATGAAAATAATTTCAACTGAATATTTAAGAGCAAATGAAAATATTTGATGAAAAATGAATTAGGAACGCCCTAACCTGCCTTCTTAGGGGGGCACCCGTAGTAAAAACAGATGGGTCATGGGTTCTGTCTTTAAGGGGAGCACAGTTTGCAAATTTTCTGATTACAATTATGACGTCATTTAGCGCATACGCAATTTTTTTGCAAAAAGGCATGGCAATCTTTTGCAGCATCATTTTTACAGACTTCAATAAGTAAAAAATATTCATACATTCGATCATCATAGTCATCAGCAACTTTGATGAACAGTAAAGGTCGCGATAGGACTAATGATTAATATCTTAAGCTGCTGCTTGGGCTTCTGCACGAAAGCGTTTGACTCTAGACTCAGATGAGTGGATTCAATTGCTCGGGGTCGGGCTTATCTTGCTTGTTTGGTAAGCTGTTTCCACGCTGTTCTATTCTCTCGTCCCTCCCTCCCCTTTTGATATGAAGCATAGTGTGTTTCTTCAACTTCTTCTTTATTTTATGTTTCTGTTAGGAGTTAGGACCTATCTACTTCACAGGATTCTTTTCAAAGTTCCTGTTGATTTTCGTCCAAGATAAAATCAGCTCTAAATTCAGTCATATTTTCTTTTCCCTTCTCATGTCTTAGATATCCAAGGTGGGACTGGGGCATCGGCTCCCTGTTGGAGAAAAGTGACTTTTCTTGTCCATAATTTGCCTAAAACTTTAAGCTGCTTGTACTTAAGTCAATCAAGATGTATCAAAGGTTAGTTTTTGCATGGTTTATGTGGAGCAACTTGTGCCGATGCACCAACGGCCCTATGTTGCTTCCCGGATAAGGAAATGTAGCCTCAACACCTGATATGTTGACAGATGTGGCAATGTCTTCCGAGGGAGCCGAACCATTTTATTGGAATTGATGGAATTATTTTGTTGATGTTTTTCTCCGAGTAAGAAATTAAAGATAAATCATCCCCTAGCAATAAATAAGGACGAGGAAGAAGGGAAGGACGAAGACAAGAACGAAGATGAAGATGAGAACGAAGAGAAAGACGAGAACAAAGACGAGAGCGAAGACGAGAAGGAAAACGAGAATGAAGACAAGAACGAAGACGAAAATGAAGACGAGAACGAGAGCGAAGACGGGACGGAAGACAAGAACGAAGACGAGAACGAAGACGAAGACGAGAACAAAGACCAAAACGATGACGAGAACGAGGACAAGAACGAAGGTGAAGATGAGAACGAAGACGAATATGAAGACGAGGATGGGAAGGGAAAAGAGGGAGAACACGAATGAAAGCTATAATTATCAGCGGAATGAAATTGTCTATGTAGATGGTTTGATACAGTTTGCACTGAGTGCTTTGCTTTGGCAGTTTTGAGAACATTTTGCGTTAGGAAATAAATGCTTTGAAAAGATAGCCTGTTTCAGTATATACATATTTATAAAAAAGTGCAGTAAACTGTTTTCCAAACGAGTTCTGTCCAAAAAAAAAAAAAAATATATAATATGAACATTTTATTGGCGGTACAGAACTTGAAAATGGCTTTCTAAAAAGCAAACGTTTCACAACATCCTACTTAAAGCTTTATCGTCGGACTTTTCTCAGAGTATTAAACGTCAGAATAAGGTTCCGAAAGAACACGATGGGAAATATATACCCAGTTGTGGATCGAAATAGGCCAATCAGAAAAACACAAGCTCATGACCGCCAAAGTTGACCAATTAGTGCTGTGTGTCTATAGAAAATTACCACTGGAGTCCAGGAAAGAAAATGAATTCCTTCTGTCTACACAATGTGATTCTGACTACGTAGGACGCACAACCCACAGATTGGGGGATAGGATAAAACAACATGTTCTTTCCAACATAAGAAACAAAACTGCCCCGTAAAGAGAACACCCCCTTGATCTTGTAGGTCCAAAGACACAGTTAAACTAATGACTCTGCCATCGAACAACGCCTTTAGCCAGCCAAAATTATGCAGAACTCTATAATGACGACATGTTTAAGATAATTGGCAGAGCCCAGTCGTCTTTTCATTTCGTAGTTTTGGAATCGATCTCCATCCAAACTAAAAAGCCACCATTGTGTAGACAGAAGGAGTTAGTTTTCTCTCTTGAACTCAAGCGGTAACTCTCTATAGGCACGTAGCACTGATTGGCCAATTTTGGTGATCATGAACTTGCATTTTCCTGATTGGCCTATTTCGATCCACTGGGTATATATTTTTCATCGTGGTTTTTCGGACCCTTTTCCTGACGTTGTATACTCTGAAAAGTATCACACGAAAAAACTTTAAGTAGTCTTTTGTGAATTGTTTGCTCATTTCAAAGCCATTCTTAAATATCTAATAATTTAATGCCCCCGCCCATTTTTTTGCAAAACAATAGAGCTTTTCACAAATTATTTTGATTTGCTTATTAAAATCTCTCTTGTCCACCCCCATTTTCCAACCTGCGTCAGAGCTCATGCAACTGAGTGTCAAATAAATCATGCTCAAAATTTATTTAACCCTTTCTTGTCCCATTGTTGATCGCAACCTGTTTTTTACGCACTAGAGCTTTAAAAAGGGGCACTCGCATTTACTTATACCGATTGGCAAGCTTGCCAGTTCCTGTGCAAATGTATAGATTTGGACCGACAGACTGTAAAAAACCACGATTTTTACTCTCTTTAGAAAACGTTTTCTGTTTATTCTTTCCTTCATATTAATTCCTTTGAATTTTCTTGCTTTTCTATGAACTAAGAATATTATTCTGCCGAACTGATACAAAATTTCCGACAAATTACCGAATTGTTCATGATAGGGGGCACTTACCCCCTTCCCTCTCAGCCACGACACCCCCCGTAAGACAATAGATAAAAAAATAGGCGATGAGTTCTTGATCAAATATCCGCAAATTCGTGAGCGCATGTGGATTTCGCTTTAGTTTATGTGAACGATAAGGCGAAGAATTGAATGTCTAAATTAACTGCAAATGCTGAACCAATAATATAAAAGCGAAGGAAACAAATCTAACCTGTATCACTTGTCCTTCATCAAGGTTCAGCAAAGTTGCCAGTAAGAAGATAATTCCAGTCTATCAAGATGGTGTTTGTAGTCTAAGAGCTAGAGATATCTCAGCAAAACGAAACAACTACTTCTGAGAAACAATGAAGAATCTAGAATAGTCACATCGCACTTCTTTTGTATTTGCAATTATGTAGAGTTACAAACAATCGTTGAATAAGTTGGATCAAGTGAAGGGCGTGTGATTGCTGCACTGCTCCAGTCAATGTTGATCGGTTCCTAGGGTGGTTTTGGAGACTGCATTTTCTTTGTTTGGCGCTGCCTTGTCATTTCAAATTCAACGGAATCGTTCAAATCTTTAAATAAAGTAATTCAGCCTCGAAAACCACCAGGGAGACGACCGAAATAGATTTGAATTGAAATGCAGTAATTGCACGCCCTTTGGGAAGCAGCTTACACTACAGCAGTAGAAAAATCCCGCTGAATTTCAATAGCCAAATAAAGATGTTGGGCCAAATCTGATAAGAAAAATAAGACAAAATTTCCGATAGCCAAGGAAAGCAAAAAGAAAGCAGATATGTTCCACGGAAGAGAACAGCTCACGGAGGAGACCAACACTCCATCGAAAAACTGTATACTCCATGTGTAATGATGCCAAAGGGTATGAATAAATGAAGCTACAGGCAGAGCGGAGAAAATCATTAGGAAATTATATAGTGGTGCTAATATTGATGACTTGAACAGCAACATGGTGCAAATAACGAAGAGACAATAAAAGAAAGTAATCTTTCATTGTGGAGCCAATTATATTCAAAGCTGTGTTACCTGAAATATGGCAAGCAACAAATGTACCAGTTGTTATCACATCTCTTGGCCTGTCTGAAAAATGATTCAGAATTGGGGTATTTTGTGCAAATAAACAAAAGGGTACTCTAATTCCACGATGCTTCCATATACAGATAAATTTTCTGCTCTCGAACAAACTGCTGCAACAAAGGTGGGATCCAGGGATGTAAAGGCTTTAGTTCCGCGGGAGTGGGGGGTTGCTGGCTGGGGGCAAAGCTAACTAAGTTTCCGACAAATAGGCCGTGTCTCATCTGGCTATGAGCTATTCATGAAAATTCAGTGTGACGTAAAAGCAGACTCAAAATCTGTTCTTCGGCCTTTTGTAAGTAAAATAAATATTTAAAACTAGCATAAATAAAGTTTGTGGTTCATCCGAATAAAGCAAACATTTCCAAAAGGATCATTGTAAGATGATTTCCGATGACGCCCCTGTTCAGCTCTTTGCAGTACTTTTCAAATGTATATACTGACATCGACCTGTGCGCCAGCTCTGAAACCAAAATGTAGCCGTTTTTAACAATAATGTGCTTAAATCAAGAGACGGTCATTCACTTCCATTCAGAAGCAGGCACCGGTGCGAGCCAGTCACTGAGCAGAGCGAAGAAATTCCAAACAGTTAAGGTAATAAAATGAATAGTAATGCAAAAAAAAAATATTTTAGAAGAAGATGCATCGCTCTAGAATCGATTAAACACTACGGATCAAATAGTGCACAGAAAACACAAACAATGCTCTTTCAGGAAAAATTGGAGTCCATAAAGTCGCTACCTTGGGCCTCTGCTCTTTCTTCCAAAAAATGGTGTAAATAACAAATTAAACTTGGCTATTAATAATGAATCCATAACTTATGGAAGACTGCATAAAATACCGATAGAAAATTAGCAGGAAATTACATTTTGCACAAGGTCATTTTGAAATGTAAAAAACGTTAGTGGAACACAGCAAAGATAACTGAAAGACTTAGGGTTAAGATTTGCCGGTGCATCTCCAGAGGAGCAACTATGGTATCCTCGATCGTCCGATGATATCCGATCAAAATGTCCGATCATACGGCATATTGGACATTTTAGAAAATGCAAACGTGTTTCTCCCTTTATACCTGTATGCCGTTTTTGAAAGTCAATAGATCAAGTAACACATCAAGCTCCAAACCAATTTTTTCCATAAATATTGTATACTGTACTTTCATAATTTTTACTTCAAATAATCTAACAATCTCAAAAGTTTCTTCTCTGCGAAATTTTCAAAAAGCGACCTCAAGATATAGATATAACACAAGAGAAGCTGCAAGCCTATTGTTCCTAGTGGTGGAGAAGAGGAGGATAAGGGGCTCGTGCACCTCCAAATATGTATAAAATCATTTGTTCCCAATGAAAAATCTTTGCTGTCCAACAATGGTGCCCCTACAATAATTCTTTTCTTCCTACAGTACCGAGAGCAAGCAACAATTCACCAACCCTCGAGCAACAGCTGACTTGCCTAATCTGACATTTTGTGATGGCTTGCCTAATCTGACTCTCGAATCGCAACCAATCCATGCAAAATGTTTCTTTGCTGTCAATCCCCATTTCTTTTACAGCACTAGGAGGACCCTTCCATCCATTCAAAAGGATTGCTTTCCTTCCAACCAAAAAAGTTCCATTGTTTATGAATTTGCGTACCAGTGTGATTCTGGCTACGTAGGACGCACAACCCAAAGATTGGGAATAGGATAAAACAACATGTTCCTTCCAACATAAGAAAAAAACTGCCCCTCAAATACAACAGCCTCCAGTGTAATTCTTTAGGCACGCGGCTCTGATTGGACAAATATACCTGTGCTTGCATTTTTCTGATTTGCCTATTTCGATCCATAACTGGGTATATAGTTTTCATCGTGCTCTTTCGGACACTTATCCTCGTGTTTTATGCTCTGAGGAGTGTCAGAAGAAAAAGCTTTTAGCCAATATGTCATAAGATATTTGCTTTTTCAAAGCCATTTTCATTATTATCATCATTTGTCAATTTGTATGATCAATTTATCATTATTGTTATCTCTGTACCAGCTTAGCCAGTTGTAGACTACCTAATTATTAAACAAGGTTTCGATTGTATTTAGTTAAAAATTTTTATTAATCCTTCAAGTTTCCATTATTATATGTCATCGTTAAAGAATTCAACTTAAAAAAACGAAAGATTAAGATCATATGACGTTGTGCAAGAAAGACAAGGTACTCCGCCAAATGTCCTCAAACCCGCATGCGAGATTATCGGACAGGCGGGATTAATTTTTCAAATTAAAGAAAAAAAGCAGAATTATTAGAGAGGCGGGAAAAGTAGAGGCGGGAATAGTAGATAGGCGGGAATAGTAGATAGGCGGGAATAGTAGATAGGCGGGAATAGTAGATAGGCGGGAATAGTAGATAGGCGGGAATAGTAGATAGGCGGGAATAGTAGACAGGCAGGAGTAGTAGATAGGCGGGAATAGTAGACAGGCAGGAGTAGTAGAGAGGGCGGGAATGCAAGAGAGAATATGGTATCTCGTATGTTTCTAAAGTTATGAGATACAGTTAGAATTTTTCATTAGCCTTTGCAATATTTGGCTACCAAAAGTCAAGTAATTATAATTGATACACCAACAAATCCTACGCTCAATCTATCTTACTGATATGAAAGAAGTCAAGAAATCACAATAAATGTACTATAAAATAGAATTATTATAAATTACATCTTATTTTGATAAAATATTTACATCAAATATGAATCAGGCTATGCAAAGTCTACTACTTTCTAAAAAACAAATTTTTAATCTAAAAATCATTTGAGTGCTGTATAAAAGTGCTTGCGGTGTTTTGGAAAAATGAACCAGAAATAAGAAAAAATAAGTACATACAGATTGAACAACCCAAAATTTCTCCCATTTGTTTGAAAACATTCTCCAGGTTCAGCTCATTTCATTAATTTTGGTTCTTTATCTAAGGGGGCTTTAAAAAAACCAAAACGAACCAAAAATTAGTTCTGCAACTTAAAACGGGAAGTAAACTTAAAATCATGAAACAACTATTGACCCATTCCTTTGTCTTACTTTTTCTGACCCATTCCCTGAACAGTTTTTTCTTACCTCTTAAATGCATTGTTGCAACTCTCTAGCTTCTAAAACTTTTCAAACCTAAACTAAATATTGATATTGACTTCACGAAACTAGTACTTTTATTGTCTGACCATGTTTCTGCAACTCACTCTCAACGGCGATGCAGCCCAGATCAGAAAGCCTGGATGATGGAGGACATTAAAAGGAATGCATTGCAAGGAAACGAGGTATCAAGATCTCTGTGATGAAGTTTGATTGTAAAACACATCTTTTTCGAACGCGCCACTAAAAGATGCAATATGCAATCTTGATAGAGAAAATTGATTGCCCTGCAAACATTCATTATCATTCCTTCAAAACATCAGAAAATTGTTATTCCTAAATATTAAATGCATTTGGTTCGTATTCTGTAAAAAAATGGAAACAAGTTGAGTACACTTGCCAGACCCGTTATTAGGACCTCGAGAGGACGTTTAAAACCCCCTATAAAATACCCCGGTTGCACCCTTCCTTATGGACAAATGTCCTTAATGTATTGTACATTTAAAAAACATGTCACTTTCTCTTCTTGAAAATTCCACCAAGAAAACCTTTCTTTTTGAGTTCTTTGCCTGGAGATGAAGGTGATTTATCAAAGGTTCCTTTCTGGTGACTGGACTGTGCTGATGGCAAATTTAATGTATCTGGGCGTTCGTTACTTGGAGTTTGTTTGTGACCGTTCTCTTCTTTTCTATCCGAATCATCAATTTTGGGCCTATATCCAAGTGCCTCACTGAGATCTCCAGTTGTAAATTCGTTCTCAAATTCAATAGGATCCGTATCCTCGCCAAAAGGGGTGATAGGGGTTGTCTCGTCTGCAAATGACTCCTCTGCTCTGGAAAACCATTTGTTCATGTTGCTGATCTTTCTCGGGGGCCTCTCTTCCTTGACGACGTCTTTTTTGTCAAGCAAGTCGGGGTCGAATGTACTCGACTCTCTTGACTCTCTGTCATCTTCGTCGTCAGAACTATTGTCCTAAAGGTTTAACACAAAACAACTATGCTTACATTCCTATAAACACACACAAAGCAAACTACGTTCCTTATTTCATACGACGAAGGAGCGATATTCATAATTTTTTGCTATCGCTGATCAAAATTAGATTCATTTGAAGCTAAGAAAACTTGCAAAGCAAACCTACCGAGAAAGCAGTACTTCTTCCAACAATTTCTAGAATTCCAAGAGACATTTTTCGTGAATCAGGTCGAGCCGTACTTGGTATAGAAAGAACTGGTGCGGGTGGTGGAATTACGTCATCAAACTCGTCGGACTCTACAAAAAGGAAATAATGAACAAATTTTTTAAATTAATGTTTGACAGTTAGGCAGTCAGCTAGTCTTGAGGAAAGATGAACAAGAAGAACAAGTTTTTTCGCGTTTTTTAATCATCTTTATAACTATAGCTTGAATAACAAAGTGTAAGCCAAAATTGACGGGTGTACCATTCAAAGGCGTACGGTATTTTCTTGGAGAGATATGCCCCTCGGCAAAATCACTCAGAATCACAAGCAGGTTAGAAGATTGCTAGCGTAGAGAAAAGGGGGAACACCCTCCAAAATGTTTGAGAAATACACAAGCTTCAAGAAAATTTGGTGATTTAAACACCTACCATCGGAGCTTAATACTGGATCAGGAACAACGATCTGTTCGAAAATTTGTAATTCGGGTTCCCGGCTCTGGAAATTTGCACTGCCATTGTGATTGCTCGGGTAGTCTTGCTGAGTTTTCTTGGCCTGAGCATCTACAGTGAAGTGCTCTTGAACATCTGTCTTGGTATTTCCAAGCCCTGTAGGACCAGAGGCTGCCCTTTCAATATTTGATCTGCTAGTTTTCTGCTCATGATAAGCTTGTAGAACTGGCTGCGACGCCATTTCATTGAATTCCGCGACATCCTTGGGTAACTGTGGTGGCTGTGACGTCACTTTCCTGATTTCCGCGGCATCTATAGGTAACTGTGGGGGTGGGGGTGCGGGAGGTAGACTTACTGTATCTTCTTTGCTGTTCATTTGAGTGCATTCCGTTACAGCCATTAAAAAGTCATCCAGAACTTCTTTGTCAGCTGATCTAACTAGATAGTTCGTTTTATCTGCAAACTGAAGCCGTAACAAATCGTCGTTCGTTGGAGCAGTCGGTTCTACAGATATCAAAACATCTTCAAGGACATGACTTTTTAAAGGGTTATTTCTTTGCTTGAAAACAGCTTCTGATTGATAAAGTATCAAAGTATTCTCAGATATAACAACATAAAATTCTCTCCATTTCCTCATTGATAATCGCATAGCCTTTGATGCTTCTTTTTCCTTAAATTCTAAATGACCTGCAAAATCAAATACATTGGTTTTGAGCTTTCCTTCATTTCTGCTGCCCGTTAGTCCATCCTCTGATCTGCTAGCACGACTGACCACTATGACTGGAACAGAGGGTGTCTTTACGTTATCTTTTGGATGTTGCTTTTCAGACGCTCCCACTTTGTAACCCTCCATCACTGATTTCGACTGTACGCTCTTTTCGGCTAATTTGGTATCCAAAACACGAGGTACTTTCAAATCACTTGACCGGGGGCCATCAGACCTGCTCAGGTTCTCATTCACATCAGAGTTGGGGAAAAACATTCTTTCCGAAGTCGGTTCATTCTCTGAATCAACTGGGAATGGTGCTGTTGACAATTCATTTTCATTCTCAAACTCGAAAGGGTCACTTGCGAGCGGTGGGTCTATGCTCCCATGTAAAACAGAAGACTGTTCATCGTACCTATCTGTAACCTTTCTATCTGGAACTGGACTTTCATTTTGGACGAGTAATACACCATCTGTGGGATTTTCCATTATAACTTCCTCTTGCTTCACATAATCTTTGTGATCCTTTTCGGTCGCAAATTCTTTTGCAAAATCTTCAATTTCCTTTTGAAAAAGATCGTTGTTGCGATCTTGACTGTCATCTACAAAGTCATAATGTGTCTCGCTACCACCGTCTGAAGCTTCGTCATCGTAATCCATTTCAGCCAGTAAGGAAAACAAGTTTTCATTGCCGCTTTCAGCTGGTTGCTCAAAAACAAACTCAATCTTTTCTTCATCGTCACTGAATTCGGTTACGAAATTGGAGGAGCTTTCGATAGCTTCTGGACTGACGTTTTGATTCATATTTTCATCGACTTGTTTACTCATATCCAATTCAAAAAGACTGTCATTGATCCTTCGATTATCCACAATTTTTATTAAGTCAGTTTCCTTGATTGAATCGTCATACTGCAAAATTGATTCAGCAAGGGAAGGAGCATTTTCTGCCGGTTTCATCTCAATAGGAGTAATAATCTCCTCCATGGGATCTCTATCACTGGAACGTTGGTTCTCATGCGAACTTGCAGACGTCTTTGTGCCCTGTGAATGTGATTCTTTCCGAATGGGATCAGTGAACATATTTTCAAGCTGCTTGCTCGTTTCATTTTCATCTTTCGATTTCCTGGAACCTAAATGTTCTTCATTGATATTCAAACTGCCTTCAGCCCATTTTTGATTAAAGTCATTATTCGCAAGAGAAGCATGTTCAGTGTTTTGGTTCTCTTTAAAGCTCAGCAAGCCGGTTTCTTCATCTTGTTTTGGCGTCTTTTCTTCCGCGGCGTTACCTATGTATTGAGCTTTGACTTTGACGTCACTCTTTTCCAATCCCCTGCTCTTATTTGCAGGACCCTGGCTTGCTTCATCAGCACTCACCTCCGCATAAGTAGCGATACTCGCGGGTTTAGGTTGTATTGTTTCTTTAGCAAATCCAAATACTTTATCATCTGCTTCTTCTTTAATCTTATCGCTCACTGAAATTTCTTTGCGGTGCTTACTAGAAAAATCCCTATTTTCCCTTTCCTCTTTGTTGCTAGCATTTTCTCGATCAGAACTGGACTTAGGAGTCTCTTTGTCTAAACTATGTCTCTTTGCGTATTTGGCTCCAAATTTCTCCGTATACTTCGACAGCTTGCCAAGGGTACTTTGGAACCGCTCTTCCTTTACAGCAATCGACTTCTCTAATTCATCTTGATTCCGAAGAAGTTCCTCAACATCATCCAAGGAAGTTCCTTCTATATCTTCAAAGCCTTCACTAGTCACAGCAATCCATTTGTCTAGATTAACTAGATCGTTTTTCAACGACTCTGAGTGCTCAGTGTGCTTTAAATCCTCATGAAAACTCTTAAGCTCAAGATTCAGATTCTGCCAATCTTGTCGCAGTTTCCCAATCTCACTCTCCACAATCTCCTGTATTTCAAACACGGTATCAATAATCCTCATTCCATCTTTCATTAGGCTATCAAACCTAGATTGTCGTGCATCCCTTTCAGTTAAATGGTCCCTGTACGCGACGTATGCATCATCGTGATCCATTGCTTTTGACACCAAACTTCTTACATTGCTTTCAATTGCAGCCATCCTGTCTCCGATCCAAACTCTGAAATAATATACAATATGGGTAAATGGCTTAGTATAAGTTTTCAGGAGTGTAATCAAACAACAAATTCAAGTGAATTCAAAAGACATCAAGGGTTACAAGATTAACAAATCCAGTAAATGTGAATGTATCGGAGAAAATCGTCACATTTTCTGTTTTTTTTATCAGTTGCTGGACACAATTCAATAATATCAAAAAGATTAATCAATGTAGGTTTGAAAGAATTTAGCGTAGACGTAGGCAATATTTCATTCCTGAAGAAATGAGACCACAATACCAGCCAATAGCCACACCGAACCAACTTCAAAAGATTGACAACGAACCTAAATTTGATTGAAACATCATGTCAATGCAAAAATACTTCAAACGTAAACTGATGCCCGTAACGGTTAAACAAATTTAAATTAAGTTATCATTACTTAAATTTGAGGGGAAAGGGTGGCAAAGACTCTGTATTCATGAAAATGGCTAATTTTATAGAATGAATCCACGAATGACATTGTTTGTGCATATTATGACATTTCAGCGAAACTAGAGTTGAAGAAACAAATATAATCAATGAGACTTGATTAAATGCCCATTAGTCAGGAAAACGTGTTAAAATTCAAAATAAATGTTTCCACATTTGAATGTACCTTAAGTCTTCAGAAGCTTGTAAAAAGGTCTTTAATTCTTCAGCTTTGCTTAGCTTGTCGGACGTTAACTGAACTTTCTTCAGAAGATTCTGCATTTTGCCTTCAATTGCACTCAGCTCTTTGCCAGCATCAATTGCTTCGTCTGGCATTTCAAGATTCAATGAAGCATAGCTATCATTTAGCTCAGAGACTTTTGAATTCAAGGCATGCAGATCCAGCTGCGAAGTGAAGATTTCGAATGAATACATCAACATAAGTTACAAAAGAAAATGATTAAATGTCTATAAGTTTCACGTGATCTTTTCCATAAATATATTGAAAAGAAATTATTTCCCTGTATCAGCATGCCTATACTTCATTAGCAAGTCTATTACAATTTTCAGTACAACTTATGCCCATATGATTCTAAGCATGAGACGTTGCAGTATTCTTAAACCTGAATCTGGTGGGAAAATTCTTATCACATTTGAGCAAAAATTGGATCAAGGTAAACTGTTAAAAAAACTTCGAAAATATTACCAAAGGATATTTGAGGCTAAAAAATAGAGAAATGAATCGGTCTAGAGCAGTCCTTTTCGATAAATAAATTTTAACATTAACAGCGCTGCAGTGACCAATGATATTCATACATCTGCCAACATATTTTCCCATCCACAATAAAGTACCACAATTAATAACATTCCTTTGTCTTAATTCACTTCCCCCAATTTTTACAGTATGAATCAAACCCATCAATCATTCCGGACCAGATAATGTGTCAATTTTACCGGTTCCGTGTTTTCTGCAAATGGGGCAAGATTAGGGTCACAGAGACGACCTGAAAAAGCCACAGCAAATAAAAGGGAAATTCAACAGCAGAGATTCATTTTGATGTACTTCAACGTACCATGAAGCTGTCGTGTTTTTTCCTAAGATCAGCCAAAGCTAGCAAGCCGCTACTCCAATTAACGTTGATTATGTCATTTTCTTTCCGGTTTATCCATTGAAGTGTTTCCTGGGCCATTGCCGAGAATTCGTGAACTTTCTTGGTATTATTTAGTCTCTTTAGCCGATTGAGAGAACGAGCTTGCAAGTTCATGAAATTGGTCCTGACTAGTTCGGCCTTGCTTTTAATGATCTGAAAAGAAATAAAAAAATTGATAAAGATGGCACGAATTAGCGGAATCATAACATATTTAAGTAAGTTTTGTTTGACACTCTACTGATTATAAATTTCGGAAAATGACCAAAAGTAAGCAGAAATTTCATATAAAGGTGTGGATAAAAGTAACAAATGAAACAATTACTCGATCAATTATTAGAGAAGTTGTTACTCGATCAACTGATATAACTAAAAAGATATTACAAATTAAGGTTTCTACTTAATGTCTTTGATGCATTTTATGGTTTCTTAGAATTTTGTATTAGATTAATAGAGCATCTAAAAAGCAGCAAAATTGCAAGGTAACAAACATCCTTGAAATCAAATAGCAACTTATAAAAACATTAGCGGGAAAGACACCTCGTACAAAGTTACCTACATCTATGTCACTATGCCTGTTGAAGTCATCATGGCCAACCATGTCCTGGATTTTTGCGACTTCCAATTCATATCCCTTCATTTCTGACATAAAATCTTCAAAAGACTTCAGCAACACGAGAGTTTGCTTGAGAGTTTCACCAAAATCGCTGGAACTTGCGATGGGAGACTTTTCGTTGATCCAAGCATTGATCATGCCCACAACTCGATTGAAGCGATGAAGCTGAATGCTTTCTTTCAATCTGGTTTTGCGCGATACACAAAGGTCTGATACTGCTTTGTATTCAGCGTTAAGGTTTTCCTTTGAAGAAAAATAAGTGTAAACTACTGTACGTACACTATATGACACAGCACAGTGAACTGAACTCGTGTTCTTTTTTATATACGTATTTATTCAGCGGTTTTGAATCTTATGCTAAGATGACCAAATACAGCTGAAATTGAACTCGTTTAGATCAAATATTTCACAGAAAAAGATAGCTAAATCAGGGCTGCAAAAAAATCAGAAACTAGAAACAAGGTTCCAACAAATTCCTAGATTTTACCAAAAAATTTGCAACAATTCAAAAAAAGTTAAGCACAAGCTAGAATGAGGGATGAGAACGACTTGGTGTACAGAACTGAAGATTACTGTCTATCGTTCTGTTGTATGATGCTCGACGCCGTATATGCATTGCTGTACATTCTTAGGACAAGTGTTTTTTATCACTTTATTTCACACTTGAAACTTTTATAACATTCATAAAATATGAAACACTAATGGGAGCTACCAGATTAAAAAACAATATTATAAGATAAATACAAGTAAAAAATATTTAGAAAAATTATAAAATCTATACTGGGAGCCATATGTATAAAACCATAGAAAACCGTGTTGGGGTATGTATAGTTTGCAAAATCTTCAATCACAGTCTGCATTTTGTGTTGCTTATACCTGAAGCTTTATAGCCTTTTCTCTTTGATCAGCAGAAGACCACTCGCTTTCCATCATAACATGCAAGCGACTTTCCAGCTGCTCGATTGTCTTACTAAAAGCCTCAATGTTGTTCTCCTGTACCGAAATTTTCCTTAACATTGCTGTTGTAGAGGATTCGTCTTTACCAAGATCGTTGCTTTTCAGGGCAGGCAAATGGTCCTTTAGCCAGGAGACAGCCTGTTTTACATCAGCGTTGTACTAAAAAGATAAAACAGGAGTTATTACTGAAATCCACAATAGATTTCCTAATTGATGACGTCAGAAAAATATATTTTTAGAATATTTGAAATTGCATCCCAAACACAAAGTAGCATCATGAAATACCTCTAAATATACAAAATCAGTGAAATGTGTTGTAAATTGAATGAATCATGGCCACATGAGCACAAGCTCTTTCCCCATTAATACTCGCTGTTTTGACCTTTACAAGCAGAGCAAACTAACAGTTATCAGTTAGCAAACTTCAAAACTTCAATTCGCCATATCACAACTGACTTTTGAAATATTTAACTGATTTTGCATATATGGGAGTATTTTATGGTGCTATTTTAGGTTATGTGGTCACAATTCAAAATGTGATTCTTCAAAAAAATGTGCTGCATCAAGCATTTTAGCAATAACATATTTTCTAAAGAACTTTGGAAAAACAAAATATACTTATTTTAGCTCTTCGTCTGACACTCTTCAGAGTATAACATTTCAGAAGAGTGATTGAAAATTTTAAACATTGAGTCATTTATACCAGGTTGAGGACCAAAAAAGCCCAATAAAAAAGGCAAGCACATGATTGAAAATGTTTTCCAACCAGTGCTGTTCGTCTATTGAAAATATTACCCATGGAGTGCAAGGGTGAAAATTAATTCCTTGCGCCTACCCAGCGGCGGTTGTTACCTTGATTAGAAATTGTTACCTTGATTAGAAATTGTTACCTCTCTAAATTTATCATGTTTTGCAAAATGAAATTTTATAAAAAATGTAACAGGTCGTACTTACCTTTAGAAAATGAATATTTTCACGAATTTTCTTGTTTTTGTCTTGAGCAAGTGTTTTGAGCTTCATCCACTCTTGCCTAAGTTCCTTTGCAACGTTTTCGAGCTCTTCCTCAAAAATTGTCTCCGCTACCACATGTTCCAATTTCTTTAGAAGCCTCGAGACTATGTTCTCATGACTTGCAATTTCAGATTCTAGCATCTGGTGCTTCTTGAATATGTGTTTGGCGTCTTGAAAAATTGAAATATTAAAGAACAGATAACATAGTTTGAGAGCTGGAGATTCACAAACATACTTGAAATGTCTTTGAAATTTTACCAAGAAAACAATTGGTGTTTTGCAAACTAATGATCGTTTTTCGAAAAACTCTCAGAATACAAGAATATCAATGGATAGTACAGCATACTGGCTAGATATACAACCAATGATAATGAAACTGCTCTTTGTTAACAAGCATTCTATGCAATTATGTCATTGTTTATAGCTCAATTCCTATGCAAAATGATCGCTGTTTGAAATTTCCTTATAATACCAGGATTTTTCCCTGCTTTTTCCCTTGATAAAGTGTAGATAAAAAATTAATGAGTTTTACCCATTTGTATCTTAGTTCAAAATAGGTGACCCTTTTCTACATTATAAAAAGTAGCACAAAGTTTTCGTGAGACTGTGAGACTTCAGATAAAACAAACAAGCAGTCAATAGTTAGTTGCAATAAATTATATTCTCAAGAATTCTCCGAGTGCAAGTAAGTTTAAAAAGGTTTAATTTCTAAGTTCGCACTAATCGAATGCAAATTGGATATTAACCGATCAAATTTGTCATAAAATTTTGAAATTTGTATGGATCACGATTATTTGCTATTACCATTGCTAACAATTTTTTTCTTTTTCAAAACATTTCACCTTTTAATCTTTATCCAAAATTTTATTGATAAATTCTAAATTGTAATTTAACTCAAGTTAAACATAGGCCTATGGCTAGATAGATCCTTTGAAGGATGTTTTTCTTGTAAAAATACTAAATGACGTTTTTTAAACCGCTATATCACATCCTTGTATTTGATTTATTATAGGTTTAATAGTTATATTTCATAATAATATTTAATGTAAGTAATGGTGCTGTCAGTGAAATGTTTGAAATTGAATTGGATTTGAATTGAACTTTACCTGTTAAATCAGCCCCTAAATTTGGAGACTCAAGATGGACAGCCTTCTCTCTGATCCATGACATTTCATCTTCAGCTTCTTGACTTAAAGAATGAAATTCTACCGAGTAGATTAAATCTTGCTTTCTTTGCTCTGAAAGGTTGTGCAACTCCGCAAACCTACAAATTTGAAAAAAATAATAAATTTTGCGTATAAGAAAAACGAGTATAAGGATCGTAACAACACCGAGTTTAACTGCCAGTATAGTAAAGGGGCAGATAGTAATATGAAAACAGGTTTGAAAGCAAACACTGAAATTAAACAAGAGCTTTCTTATCAATCGCAAAAAACGATGTTTGTGTGATATTCATCATCATCAGGAACGGGTTGGTCAGCGCTGACCCGCCGTGGCACGCGCAATGGTCGTAAGCCAGGTGTCTCTGTTTCTTGTGCTTCGTAGAAGACCAGACATTGACATACCCAAGACCTCTTCAACATCATTTTAAAGTTTTCGTCGTGGTCTTCCTCTCCTTCGCTTGTCAGTGACCATTCTAGAGAGAATGTCATTTCCTAAGCCTTCGCTATAGATATTAGAGACAGTTAAAAACAAAATCCTGAGCATACCTGTCACATATATCATCGTATTCACCTCGCAATCCTTCACTCAAAGATTTGTTGATTGCTATATTATTATCAATCATTTGGTCCAATTCCTGCAATTGTTTTTCTTTATTCAGAATTTCATTCTCCATTTCTCCATGCTTTGCTTGAAGGACGGTGGATGATTCTAGATTTGTCCCCAAATCTCCAGTCTGCAATGCTGTTTCGCTCCTTTCCAACCATTCGATTACTTCTCGAAGTGCCGTCTCTACTTTCTCAAGGGCTATTCGTTCTCCAAGCGACCTGCCTTTTTTCGCCAAGTGCTTCTCTAATTCATTCCATATATCAGAAAGATTACTCATGATACTCTGGACATCTTGTACTCTTATGACCCTGTTAACCAGCGTATTGGCCTCGGCTATTGTATCGTCTTTCTTTCTTCTGTTGGCCGTCATCTCGGCAAGGACCCCATCAAACACTTTCTTTGTGCTCTGAAGACTCTCCGAGATGTCTTCACTACTGTCTTTTGCATACTGCAACTTATTTTCGGCCCACAATATGATCTAAAGAAGTCAAATGCATTTTTATAGCCCAAATAAAGAGCTATGACATTTTTGCTAGCTCTAGGGCATACATTGTAATCAAAGATGGAATAATGAAGAAGAATTTTTGAAAGGACAAAAAACAACTTAAGATGAACACGATGTTCATACAAAAATGATCAACTCTACGACAAATTTTGGATAAATTTTATATTCCATACAAACAAATCGAGGCTAAAAAATTAGCACCATGATACTACTACAATACTCCATAAAATTATATGTAACCATATCACACTGGAAATTAACAAAGAAAACACTGCATTGCCTACCTCATTTGTTTTGCCAAGAAATTTAAAGTAAAGCAGAGAATCTTTTAGCTTGAGCAATTTATTATCAATATGCTGCTTGACATCGCTGACTCGTGAACTGAGATGCTGGTATCTTTGGTTCATTTTTACGCTCTGTTGACTGTCAGTTCTCCCCATTTCATCTGCGAATGATCCCAGACTATCAATTGTTTCTTGGAATTTACCAATCATACCCTTCATATTGTCATGCTGTATCAGTAACCGCTCGACGTCCTCAAGATCTGTACCAAGATTTTCATTGTCAAGGGCTTCTTTCCTTCGGTCAAGCCAGCTTTCTATTTGATCAAGTTCAGAACCAAACCTCTGTAAAAATTAATATGGTTTTGTCTAGTCACACAATTTCCAAAAAATATAATGTATTGGAAACTCTAGGATGATAAATCAAGAGGAGACCCTTACGCCTGCAAACCCGAAATCTATCTTATGCGACAGGCATCAAGCGTTGGATTAACAAGACTTGTCTTTGAAAGAAGTAGGGTATTGACAAACTTTGTTTTGACAATTTATCGCCAGAGTCTTTCTATTTTCAATCATATTAATCTTATTCTGGTTTTGTTGACCAGTAATTCTTTTTGTTATATCCCAAAGTTTTTAGCTCAAGTTTTTCTGGAGGAACATCAATTCTATTACCTTGTATATAACTTTATCTAACTGTAAAAACAACTAAAATCTTTTTGCTACATAGATCATGAATAAAACCTGATACGTACAGGTATATAAATGGTTATAACAGATATAAATTAATTTCCATGCACCCCTGTCGTTTTGCACAGTAGAATCTACTCTGTGCTAGACATCGATTTCCCTGTAAACAATGTAGGTTGTGGATAAGCAGCAAAGTCTACCTGTAGATCGAAGGACTCTTTCAACTGGACTTTCTTATTTTGCAGCAGTTGCTGGAGCTGAGCCTTCTCTTCATCAAGCAGTTTCAACTTTGGAAACACGTCACTGGGTTCCAGGCTACCATCCTCGGCTAGAGTTTGGCCATATTTCTTAACTCGAGCGAACACCTCCTCCCTAACGGCCAAAGCAGATACAATCTGCTTATGCATGTCTAGCATTCCTTTCGTTTCTTTGACATTTCTCGACTGGGATATGTTTGACAACCGCTCATGGGCCTTTTTCATCCATGAACTGAGCGAAGATACGTCAGTTTGGAAACGATAGAGATGCTCAGCAGCTTGTAAATTTGCTTGTCTATCAATTGGAATATGCACAAGGATTACAAGAAGGAGTGTATTACAAAAATACATTTAAAAGTTGCATTGTATGTTACATAAAGACCAAGAAGGAATGAGAATTCGCTTTAACTTGTAGATTTACTTGAAACTATTTCTAAAGTACAGTTCAATCTACAACACAAAGTTCTTTGCAATTAAATTTCCCCATACACCAAGCTTACATGGGTAACCATTTTCGTTTGTGGAACTGATGACTTTGAATAAGGTAAAGCATCTTGCAACCATAAAGTTGACAAACTGGTGGCACTGATTTCCTTAGCTTGATATTCAGCCAATTATCATTTCTATTTAACAGGCTAGGCATTCCAATTTTGCTTTCAGTCAACGAGAAAACATTACGTGACAGCCTTAGTGGATTCCTTATCACAAGTAGGCTAATTCGAAAAGTGAATTTTATCGACGATAAGTAATACAAAAAGTTGTTCTGGTTTTCACTAAATCGTCGTCCTTGAAATGACTTAAACACAAACTAACCTGTTTTCATTCAGTTCGATCAAATTTTCCCAAACTTCAATAATGCCTGTTTGTATGTCTTGGATTTCAGCCATGCTTTCTGGGGATTCCTTTGCAATGTCACGTGCATCAGAATCAAGGGTTTCAAGACTGAGCTCAATGGCCTCTAAATCACTTTCAAGTTGCATATGTCTTCGCATTTGCATTTGCACACCATTGAGATCAGCGGCAATCGAGCAATTTGTCAACTTAGATATCTGTTATAAAATAAAGTTGAATATCAGTTCAAGCATACATTAAGCGTACAAGAACAATATAAAGCAAGAACAGAACACGAGTGCGTTTCATACAAAGAACAACATTTCCTTTAATAAAGAGCAAAAACGTTCATTTGTACCATATTGCTTTTTGAAAAACACAACCATCCAGACTATGTTTATGCCTGGCATCAGTGTTAAAGTTGGGACCTGCAAATGATCAGCACAAAGATAAAGTTAGAGAGATGACGTGTCCTGGGGGAACAGCATGATGAGGTAGCGTGTCGCCATTTATCTTCCTGCCGTTAGCCACCATGCGTTGCAACCTGGTGCAAATATGATGTCAGATAGATAGAAATATTTCATCTAAATATCTAAATATATCATAGAGCATCTAAATATTTTACCCTTTTGCTTCAAACTTAAAAATGTAAAATTTCCAGAAACTGCTACCTTTTCATTCATTCTGACTTCAACTTCTTCAGCATTTTTCTTGAACAAAAGAAACCTAGCAGCTTTATCGAGCATATTTTTTCTCGAGGCAGCCAGCTGCCTTAGATTTTCCCATCGACTGTTCAACATCCGGAAATGCATGGATATCTCCTCACAAAGTTCCGAAGGTTTACATTTCGCTAATGCCTTGGCCTTCTCGTTTATAGAATGCATTCTGCCTTCATCTGCTTTCATATCTTTTGTTGTGTTTTCAAGTTGTCTTTGCAAGATTTGACATTTATCGTAGTCATCACCAGTTTCATCTGTTGCAAGATTTCTTTCCTAGAACACAAATAATATCACCTACGTCATTAGCAAGCACGTGACCATACATACACAGTTACGATTGGGATTTCAGTAAAATCCATTCACTTAATAATTGAATTCAAGAAAATCTAAAGAGAGAAACCGTAATGGAAAAATAATGAACATCTATATGGTTTGTCATACATAATGAGGATATATTTTGTGACCACAGTAAAAACAAACAAATTAGAACCTTATGTTTTAAAGATCTTCAGGCTGAAATTTTTAAAGAAAATACCCTTTAAACAAGAAACTTCTCAAGCTGACATTAACTGTAGGCTTGAAGTTTTGGGATGGCTTCTATCTAATTTGTAAAATAAACTCAAATAAGTAAAATTAAATCAATTTCAAAGCTGTATTTGCTTCAATGAATTAAAAAGTAACACACATTTTGTTTCAAAATCCACATAGATCTTCATTCACAATACCATGCATGAAAGATCACTTTGATATTTGAAAGAAAGATATGATTTTTGTATATCAGTGACGGTAAAGTTTTCAACACTCTGTTTGATTTTCTTCAAATTTGTAGAAACTCTTTCAAGATTCCTTTGATTTCAAACAAACTTGAAATCAACTGAGAGTTTTAGACCCTCCCCAAGCTCTGCATTGTATAAGTGCCGTTGAAAGATCATTGGAAAAATCAGTAAGTTCAAGAGTTGTGTATTAAAGCACATATGCAATGACCCGGCAACACTGATTGGTTTAAGACGGTATTGTTTTGAAACAAAGGACTAATGTCACTGTAGTCGTTGAATTTTTTGGCATGGACAGTTTTTTGGCGGTACAGAAAATGGCTTTGAGAAGAGCAAACATTTTTCAGCATTGGCTAAAAGCTTTTCATCTGAGCATAAAACGTCAGAATAAGGGTCCGGAAGAACACGATGAAAAATATATACCCATTTGTGGATCGAAATAGGCCTATCACAAAAAAACGAAAAACACAAGATCAGACCGGTAAAGTTGACCCATCAGTGCCCAGTGCCGCGTGCCTAACCTTGTCAAAACCTTAGTACATAGGGCACTCATGATCTGTTCGAAATCCAAATTTCACGCTGAACTGGAAAAACTTAAAACGATTTTTCTCTCATCAGAATCTTTCTCTGCTTATCAAAACTTTGGCATGCAAATTTAGAGAGAAATTATTTTCTCGTTAAGTTCGACACTTGTCAGATAAAAGACGAGTGAGAAAATGAAATGTAAGAGCAAGAACAATCAGAATAAATTTCCGTCTGGACGAAAAATTCAACGACTAAAGTGACATCACATCACAAATATAACTTTGCAGTTCTAATCCGCTCAATCTTTGAGTTACTTATAAGTTTCTCCAAACAAAACTTTAAGCGCGAATATGAAACATAAAACAACCTTTTCAATAATGTGTGCTTCTGCAAAATCAACATCTCCCTTCAGAGCTGTCAGGTATTTCGTATCCTCCAATGTTTTTCCCATCTCATATATTTCTTTCTCTAGCAATTCGAATTGCCTGTATAGATCTAAAAGGCAATCTTCCACTTCACCAGAAGAAAAATGCTCTGAAGCAACCATTTCTTCTCCTTTATTGCGAAGGGTCTCCTTTGCGACGTTGTGAGACTTCAGTTCAACCAAATCACTTTTATGGATGGTGGAATACAAGCCAAGGTTTAAAGCATCAACTTTCCGGTTCCTTATATCAGATAATTTCTCAACAATCCAGCTAGTAATCTAGAAAAGAAGAGCAAAGTGCTGCAATGTGTCTAAAACAAGGAGTTTTAATCAGCAAGCCAGCTTTTTTAAACAAAAATTATGATTCCTTGAGAAATCAATACTAAATCGTGGAATCACTTATCAAGAGCATAGAAGAATTAAAAAACTACAAAAATTCAAAGCAAACATAAAAATCATTGAAGTTGGAATCTTTAGATTCTTCAGAGGTTTTTTGACCAGATTCTGGCAAATCTCTAGACAAGAAACATTGAAAAAAATAGAAAAACAAGCTTCGAGGGATGCGTGAAGATCAGGTTAGATATTCGTGAGGAAACGCAGTGAAAAAGTTCTTCTTTTCCTGCCAAAACATATGCATTTTCAAATAAATACCTCGTGATTTTCTTGGCGAAATTTTGCCAGGTCTAGGGCATCTTTTAGAAACTTTTCCTTGCCCACTAACTCTTCATAAAACTGATCTCTATTGGACATCAAATCTTCAGCCAAATATTTCACTTTATCTGAGGCAAAATGCCTGTCAGACAAGAGTTGCTCCCCAAGCTCCAGTGCAGTTGTAATCTTTGCAGTATGGGAATCCACCATATTCTTCAATTTCTGAACACGCTTTAGTAAAGATTCTATCTCAGCTCCCGCCCCAGTATGTCCATCTGAAATTGTGTTTAGAAAATTCTAAAAAAGAAATTATAAATCTTATCTCCTTGATTACTGAACATTCCCTTCTCACAATCAAAATAGAATTTATGTGCTCTTTTTCTCTAAACAAATTTTGAACTCTCTTGTAATTTAACGATTTTTCAATCTCAAAAAACAAGTGAAAATATTTTGTGCTTGCAAAAACGTAGTAACGTTATGGCGAATTCGCCCAACCTTTCAATAATTGCTAAACTCATCTATAGAAAAAAAGTAAAAAGTTAGCTGCTGATCACAACAAGGCCTGAAGGAGGATAAAAATTGAAAATCTTTTAAAAGGAATAACATAGCACCGAACCAGAACAACCAAAAATGAACGAAAAGCATAACAATAATTAAAAGAATTTTTCATGGAATAAAAGCATGCCTATATCTGCCTTAAACTTGGCGTGTTTATTAGCCGTTTCTGTGCAGCTATAATGCAACTCGTTTTCCTTAAAACCTTTTAAGATATCATGCAGCAAAATGCAAAAAATGGTCATAGATTTTGAAACCACACAAAAATGCATTTCATTATCGTAAATGGTAGCTAGAGAATCGTCTACAAAATAATTTCCTATGTGTAATTATTCTGTTAAATGGCCGCTTTCGCTGCTTGATATCACTAACTGTCCAAGTTCTATTCTAATCCGATTATTGTTAGCAAAAAGGAAATGAGATGAAAATATAATTATGACATTGCTTGTCTTAAATAATGCAAACATATTGTAGAAAATGTCTAAATATCCACCCGAGATGGTGTTTCAGTTGAGAAAAGTTCTGGTAAGAAAGGAAAGTATCAATATTTTATGCCCGAAAAAAAATGTTTCTAAAACAGAAACACAATAAGATTGAACTCAAACCTTGTAGGAGTTGATGACACCATTAATTCTGGTTACTTCTCGACAAAACATCGTATAATCATACTGCTCAGTAAGGTGCTGTCTGCATTTCAGCCATAAATCATGCACTTGCTCGTGGCTTGTGAGTAGTTCTTCTAGCTTTTCTTGAATCTAAAACACAAAATTAGACATTTTGCATAAAAAAAGCCATCAAAATCAAATCACTCAGAATAACGGTTTTGGTTTTATAATTATTTGATTTCACAAACAGGCTTGATGTTTCCAAAATCACTCTAAAGGTTGGAAGCACGAATGCCATTTCAATTTCCATTCATTTGAGGCGACAATTCAAAGTCTTCATGCAATAAGATTTACATATAACTTGGATGTGCTCATTAACAAGACAGAAACCAATATCCTCCACAACATATAATTGGAATACTGCTCAGGGAAATTTCAATAAGATGCTATGAAATTTCTTTCAAAGAACGGTTATGAAATAGATTGAAAGCAGCAGGGGCGAAGCAAGAGAATTTTTTTGGAGTGATAAAGAAGTGGTTTTTGCCGACGAAAACGAGCGTGCCACACTCTTGAAGAGTGTGGTCAAAAGATAAATACTCCTATATGCTGCTTTATGCATTTCTTTTTCAAAGTTCATATTAAATATAGTTCCATACATTGAAATTTCAACTACTACAGAATTGTCAATACAATTGTTGCAAAAAGGTTACAGGGTGAGTACGCAATTGCTTCTTTTGCCTGGCAAAAATCCTTAATTTGCCGAAGGACAAAGTGTTGGGGTACCGCATCCCCTTCCCCCTCGACACTCCCTTTGCGAAGCCTCTGTAACGCAATTATCAACTTCAGATTGTTTCACTAGAATTGTCAAGTACAAATTTCAAAAACCTCCTCAGTAGCATAATGTCCTTCCTCCACCATTTGCTCCCCAGCTTGAATGACAAATGCAAATTTCTCTTCTTTGCCATCAATTTCTAGCTTTAAATCGTCCATTCTATCCATCGCCTCTTCGACCTCATCAACTGTTTCTAATGACTCCTTTGCATTCAAAATCTCCACTGCTTCTTGACACCACAACAGCAACCTGGTAATCTGTCAGTTGCGAAAACAGAACGTTAAATGTAGAAGCTAACTTACCAATCATAAAATAATTATGGGAAAATTTTGTGATTAGTAAAGTCGTATCTTAAACCAAAGTAAATCTAGAGCAGGCAAATCTGTCAAAGCTGTTTGAGAACAAATTTTTTAGGACACTTTAAAGTGCAAGGATTTTAAAAACAAACGTTTTTGATCATTTTCCAAGTCTGTATCTCCAAAACTTTTAAGGGCCTTACAGCCCCAAACTTTCACCGTAATAAAGTGGGGCATCCCCCTTCAGAAAGTAATTTTACCCAACTAGCCCCCTGTTAGAGAAAAAAAGCGAAAAGTGGAGACTATCAATAGAGAGAAATGCTATTAACCGTTTGAATAACTAAATTGAAGCAAATTCACCTGACATCGTGCAGCAGAACAAATTTTTATTCTATTAAAAATATCTGACACGTCGTCAAAATTGAATGTTTTTACAGTAATTTGCAGACGGGAAATCAACTTGAGGGTTAGAATTCTTGAATGACATGGATATAAATAATTAGATTTTTGCCGTAGTACACTGCCCTGTATCTTGTTGTGTCCTGCTGGCTAATAGAACGCAAGGGATAACGTGACACTTGAGAAGCTAAAGAGATTTCTATGGAAAGCAAACATCTCAAAACATAAGCAAGTGTGTTGAAATAAAAGAAAATTGTTCCATTCCTTTAGGCATTCTAAACTACCAGGGAATTATTTGCCATTAACGAAGTAAACTCAAACCTCCGAATTGAGTCTGTGATAGTCGACGCTTCCGTGAAGCTTGCCTTTATTGTTGTTAGCTTTACGAAGAACATCTGACCACACCTTTTTTATATAGGCTTGGTGCATCTGAATTTGTTCAGCTGTTTTGCCTGAAATCATAACATTTAATGTCAAAAGAGGCAAAAAAAACTTCCAAAAGTCAGTACAACCACAAAATTACCCATCATCGTCCTACTGCTGGCATTTTTACCAGTTGGACACCCAGTTATTCTTCTCCTACTTCTATTTAGTCATATTGTAACAAGCATTTACCGCTTTTCTATCCATGATTTACCTTAAACCCAGGTTTTTTAACGGAGAATCCTGGAAGTATATATTTTACATCATATTGGCTTTTATGATAAAGAAACATTCCATAATTATAATAATATTCCATTCTCTACTCCATTCTGAAGTTTATTTTTCTATACTTTTTCATGTCTTTGTCCTTAAGTTTTTAGGACACTGAGAAGCTGTGCTTATCGAATCAACTCGATGTGACCACATCTTAGACTCTTCCGTCTAGAGAGCTAGCGACTTTTCTCGCTCTAAGTTAAATTTTGGTCATTTCGGTGATTAAAACCACAACTCTGAGCCATGCTCCCTAACGTCGATATTTTCATAATTTTGTTTTAATCATATCATACAGTCAAAATCAATGAAGGAGCAGATGTTTTTTAATACTGTTTTCTTAGCTAGAATTTCTACAATTTAATAGTTCTTTCAAACAATAAAACCAAAATGAATACAATTAAATACAAGAATCTTCACATGGCTGAAGAGACTATCATTGGTTGAAGAAACTATTGAAGACATGTTAATGATACAATTGTCCATGGGCCTTGTAAACTTTCGTCTTTATTTTGCAATTGTCTGAACTTGATTTCATTATGGTACATTTCTCGCAGCTTTCTTTTAACAACAACTCAACAACGAGAAAAAACTCATTTTTATGAAAGTATGACACTTGGCTTGTCTGAGTTTTATGTTAGGCTTTTTTAAATTTCACCCCAAATCAGACATTCAAATGTTGGTGAAACAACGTTTGCTGAAAGAGTAGCTTTGTCTGGAAAATTCAACCTCAATTGGTGAAACTCATATTTGATGGCACCTACCTTCGAACGCATAATTATGATATGTGTTTATATTTACTTTTCGATTCTTAAAGGCCTCTACTTTTTTGTGTGCTGGCTTCATGGTTAAGACAACAAACTCAACTCAAGTCCTAATCAAAATTTTGTTGCAATTATACAGTGGACACCTGAAAGCTGGCTGTTTCTTCAAAAAGCATATTGAAAGATACAGAACAAAACTGCAATTACTAGGTTTGCGTGGTGAATGAGTAATACAGTGAATAAGTAATATAGTTGAGCGTGGTTATCGTGATTCACAATCAAAATGATGGCTAGTTATTCATAATGCAAATCGCTTTCTAATACAAAGAGAACAGATCAACTGCTAGGATTATCAGACGCCTGTTTCTCACCTGGATAATTCCTCGTGAGTTCGTTTCCAGAAAGCTCAACCTCCTCGATTTGTTTGCCAACAGCCTCAATTGCTATAAGAGCCGTGTCATGTGCCCTAACCTTTGACTCACTGCTGGCAACATCTTCTCCTAGATCTATGACCGATATTGTACTTTCCTTTTCCTTCAGGTTACTCAGAATATCACTGACTTGCATATTGAATTTATGGAGCCCTCCAGCCTTCACAAGCCGGGCATTTTTCTGCTTCACCTTTTCCATCAACTTAGACCACATTGCACTTAAACAAAGATACAAAACTTGATTAATAACAACAACAACATCAACAACAACAACAAATACTTCTGTCCAATATACTTTTCAAAAAAACCCTTTTAAAAGAAGATCATTCTACAAGAATATCAGCATCACACGCCCACGTACCTTAGCTTGCCTTTGGCATTCGATACATTTAGAGCATGGGGTCCTTTGGCAGCAATGACGTCATCCGCCAGCTTTATCACAGACTCGTATGCAAATTTACCAGCAGCAACGCTGACTTTAAAATCATCAAACTTCTGGGTGAGTACCTTATGAACACAGAGGAGCATAAATAGTTAAAAGGTACCATTACTATTAAAACACCAAAACTAGCCATTTTAGGATGAAGCGCAACCTAATTATAAACGTTAATCTGATCTTCCGGAGCAGGTGTGACGAAACGTCACCGAGTGTTTAACTTATTTTAAAGCACATGGAAGTTTTTTAATAAGTTAGGTACTAGGTCAAACTACAGGATACAGCATGTTCAAATATATCTTTAAAACCAGAAGGGAAAAATGGCCATTAAAGAGGAAGAGCTAAAGCTTAAGAAAGTAAAACAAATAGCTTCCTAGATTCTCCAACTCTTACTAAGTTCCAGATCAATGTCCCATTATGGACCAATCCCACACCTCTAGAGGTGCTGTGATATTCTGGAACAAGCTTATATAAATCATAATCATGTTATAAATAACACAAACCTGCCAATGCTCAAAATCTTTGCCATAACCCTCAGCTCCAGCAACTTTTAGCTTCTCAGAAAGCCATCCCCTCACATTTCCAGCATCGTAGAAAAATTGGTATACTTTATGGAGATTCTCCAATTTTGCCTGATTTTTCTGCAGGAGTGCAAACAATGCTCTTTCATCCTTTTCGATTTTTTGCTGAAAGAACAGTGGAACTCTTAATATACTACAACAAACTTTAATGTTGGTTGAGATATTGATCTAATCACTAAATAAAAATGAAAAAAACATTTCTTACACATTTCGCAATAACAAGATCCCTTTTAGGGTTATCTTGAAGATCAAATGTTGTTGCCCTCTCGAGAAAAGTTTCTATGTTTTTCTTGTTTCTTCTAAATTCATCAATAAGGTTGTTGGCTTTCCTTAGCTGACGCTCGGCAGCGTCTAAGTCTTTTCCCTGTTGCAAACCAGATATATTAACTTTCTTCTCCTCCAGCCAGTTTTCGATTTCGTTTGCATCGAGCAGAAACTAGAAACGTATAGTGAAGTAGAAATTAGTTTGAAAATAGGCAGAAAAAATGGTCAAAACCCGACGAATCAGATTTTGAATCTCAAATAGTTCTAAAGTGGATGGCCATAGCAAAATAAAAGTAACGTGGCTTGCAGTGCTTTTGATTAAATTAAAAGGGACTGCACATGGTTGCCATTTCGATTTGGCCGAAAAAGCAAAGATAAGGACAATTTTTGCACAGAAAATATTCAACATTTTGATAAATAATCTCAAAATTGTAAATAACGAAGCAAGCAAAATAGAAAATTCAAATTGAAAGCAAGTGGGACTTTTGCAAAAAACAAAGCCAATATTGATTAAACTATTACTCATAAGAATTAGCCAAAATGTATTTTCTTTGTATATTTTGTTTAGCTGGCCGAATTTGGCCGTCACGCGTAAAATATTTGGCCGCCAACCATTCCAAGCATCTGGCAACCCTGGACTGTAGACAAAATGGCGAAGCAGCCTTTCTCCGACTCACTGAAGAATCAAAGTTTACGGACCTGGAATGCATCTCTGTCTTCAAGAATTCGCCTTTGTCTGTTACCAGATGCCTTCTGCAATTTCCGTAAACTATGTTCCAGGTTTTGACAGGCTCTCTGGGCAATCTCCTTGCAGCTTTGCCGACTTTTTACCAACTCATTTCCTTTTTCAGCTAGCTTCGCAATGATGGCAGAATGACTTTTCAGCTCGTTTTCCATCGCCTAAAATAACATTGCAAAAAGTTAACCATGTATTTGTTCATGCACATATGTATTTTACCATGTTTAGCCAACGAGTAACTAATACATAAGAATATATAACTTGTGCAACCATTTGCAACCATTTCCCTTTTAACCATTGAAGCTCTTGTATACGAACAATAGATCCGGTCTTTGCTACTGTAAGCCACAAAGGCTTGATATGATATGCATGCCAACAGAGAGGGTGTAGTAATGAGTCAATTGCCCCTGGGCCCGTATGCAAAGAGGGGTCCACTGGTAATTGAACTGTCTTTATTAAAATATGACTCTCGGTGACATGGCAATTACAAAGAACATCTTTGCTGGGAAAAATTAAATTAAAAGTAAATAAAGAAAATTTCTTTATCTTAATATCATAAAAGAATCTTAGATTCATTCTCTATTTTAATTTATTTATCTAAAACATATTTACCCTGGCACACAATTCAGTTAACAAACAAACCTACCTATTAAATATTAAAAGCTGTTTACAATAATTTGACAAAAGAAAGAAGCTACTAAATGTGATAAAAAATAAACATGAGGATGCAGATCAGCTTTTCTTTGATTTTCTCAGTTCAAAGCTCTTAAATTCGTTTTGACACAATGAATCGTAGAGACTAATTCCATTTCCGAGTCGTCCATTCCACGCGTCGGTTCCTCGAAAGGCAAATGATTTTTGGCCATTAGCTGTTCTCATTTTTGTTTAAGGAAGATTAAAATTTTGTACTGCGTAACACCCGAGTACGAAAATTAGACAATTTTAGGAAAATATTACCTAGTTATTCAGGTGCAAGGTCATTTAAGGATTTACATACAATTGTAGATATTTCTCGATCAATCAGTTTATCAATTTTTCTGGTGAAAGGAACCTAAACATTTTGCCCAGTGTCGCTTTCGGCGTCCCTGATGGTTTGCAAAATGAATTATAGTTCTGCGTGAAAAATGAATTATACAGAGACTAGATAACAAGAGCAAATAGAAATATAAGAACAAGTTTGCAGATTCTTGGAAGAACAATACAAAAAGCCTCACTTTGTCCCCACAGACATTAATTTTAAAGACACAAACATAATTCACACACGGTATTGCCATATTTCGTTATCTACATATGAAAAAACGGACTGCCTCATGGGAAGTTATTAGTCTCTTACCTCATGTCTGTTTAAAAGTCTCTGAGTTGCGGTGAGATCAGTTCCGTATTCTGAGTTTTCGATCTGCACCAAATGATCATTGATCCACGAAAGCTGCACATCCACTTCAAATAAGAATTGCTGCAATACGTATGCATCGTCCAGTGACAAGCTTCTTGATTTAGAGGCATCGATAATTTCAACCATTCTTGGTGGAAAAGAGCATTTTGTGAGAAAAAAATGAAATTAATTTCAGAAAACTTGATTTTTTGTTCCTCAAAAACCTTTGCAAGAATGCTACTTCACTACGAAATTAATTTAGGCACTTGGAGTTTCTTCCAAAAACCTGTTCAGCCCTTGTTTTAGTTTCAAGTCCGAGCTTTTTTCTGTGTCAACTGATTTTTAAACTAAGCTGAAATTTGAAAATAGCAACAAAGAGTCAGGATACCACTTTTTACTCAAAGGCTGCTTGTCCGCCACCCTGCCGAGTACGAATAATGATAAAAAATGTATCATTAATGTATACAGTGGTTGAAGAGCAACTAAGAATTCTCCAAGATACCGAATATTTCGGCAGTCGTTTTTTTCGAAAGAAAGATTTGTCATGTTACCCAGCTATATAAATGTAAGTTGTAAGGGACGTGCCATGCGATTGTAACTAGTTATTGTAAATGAGACACGCAGCCACAACCGCAATGCTTAATCGGCTTAACAGGTCCAGAAATTTTAAGACATAAAGAAATTATGGAAAGACTCGTTTACATGGGTTTTTTTCCGTTCTCAAAATTTCTGAAAATGAAAAATGGATGTTTTCAACCAAAAACGTTTACCGTAGCCTTAAATCATTGAAGGCTTTATAATCGCTTGATGTTAAAGTGCTTTATATATATTGCGCTAGTTGATCTTAGTTAGTTATTTAGTTAGTTAGTTAGTTAGTTAGTTAGTTAGTTAGTTAGTTAGTTAGTTAGTTATAATTAGTTAGTTAGTCAGTTAGTTAGTTAGTTAGTTAGTTAGTTAGTTATAATTAGTTATAATTAGTTAGTTAGTTAGTTAGTTAGTTAGTTAGTTAGTTAGTTAGTTAGTTAGTTAGTTAGTTAGTTAGTTAGTTAGTTAGTTAGTTGGTTAGTTAGTTAGTTAGTTAGTTAGTTAGTTAGTCAGTTAGTTAGTTAGTTAGTTAGTTTACGAGTTATGTTGGCACAGGTCATGAGTGTTGTGCTTAGAAAAAACGAAGTGTCTTCATGTGTTCGAGCCTGCGTTGCATAAGGTAGACTTTGCCTATGTATACCTTTCTATACTTCAAGGACACAAAATTTCCCCTGAATATCGTTGGAAAATTATTGCTTAAAATCAAATTAAACGAAATACTTTATTTTGTTCAATGATGCACCATAACTTTAATAACAAATAACAATGCAGATAGTCTATTTCTGAATCGATACATTGCAGCTGCTTTTTCTCCACACTGTGCTGCTACTGAGTCTTGAGCTTTTTGATGCTTTTTTAAAAACACAACACAGTGTTAAGATATAACTTAAAAGACAAGAGAAAACACAAGTCATCTAGAAAGAAGCGAGAATTAAGAATACAACCATAGCGATGTTTAGATAAAAAAGCTCCAAAATAATAGCTAGGGAAAAAATCAATTAATTGCCCTAGTTAGCTTTCTACCTGATCTTTTAAATAATTTATTACAAGGCTTGTGCAACAGCTATGTGCTGTGTTTTTGTAAGAGCATCAAAAAATTTAAGACTCAGTAGCCGCACAGTGTGGAGAAAAAGCAGCTGCAACATACCAATTCAACATTAGCAAAGTGGACGTGGTATGGGCATGTCACATGATCTTCAGGACTTGCCAAGACATTCCTTCAGGGCACCGTACAGGGAGGGAGAAGGAGAGGCAGACAAAGGAAACGATAGGAAGTTAACATCCGGGATTGGACGGGTCTGGGGCTGAGCGACACTGCAAAGAGAGCCAAGTCTTGTGGCGCCCCAACGGTCCCCAAGACTATGGGAAAGATTGATTGATTGATTGATTAACAAAGCATAGCAGACATTAGTGAATTTTCAATGGATGATGTATAACCCTTCAATTAAGTGCATCGAAAATAAATGCAGGCAATACACAGATTGAAAAAGAATACCGTTTTTTAATGGCATCAAGTTGACTCAAAACATCCTTTGATCGAAAATTTCCATTTTCATGCATTTTCTCTGCTTGCCTTTCCAGTTCACACAGATCTTGTTGGTGTTGCTTGATGTCCTTTTCGTATAACTGGGAAAAACAACAGGAACAATCACAAAACGAAGATAATAGGGATTCACTGCAGACCATAGATTTTAACAACAAGACGGTCGAGTTAGATTGGCGAAATATAAGCCTACAAAACATCCATTAGATATTTTTAAAACACCCATCACTTAATACACATTGTGAAAGAGACAGAAAAATCTCCATTTGGCTCCGGGACATCTGGCGAGAAGGTCTTATCATATTTGGCATTTCCAGCATCTATTCACATTACACCCTCCCATTGATAATATTGAGCAAAGAGCACGACGCATGGAGAGAGATTCTCTCTCTTAAGTATATATAATTACATATATTATATATATATATATATATATATATATATTATATTCTTATTAGAAGACATGCTTCTCTTTGCGGTATACATCTGTGTCCCGCCCAAGTCACAATAACACGCCTTGTGACATATCTATGCGACAATTGACTAAAGCACATTTAAACGATATATTGAATGACCCTTTCGATAGATATCGAGAATCTTGTTCTTAACTGAATTATTGACAAACATCAGACGATACAATTAGTGTCAACAAATGGTAGCAGTCCCTAAGCCAACAGCTGCTAATTGAAAACAAAATAATTTTAGCTATCACAATCAGATCATGCTTTTTTCATTGCTTTCTGAGAAAGATTTTTAAAATTTTTGCATAATGGTTGATTTAGAGAAGATAATTTTTTATCTTGTCAATATAAGAAAATTGCGTTATATCTCTAAAAATACAGTCTAAGCGACTCCAGATTGCTTGGTTTAAAAGAATCCTTCAAGGTGAAAGCGTTTCAAGTTGATTTTAAACGTTGTAGGTGCTTAGTAAAAGTCTTGAGTGAGGTGACCTTTCTGCATCTTACATTCATTTTGCAGTTTGACGCTTGTCACAAATTTTTGCCTTTACATTGATGTTCAAGTCCTTCGCGATGACAGAAATGAAACATCCCTCAAAATTCTTCTCGCAAAATCAGATCTGCTGTTTATTTCGTTGAAGCTCATATAAAAAGAATGAATGATATTTTGCCACTCACAAAAACTGTTCACGCTACACGGAGAAAAACAAATGACCGATACTGTTATGGCTAGGGATGCTGCCAACACTCCTAATAAAATCACAATACTGTTAACAACAATCCAGGTCTCACCAGCTGCTTGTTCCGCAAAAATCTAACAGTTGCTAAATCATCCCCAAAATCTTGAGAAGAAAGTAGCACTTTGATTTGATCACACCAGATGTTGAAATCGTCAATGGCGCTTGAAAAGGCCCTTGCTGTAGTTGCTTGCTCTAAATGTTGTTGCTTGACGCGTGAGCTTCTATCAAGCTGATCCCAGTTATCGTCTAGGTTTTGCAGTAGATCTTTTATCTCTTCTGAAGAGACATGGTTTTCTGCTATCATGTCCTCGCCAGTCTTGAAAAAAAACATGCAGAAAAAATTGAAAAGCACGCTCGTCATTTCAGACCTCGACATTAATACCTCCTTGAATTATTGCATAAAGTCAAAGATTCTGTGAATCTCAAAGGAAAGTTAGTAAACCATTTAATTTGCCTGGTTATTAAGAAGCAGTAATAAAGGGAATGAGCATTTGATTCAGATATATTATTTTTTAAAGTTTTAAAGCCAGCTTTCTTCCATGAGCGATCTTCTTCTTTCTCGGTCAGGATAAAACAATGGGTGGCTAAAAAATGTTTCGACTTTTGGTGAATTTGGCAAACTACGAGAACTTTGGGCAATCAAGAATTACACAAAGTTGTAAGAAGCTAAAACTGGAGACTAGAAATTGATTTTGAAATTGAGAAAGAAATTGAGCTGTCCGAAGAAGACCAGCAGGTACCTTAGTAGTATGTTGGTTTACTTAAGTCTTTCGAAAGGTGCCACGTTTTGGGAAATTATCGCTTTCTGGTAGGGGCCATCTGCTATTGGCGTGATCGCTATAAATAAATGCTGCTTTAAGCACCCATTGTCTACAACTGGACGTTAACGGAGCCGGCTTGCAGAGACAGTATGACGTAACATTAAGTAATAAGTTTAGAGCCATCCATATAATTGCAGCTTGAGAATCACGGCTTTTGGGTATAACCACTCCTCTTTATCAGTACGCAGTTCCTTAAAGGCTGTCGAAAGATACTAAAGAGGCTTAGGCAATCTTTCAGTAAAAAAATTGACCAATCAGTGAGTATGATTCCACTTTCACACTCGTTGATTGGCTAATACTAGTTGACAGATGGCTTAAGCCAGATTTATGTCTGTTGATTACCTTTAAGATATAACAGAGCCTAAATCAATATCAGTGGTTATTATAAACAACAAAATATACGACACAAAAGGGTACATTGAATGAAAAATATATTAGATTCGTGCGATCTTAAAATTACTGTTCAAACGTTCTTTCGTAGTTCTAGGGCCTAGTTTCTTCTTAATGATGAGACTACAAAACAAGCTGAGTATAATAGTATAAATGAGGGAAATTGTCCAATTGAAAAAGCATTAGTTGTAGCATTGATAAAAGAGATATCAAGGAGGTATATACCTGCTCGAGACGCTTCTTTGAAACAGCATTTGAAATAATTTCTGCCTGAAGAGCCTGGTGTTTTAAAACCTTGCTTTGAAGACTAGACAAATCTTTGTAAGATTCGTCATTTGCCAAAGCCAGCTTATCATCCGTCCATGAAAGAAACTGTGGAAAAATGACATGTTGCTAAAACCAAGATAGGTATGAAATCAACTTAGGTATTGTTACAAGGAACATACTTGGGTACTTAATTACGCAAACAGGGTACAAAGAAAATGTAGCATTTGTATTAAACCGACGCTTACTTCTTCAACATCCCCTCTGAATTGTTGGAAGTCTTGAGATTGCTCTAAGATCTTCCTTCTTTCCCTCAACAACTTAAGTGTCTTTTGAAGACTACTCAATGCTTCTTCTTTCTTTGCTGCGATTCTTTAATGATAAAAAAGGTTCGATATGGACCGTTGTTACATGAGACAGACAAAAGCTATCACAAAAGAAGAAACTCGCAATAATCAAAGGCAGCAGAGAAGTGGTTTGTTTTAATAAAAAAAATCCTTTAAAGGTTTAGTTCAATTTACATCTTCCAAAGACTGAAAACACAGTTTGAGTGAGGATTGATATTGGGACCTGCTTTCAGTGACAACTTTATATTGGGACAAGCTTTTAGGGCAAGTTTTAGTGACAATTTTATATTAGGACAAATTTCAGTAACAATTTTATGTTGGGACAAGCTTTCAGTGATGGCTGAAAAAGTTGAAACTGAGAAAAGCTTTTAGTGACAACTATATGTTGGGACAATCTTTTAACGACAGCTTTATGTTCGGACAAGCTTTCAGTGACAATTTTATGTTGGGACAAGCTTTCAGTGATGGCTGAAAAAAGTTTAAACTGAGAAAAGCTTTTAGTGACAACTTTATGTTGGGACAAGCTTTCAGTGACAACTTCATGTTGGGACAGGCTTTAAGTGAAAATTTAATGCCTCACAAGAATTCGATGACAATTTTGGGAAACTTCAGTCAAGGCTACAGATGAATAATTTAACTGAAATTTCTGTAATCTATACTTAGCAAACTCGTTCACATAATATTTCAACACAATCAAACTTACAAAGACGAATCAAAATGGCCTGTTTCTATCATTTCATCCGCGTTAATTACTAGCTTCTTCAACTTTTCTTCCAACTGCGATACTTTTTGCGATATTTCTTCAACCTGCTTAAGCAATGTAGTAACGTTTTCCATTGAGGCCTGAAATAAAACTAATTATGATTATCACGATTCTTAAACTTGCGTATATAAATTCTGGTTACAAATATTCCAAAGTGTCACAAAGAATAACAGAAAATTCGCTAAAAGGAAATCTCGATGCAATATTTAGTCTGTGTTTGGGTAACTATGCCAATTAGAACTTCATTTGTATGTTTTCTTGGAAATAGCGTTTCATAGCCTTTGACCATTTACACTAATCAACCACAGGAGAACATTGAAAGGTCCCGTCTACACAAATGCGTGGCCTTAATATAGCAGTCGCTTCATTATCAATAAATATGTAATGTAAATACGTGGCCTTAATATAGCAGTTGAGACGTGGGGAATATTCCCTGGCGCTAAGTATTGACAGAAAAACAGTATTTGGAAAAATATACTGGGAGAGAATATGAACGAGTGATACGACCCGGGCTTGGCAATCATAGTATTTACTATGATAAGCTGTAAAGGCTACCGCGAAATGGATCTACATGTAGACAACACTAGCCTTGAGTTTTTTGCGCTGCTTAGTGGTTATAAATAAACTGATGTATGGATAAGAATAGCTTGAAAGGACTTTTACAAATACATAAATCTATAGAATTTTTGTCCCAATCTGATCCGATCTAATAAATTTCGATAAGGAGACACAGGGAAGCTGGCTTCTTGGAAACAAGGTCTCCTTTTAACTAGGTAGGAAACTACAAATACTAATTTTGGTTGTCTACCGAAACCCGTTTTTTCTTATAAGAAAAAACACAGCGCAAAACCATGTTCTAGACACGTGAGAGCTTACGCACAAGCAAAATGAATTTCTCAGTAACCTTTTTAACAGGTTTATTGCAAATGAAGAAATTATTCCGTTAACATGCTTTTTAAAAGGCTTTTGTGATTCAAGGTTCAGATTTCGTTTCTGTTAAATAGCGTTAAGAATGTTCGGCTGCGAAATAAACATAATTTCAAGCATAAGGAAAAAGCTCATTCGACAAAGAGAACTGTAAGACTTCTTACCAAAACAGTGGAATTTTAACATACACATATTACATTAACATAATAAGGATTGACTTCAGAAATCGCAATGACATCTTTTTTCTCAATAGGTCTATTGGAATAAAGATAATCAAATAAAACAGGTTTTAGATTGTAGTATATAATTATAAAAACAATTTTAAATTGTGATATAGCTATAATGATTAGATCATTTTTAACCGTCATCAAAGATATTGTTTATAAACATTAAAAACCCCAGAATCTATTTCATTTCTTGATAGCCCAAGTGTATAGCGCGGGCTTATCCATTGTGCGTCAGTCACAAAGCTGATTTGTATATTAACTGAACTTTTTAATGGGTTAATGAAAATGAATGAATGAAGATAAAATGATTCTAATTACAAAAATTAGCTGAGGTGAACTGAGTGGAGTTGTGTGCTGAGTAGAAAGATCAAAACAAAGGGCGAAATTTAAGCAGAGGACTCAGAACACGTTGTTATGTGTAAATGAATGTCTTATATTCACTTAAGGACAGCAAATCACAGAATCAGACGTTGCAACGAAAGACTATAAGCAAAGGAAACAGGTGACAAATATGAACAAGCTGAAAAAAATCTGTTTGTTTGTGCTGTTGAGTAGAAAAAATGCTTCCCCCTATCACCAAAGTGAATGAGCAGCTGTTAGAAAATTAACAAGAAAAACAATTTAAATCAAGCCTACCCCAGTGTCATCAGTGGACAACAATTTTTGAATGACGATTGTTTTTGAAATGAATGAGTCTGCATCGCTGTGAAACATCTGAAAATGAGAAATGTGAAGGAGCAAATTAATGAGATTTTGAAAATGCACTGGCTTGAAAATTGATATTAGCTTATCAGATTTATTACATTGCCCCGAAACTACCTGATTGCAAAAAGTTCGTAAACAGCTTCAAGTTTTGTGCGGTACGTAGTCCTTTCGGGAGGATGAGGAACGTTAAGTAGACAACATGTCGATCCAATGAGATTATAGTACGCGTTAGGCTTTTCCATCTGCCCCAAAGAGCTGCGTGTCAATCATACATTCATGAGTAGTTTTTTGCGATTAACAGTGGCGGTGCAGCCCAAAAAAGATGGGACGCACATCTCAAAGACAATATTAGGCAACAACTTCGTGGCAACTTAGACAAAGCTGACACTAAAAGGACAACCGAACAAGTTCTTGCTGAAGAAACCTTAAGCCCGGCCCCTAGTAGCCGCTTTTTTCGACTGCAGACGCCAGATTGTCCAGCGTCGGCTTGCCATAGAGCTATCGTAAGCTAAACTCTTTCCATGCGTAGGTTTAATAAGTCACTTTCAGCGACCCTCCTGTAGGAAAACTGTGCTTAAAAACACAAAAAGCTATTCAGAGAAAGTTAAGAAATTTAAAACTTCCTTTTATCTAAGTATTTTTTTTCTGCTTTCGTTTTAGTAGGCTTCAATTAGCAGTAATTTTGCTATCACTTTACGCGCCTACTATAAAGAAATTAATAATAATAATAATAATAATAATAATAATAATAATAATAATAATAATAATAATAAAAATAATAATAATAATTATAATAATAATAGTAATAATACCTGACTGTGATGAATATGTATGAAAGGCAAACAGCCCTCATTTTGTTTAAGGAAGTCATCGCTGTCTTTTTGGGTCATGTTCATGATAACATTGGCCTAACAACTTGGATATTTTTTAAAACGTTTTAAGAAATAAAATGAACTTTTTCTAGCTATCTGGTTTTTTTGCGGCGTTTCCACGTCAAGTTGCATTAATTCGTCTTGTCGCACGCATTCTCACTGGGAAAGCATTTAACTACAAATCAAAGCCGTTGAATTTAATAAAATTTTACATAGGTTCAATAGTAAGCGGAAAAAAATGCAAATGGATGAAGAACAGAACATTATAACGAGTCCCTAGTTTGAAATTTCCACGGAGGGAGATGACATATCTAGGAATGGGGTGGGCAAATTTATCGGAAAAAAGAATGGCCCGAAGAAGTGTAGGGATGTGGCCAACCAGGTGAACATCCTTCTTTACGGAAATAGCAATAAAGGCATTTCTAAACATTAATATTTCACACATACCAATGCATATTTGCAGCCAGAAAGCTGACGTTCTCTTGCTTGCCAAAGCTCTGGGACATTCTTTTGATGCACCAACAGCTCTTCTATGAGACCATGAACATCTTCAGAAGTGGCGCTTTTGGAGATGAGGGCTTGCCCACTTTTGATCAAATCTGTGATCCTAAAATTCAATGGGAATGCCATTGAATAGATAAATATAATCTTTGCTTATAAAAAGCATATTGTTTTGATCATACACCATGCACTGATTTACTTTCAAACACAATTACTAATAAAGTAATTGTTAAAAGGAGACACTTGTCACAGAAGGCACTATCTAAGATGGTCTGATATCTTGGGAGGCCCTTTTTCAGTTCGTATTTCATTCTCTTGTACTCAAAACTTAAAAAAGTAATAGAAAAGGTGGGAATAGATAAAGAAAGAAGCAGCAAATAAAAAGAGAATCTGTTGCGGTACTGAGAGGATCTGGTTGCCATACATGGGTGGATTATTATTATTACACATAATGTTAATAAAGAATCTTCAGAAAAATAGAATATGAAATTTCTGATTATTGTGCATCATAAGAATAGGGTTGATGCATTTTAAGAATAGAAAGTTTAAACACTATGTCTCGAGCAAGTATACAATACTTCATGCAGATAGGCAAACATACAATACTTCTTGAGGTTGGACTAAGTACCTTTGTACATTTCCTTCCGTTTCCATGAGAGCTTCATTATGGGCTCTAAGAAGATCTTCGACAACAGACAAATCTTTGGGAAGATCCCTCTGAGAGAATCGGTTGCTTGCATCTTTTGACCAAACAACCTAGAGTTTCAATGTGGTTTACTTGGTCAATGTGGTTTAGTGGAATTTGCTAAAATATACTGGACCTAAATATCGGCAGGCATGAAGTGGCATTTTTATCAATTCATAGATAGAGATTTTAAGTTCAGCTCTGCTCTACAAGGGCTGAAAAAGTCTCCATAAAGCCTGATTTACAAAAGATGAATTTTTTCGTGCGAAGCGAATTTTTCACCGCGAATGGGCGAAAAATATTCCTACTTATCGCTGCGAAGTTGTTCGCCTTGTAAAATAAAACAATCAGAACAGCATTTGAAGACACCTGACTTCTGTTTTGGTTTCAGATGGCCTACGTCTTTCCGTATTCTTTTTTTCAAACACTCTCGCCTATAAATCGTCAATAAAATACGTTGGTAATTATCCATTTCCTGTTCCTCGTACATAATCCATTCAAGTGTATTCATATCAGATTATTATTCAAACATATGAATTTCAAATTGACGAAAACTGGCTTGAAAGTTTCATCGTTCTCCCGATATGTCAGAAATAAAAAAAATATGCAAGAATTATTTTCAATTTGCTGAATTGTTGGCTGCTTATTGGCCTGCTCAACAGCAACAGTTTTAAGCAGATGCACTAACAGGATCTCGCATGCTCTTGCAAGCTTCAATGGCGACCTTTGAAAAAATGAACGTATTTGAAGAAGTTAGTCTTATAAATCAAAACGTAAACCTCTCTTACCGAAATATGAATTTCTCCCTTCCGATTGCGTCTTGAATAAATTTTTCTAATCCAGTATCGCCTTTTGCTGTTTTGCTCAATTTTTTGATAAATTTAAAATTTTAAGCTTTCTGATAAGAGCATTCTTCGGACAGTCGCTATATTCTTTTGTAATATTCACAGTGAATTCGCATAAAAATTTCTGCCAGTGTAAATTGAACTTCAAATTCGAGAGAAAAATTCACAGCTAAAAATTCGTGGCGAAAAATTAGCTTCGCGCGAAAAATTCGTCCGTTGTCTGAAGGTGACCTATGTAGGGAGATGTCTGTTTTAGGGAGATTTCCGTTGACGGGCGATGTCCCTGGTAAGGATGTGTCCTTGGCAGGGCGATGTCCGTTGCAGAGAAGTGTTTGTTGTAGGGTGGTGTATGTTGAAGGGTGATCTCCGTTGTAGGAAGGAGGTGTTTGTTGGGAGGTAGGTGTCCATTGTCTGTAGCTTACTTACGCAAAGCTTGTTTGAAGGTCTTGTTAATTAGGGTTGGTATATAAATGAAGGTATATTTACTACATACGATTCGATTCACGGGAATATTGGTGATAGCAAAAACAACACGAAATGCTTTATATTGATCAAAGGTGACTACACTAATTTCTTTTATAAGAAACTGGCTATAAAAAACTAGAAACTGGTCCCAAACGGGTACGGGACGGGTAGCAGATCCAAATGGGATCAAATCCACCAGGTCCGGTGTAAACGCAAGGCATTCCCATTGCATACTTTGCCAATCTTCTTAACAAAAAGTCTGCATATGACGTTGTTTCTCTAGGCATACACTCTTTTTTTATAAGAACAATTTTATAAGAACACGAGCCTCAAAACTGGTCCAAAGTTAAGAACAAATTAAGAGCAAGCTGAGGCTGAGCTTCTGCAAAGTGCAATTTTGAACAACGTTTTTTCTCAAAATCGAGGAATTTTAGCGATGCGTGGGTGCTTTTTCGGTGAATATTCAAATTTGTCAGCAAATTAAGGCTGTCTCACTCACTTTGTTGGCAAATGAGGCCTGAACACCCCCTTAGAGCGAAAAAGCTAGCAAAAGCACTGCTTACACCCTATTAGATTAAGAATAAATTAAGAACAATCCAGCCTCAGATTTTCGAAAAAATTAAGAACAGTCAGCCTGAACTTAAATTTACTGGTTCTTATAAAAAAAGAGTGTAATTATTAAAAATATGATTATAGAAACAAGATCAATTTACCATCTCTCTATAGTCAGCAAGGAAGCCTTGGTACCCATAGGCCTCTTGTAGCATATTTTTACGAGCAGCAGCTTTTGCCTAGAATTAAGCAAACAAAATATTGACAGTGTACTGAAACACAATGTACTTAAGCACAAAGGGAGTTCTTGGCTCGCGTTAGGTGGTTTTGGGTGGCTTTTGGCTTGTTTGGCTTGTTTTCGGTCATTTTGGCTGCTTTGGGTAGTTTTGAGTCCATCCTTGTTTTAGTCAGTACGGGACACGAAGAAGAAGGACGGTCAGCGTAGAGAAATAAATTGAAAGCAATTTTGAAGATAAAAACTGTAGAATTGGGTTCTCTCAAATAACCCCAACCACTCACAGAGCACATTTTATACCTGACTGCAAAGTGCAAAAGAGATATTTCGGTGATGAACAGAAAGAGCCTGTTTATTTTACACAAAGCCTCCATTTAAGGTGAATGTATTATCTTTGAAAAGTACTGTTGATGTTCTGCAGGGCAAAGCGATGTTTCAAAGAAAGTTATTCAGCACTTTGAGCATACGATATTGATGCGACTTGTTAATGCAAAACAACCCTTTGATGAACCAGCAAATGAATCAGTTTTTAGATTTTACGTAAAAAGTTTGGAAAGAATCTGATTATCACTGGCAGGTTTCGAAAAAGCAATTACGGCAATGAGTGTGATCTTCCAAGAAGGTTCGGCTACTTCTTGAGCTCTTTAATTCTAAATTCGTTGCAATGAGTTTATACACACGTTAATATTGTAAAACAACAAATACACACGTTAAGTGGGACAAGTGGGACAAGTGGGACAAGTGGGACAAGTGGGACAAGTGGGACAAGTGGAACAAAAAAACGTCGCGAAAAACCTTGGAAAGCAGATTCAAACTAAAGGCTAATGTGCAAATGGCATTCTGTGCGGTAGCTTTCGTCTTACACGAATGGAATAAGCTGTATTTTGTGTTTTAATGCAGTACGATATTAGGCCGGTTTTGAACATATATTCGAAAAGCATGATGGTTGCACAAGAGCCTTTAAATTTAATGTAGCTTATGGAACCTATGTAGCGTAGCGTATGAACTGCCGTAATATGATCACAAAATGCTGTCGAATACACCTGAAAATGCCACAGACGCCGCGAAGAAGAAACAGTAAGAGCCGTGGGAGCGCTGACCATTGCTTATCGAATCGCTGTAGGGGGCAGACCTCATTAAATTTAGAAATTTAGCTTTGCAGATACTATTAATACATAAGCAAAAATGGCACAAACAACTACCGGTAGTCACCACGGGTAATCATAGCCTGATTAAGATAAAAATGAGCATGGTTCAAAAATACCATAAATAATAGTCTGCATTTGCGACATTCACGAAAATATTCACGAAGAACTTCCAAATGCTAATACAGCTAGCTTCGTGGTGAAAGAGACGCCCAAATAATGATACAGAAAACAACATGAAAATATGAATTATGATAATTAAGAGCTCGCAAAAAAGACAACAGGTAGAAATTTCTTGTCATTATTGGTGAGTAGGAAAATAAGTAGGAAAGACCAGCAAGTCAAAAGAAATCATACTTGTGTATGATGTCGCAATAAACAATTAAGAATCCACAACGTCTATTAATTTTAGTATGAAACGATCGTTGCACGTAACACAGCACGCGGTGGTTTACAATGGTCTCAATTGCGCGAATCTAAGCACCGTACCAAAACGAGCAAACATGTGTTTTCCGTTTACACTAGAAATGCAGGATCCGTACCAAAAAAGATCTGCTGTGCATACCTGCTTCGGATTGCTCTTTCAAGGTGTACCTGTTTGGATCCATTCGAAATCAGGTCAAGCTGGATCAAAGGATCGAAACGGGAAAAGATACAATGCGAGCATTTTTTCGCCTCCTCATACGAGCCCTTAATCACATCTCGAGCATTTTCTCGCCATTACGGCTTTGATATGACTAAATTACAAAAAAAGCCCCGGATAAGTCAAAGTTTAGATGGCTGGAATACCAGGAAAAGCCGATCAAATTTCTCACTATGTTCAGCAAAAAGGTCCAAAGAAAACCGACAAGATCAGCGAATATGAGATCATACATAAATCATGTAGTAATTCTCATTGACCATTTCTAACTTACGAAGTTAATTATAACTCTTATTTTGTTTGTCTAATTTTTTCGCTCACAAAATCTACAGGACCATCGACCTTTACTTCTTGAAGCTAGCAAACATAAGAACACGCTTATAATACCTTTTTGGGTCAGCAAACACATTGAACATGTTTCGAACAGCTTCTTGTGGCTAACAAATGTACTGGGCATGTTTCAAATAGTTTCCAGAATCATAACATCAACGGAATTTTAGAGGGGTTACACACTCAGGAGTGGATAATGTGCGAATCAGTCAATGAACCAGACATTAGAGAACTACAGAAATTTCTTTTTCTGTCTAAATGTCAAATCCGAGCTCGCTGAGATAGAGGAAAAAACATGGTCGCTGGAAATTGCTGGAAATGTTAACAGGTTGCTGGTAATTAGAAAGCATCGTTCGACGTTTGGAGGGAGAAAGACTAGATATCAAAGAGCGGGGTTCGATAACTGGAAGCAATCCACCAGCTCTGACAAGCAGAGCTTATGATGACGAAATCAACCACGGTGCGAGAATGGCTCAGTTTTTAGAGGCGTTAACTACAGATCAAAAAGTCCGTGGTTCGAGTCCCTGGCATGACCAAACTTTCACCCAGAGTGGGGAGAGTCGCCAGCTCTCTTTAATTCCAGGCGTAGGAATCACGAGGTGTGGTCACATCGATAGGAAGGACCAGGACACTGCTCGATAAGCATAGCTTTTCAGTGTCCTAAAAACTACCTTCGGATGCTAGGTAGCAACAAATACAAATACAAACCACGTCATAACTATGTTTGAAATTCTCATCCCCAGCATCTTTAGAGATTTTCTGTTCTATAACGCCTCTTTAAATTCCTTTGAAATTACATCGTCTTTGAAGGAAGCAAGGAACAACTTATTCTTCATTATATTGTTAGAGGGGATGGATGACATCCCTTTCAAGAAACCGACCTCGCAGTTAACCAATTGTGGTTTTAATAACAGATATTTCCTTTGTGACCCACATGACTAACAAGAAGGGTAAGGGATTTTTGCCTCGCAATCCAAGCAGGTGAAGTGCGCTGTAGTGTTGCCCTGCTGAATTTTAAAAATTAGTGACAGCAGCATATACTTAAGGAGATGAGGTCTAGAGTTTAAGACTTTAGAACCTGACGATAAGAGACGTCTACATGTGCGAGAGAAACAGTTAAATCTTCTGAAAATAATGACGGCTTCTCATTAGATGGTGTTTCTTGATGCCTATTTATAAATAATTGATGAGAAACTTAGTACTGTGAGTGAGAAAAAAATTTATTAAGCCAAAATTTTAACAGTTATTCGTCAAAGATTATACTCGCAACAGTGAACAAATTTCATGCGACTTTCCTGAATCCCACTGTTCATTCTAAGATATTTTAAAAAAGAAGTGGTTTACCTTAAGCAATTCCCAACATTCATAGACATCTTTTTCCTTTGACCTGACCTCCTTCAAAGCTGTAGGCTGCATGTTGTACAGACTTGTTGGAAAAAATTGATTTTCAATAATTATCAAATATTTCCATAAGAATTGCCATAGTCATCTTGTCAAAAAATTTAAGCGCTAGAAGATCAACGTGCAATGTCCGCAATGGGTAAATCTCGTGTAACGTAAAATATGTGACCAAAGGTAATCAATCGAAATGACCCAGTAAAATCTTTGGCTCGATCAAACTAAACTTAAGAACAGGAAAGTAGACATTGAGATTTTAGGACACTACATAAGACTTATACCTTATATAACAGATCAGTCAAGTTCATTGTAGCTCATTAAAGTTCAGTACAGTTCAGTACAGTTTAGCACAATGAATGTTTAGCACAATAGCCGAAAATGAACTTGTTCGATTCAAAACAGATGCAAAAAAACCTAGCTCAGAATAGGTCACAGATAACGTGCTTAACAAACCTGGTGGAATCAGCCTTCAACTGTTTGATTTTATCGCTTATAGCAAACATCTCTTGCTCGAAATTCTAGGACAGGAAAATTAAATTTTTGGAATTTATAATACGGCACAAAAATAATGATAAAGATCTATGATAAGCTAAGCCAAAGAATAAAGTACACCGCATGCTATATACATACATTACTGCCAATTTTACATTGAGATGAAGCTTTTACTGATTTACTTGAATGATGACCCGGAGATATCTCGATCAATGGTAAAGAGCTACACAATGGGAATTTCCATGATCATCTTGATAAATTTTATTGGGCTTATGTAGAATGAAGCGTACATTTGCTTCAAATGCTAAAAAACCTCAAATGCGATTCGAGGTTTTTTAGCCTCATTGGGCCACTTTGTGCCTCATTGGGCCACTTTGTGCCTCATTGGGCCACTTTGCGCCTCATTGGGCCACTTTGCGCCTCATTGGGCCACTTTGTGCCTCATTGGGGGGCCACTTTGTGCCTCATTGGGGGGCCACTTTGTGCCTCATTGGGGGGCCACTTTGTGCCTCATTGGGCCACTTTGTGCCTCATTGGGCCACTTTGTGCCTCATTGGGCCACTTTGTGCCTCATTGGGCCACTTTGTGCCTCATTGGGCCACTTTGTGCCTCTTTGAGCCAAAATTCTGTAGTAGAGGGCCAGCTCGTCAATATTTCTTATAAAGTCAACGAAGACAGGCTTTTAAAAAGGATGTCTCCATTGACTTAATTCTCCAAAAAGACAAAATAAATGTTAAAATAAGCATGAAATATTGTTGGGAAACAGGTCACACTCAAATTGACAAATAAACAGTTGATCTTTGGTCAATCACGGTTAGATCGATGGGCTCAAGCAAACTTTTGGCAGAAAGCCATTAAAAAATGATGCCTTCCTTTCAAATACTGTTGATTTCAAATAAATGCTCTTTCTCACTGTGAACTTGATAGACCGAAACATAAAGGCCAGATGAAATGACTTGCTACTTAATTTGTTCATTGACTTAAGTAAGAAAGGAAATTGGCAAAACAGATCATAGTTTATACCTGGTGCTTTCTTTGCAGTGTGCGGATCGTTTCCTGATTGTTTCCCACTGGTGTGTCCGTCAGTTGATTAGATTTTTCGACGATCCAGCTTTTTACTTCATCACACAACTTTGAAAACATTTCAACTCTGTAGGATAATATAAATTGAACGATTTCAAACTCATGCTAAGGAAATGACTGTTCTGTAAAGCCTCATTATCTTCAACACAATTTTGAAACCTTTAATAAATTCCTTACTGCGATAATTACTTCTACAGGAAGATCACATTGGGAAAAATTATGAAAAAGCAAGAGTTTAGCTACACAGGCAATTTTAAAACAGGAGATTGATAAGCAAGTAATTCAGAATCATGTGAGGAAATCTTTTGAAAGGAGAAAATGTATGAAACTAAACAGATAGCAAAACGCTAGTTTCATCAAACTTAGACTTGTTTTGTAGACAGCTCAACCAATGTAATTAAAGAGCATTAAGATGTATGGGAGGCTCAACCAATGTAATAAAAAACCTTTAAGATGTATGGGAGTGAAGCAATATCGTAAAAACAAAATAAATTGGAAATAGATATTCCCGATCAACTAAAATCATAAAAACGTCACTCAAATGATTAGGACTTTGGCTATCACATCACAGATGGCAATTATATAGATAAAGAAAGCTACCGTTTCAATTTATTAGCAAAAAGGGACTTGCGCTTAACAAAAAAAATTCTTTGAAATTTCAGACAAAAATTACACAGAACCACGTTAACCTTCAAAACATTATCAACCATTCTCTTAATTTTCTGCCATTAAGATTCATAGATTTGCTCATCCATATAATACTAACTTTCAATACTCTTTCAAAAAAGTTTTCTTAGATATGAAAAAATCTTTAAGGACAATATCAAAAATTTAGATATACACCACTAAAAAGTTTGATTGATGAAAATTGAAAAAACTGTGGCATACCCGTGGCTCTTTAAAAGATCTTCTTCTCGATATGTCTTTATTCTGTTTAATTCTTTGTACCTTTGGGGACGATTATTGTAAAAAATCACTGAGCATCAACCACTAATCACTAATCACTAATCACTAATCACTAATCAATAATCACTAAAATTTTGTTTCGATAAATGAAGAGCAAAAAAGGGTAAGAAAATCTCGAGTGAGGATTCTCTTCGAAAGCTTGATAGAAGTTGAAATATGGAAAATAAATCGTATTATCTCCGCATGTTCAGAACAGTCTAACCTTTCAAACATTGTGCAGAGACTGTTCTCGACATCGCCTCTGTAATCTAAGCTTTCTTTTTCAAGAATTTCTCTGCCCTTTTGTTCTACGTTTTTGTACAATTTTTCATTGGCAGATATTTCCCAGTTTGTTCTCTACAGATATAAAGAAAAAAGGATATATACCAAAAATGAAATTACACTTTTCAGAAAAATCTCAAAGCAATTAAGTAGTTAAATGAACAAAGCAGGTAAAAAACAATCCGGTTGAAAATATCTTTATAAAGAAAGGCTGCTGATAATAAAGTAGCATGTCAAATGGGAGGTACTTTGCTCCAAGCTTGACTAAAACGGCATTTCAAGCGAAAAGAGTGGTCAAAATATAGCAAAAGTAGCAATTCATATAGAACTAGCTACTATACAGTAGAAACCCACTTAAAAGAACCTAGGTTTCTTCTGGCAGCCTGAATAGGTTCTTAATTAACAGGCTGCTATTCTAAATTCCAGTCTAAATGCTTCTTAACAAGGTTCTTAACCTTTCTTAAGGTTAAAAACCTTTCTTTCTTATATATATAAAAGAACCTTTCCAAATTTCAGCCTCTTGGGGGTTCTTATTTATGGGGTTTTAAAGGTTAAATTTCAGCCTCAATGTTTCTAAACAAACAGGTTCTTATATGTGGGTTTCTATGCTATGACAGCGGAATCGCAAACAAGCACTATGCCGAGAGAATCGAATCCTGAAAGCATTTGCTCACCCGAAATAAAAGCAATTACTAGATAGAAGGTGGAGTTCTTTCGCTATTAGGACCATCTGCTTTAAGCTTCGGTGTGCTAGCTTACAGTACAACAAATAGCCTATTATAGCCAGATGTAACAAAATGAGAAAGAAGTAGCTATAATTTCCCCACGATTTTGAGACCTAGGCGTATCAACTAATGCAAAACAGCTACTAAAAACAGCAAAAATTTTTGAATATAACGGCGACACGGAAAACGTCTATCCTAAGGTATACTAAACTTAAAGAAAGACGTCAAGTACATTAGAAGTTTAAAAGGAAAGGCCCAGACAACTAATAAGGCAAACTGACAATATTCCTACGCCTTTTTCTATAGCTATCCTGAATTAAAGATGGGGCAATGAAAATTTAGCTTTAAGCTCTGCACGTTACCAAAGAAATCTAGATTTATGTTTTCCCGTTAAAATAGATTTCTAGTATTTTCCCACATTTGTGCTTAATCAATGGCGGGACTATTAAGAACAAAATAATTGTTCCCTCGTAGCCAATATTTGCTTGCCGACACGGAAAAAACACACCTTGGGCTTTAGGCTTGGTTTTAACTAGAGTAAATTTTAAAACGGGACAAAGCAAATTTCTTCTGTCCCTGCCCTACAAGCCCAAAGGACCACAAACCCCCCTGTCATCTATAGACAATATGCAAGCATTATTTACTGTAAATCAATAACAAGCAGTTGAAATTGCAAAAGAAAAAGGCAAGTATGCCATTCTTGTGCCATTGTAGTAGTTTTCTTTCTATGTTTCGCCAATAATGTTTGGTGCGAGAATAGAAGTACTACCCAGTGAATGCGGAAACTTAATGAAGTGGAAAAAAAACTACAAGGATCAACATCGATACTTCGAAAGAAATAAAAAACAATTACCTCCAGTAGCTTTTTAATTGTATCAAAGTCGATGTTTTCACCAAATGAAGTCCATCTCTCCAAGTAACGAATCTAAGAGAAAAAGACGAGCACATTTAGCAATAAGAAACACATTTAGCAATAAGAAGCAGTGGACACAAAAACTTTTACCGCTAAAAGCAAACCCAAAAGTGAAGACATTTAAATCGCAGCCCTGTTTTAATTAGTTGAACTCAATCGATGAATTTAGTTGCGTTGGTGAATAATCTAAGTAATAAAAATATCGTGAAAAATCTACCTAGATTTTTGACATTGCGATATTAAGTAGCAACTGTTTTTGAGGACCTGCTATTACTTGAATAATGACCTATTTATTGTTAAAGTACTAGAAAAAATAAAAATAATTTAAATAACACATGAATATGCTCTTAAGAAAAATTATTTGTGTTGACAACCGAAAGATAGGCATTACTTGCATATTCACACTCTGATGGTTGTAACTTCTATCATTGCTGAATTATATTTGGGTTAGCAGATTGTCTGGATAATTAGAAAATTTTGCAAACGCTAGCTAGAGACTTAGAGATATTTTGAGTTAGGAAATTTCCAGGTCTTGTAAAAATGCTCAAACGACGCGAAAAGTATTAAACAAGGATTATCATTATATATCGTGCAGAATCGTTGTTAATTATCAAATATAAAAGAGATAATTAAATGCAGAACCAATCGGATGCGATGTTCTGTCTTCAACTAAGGAATTAACTGAATACTAGCTTGAAGACGAATGCGGCCTGAGATCAACAATACTCAAGTGATTGACCCGAGAACCAATAAAATGACATAAACATGCACAAATTAGCGTCAGTAATAAATCATTTGGCTAAAAATAGGTTAAACATTTCAAGCATATAATAGTAAAAATTAATTATTAACAGAAATATAAATATTTCACCGGCTATTTCGCTGTTTATGGGGACTTAGGAAAAGTTAATCTTAAAAAATAATTAACTATTTACAGTTAGTCCTAACAAGTTTAGTTTGAGAGGAAAGAGCCTTTGATTTGGTAACATTGATTATTTATCGAACAGTTACTTAATTATTGTTACGTAATAGCAAAGGGATTCCGTTTTGGGCTACGCACTGTTGCCCGGAAAAATCAATTTCAATATTGATGGGGTGTAGAAGAGTGCATGGTAGCAGTAGCATCGAGGTCGGGCAGTGAGTGGTCAGAAAGTTGGGGAATATTCATTAGAGGATCGGGCAGCAGGGGAATCTGCAGTGGGCGATTGCTAAGCAATTGGGGGTCGGGCAGTGGGGGAAAGGGCAATACGGGAGACTAAACAGTTGGGGATTAGGTAGTGGGGGATAAGGCAGCGAGGAAACTGGCAGGAGGTAAAGCAGTGTGGCTGGGGGGGGGGGGGGGTAAAGCAGTATGGGATCAGGCAGTTGGGGATAAGACAGTACGTTAACAGTTGGGGATCAGAAATTGGGGATCAGGCAGTGGGACTCAGACAGTGAGGGAACATGCAGTGGTGGAACATGTAGTAGAGGAATTGGCAGCAGGGGAACATGCAGTGGGAGACTAAGCAGTTGGGGATCAGACAGTAAGGGGATCGCAATTGGGGGATCAAACAGTGGAGGATATTTTCAGAAAATGGTAGAATTTGTCCGAAAATTTGGGCTAAAAAATTACAAGCACCAAAGTTGTTTCTATACTGCTGAAAAAATTGTTCAAAGATTGGTCTCACGTGACATCGTCCAATTTGTAAAAAAACGTCTTACTTACTTCCAAATTCAATCTGTTACCTCCCCAATTGTTATCAACGATATCAAATTATGTGAAAGCTAAATAATTCAAGAGCCATATGTAGCCGGAATTAAAAGATGTTTGCAAGAGACCTTCTAGCTTTGCTGATAATACTTTAATATGCTTTAAATCGATTAAAATTTATCAAAGCATATAAAAGAATATCATTTTAAATTTAGGTGAAGAATTTGAGCATGTGGCAAGAACATAGACTTAAGATAAAAGCGGTAGCTATTCTAACTGCCGCGAGCATTTTTCAGATCTCATCTTGACTGTAATATCCACCTGTTTAAAGATAGCAACATAAATAGATGGCAACATAAATTTATATTGTTTTCCGACTTTTCCTTGCAATTATTTAATTTATATATATCAAGGTTGCTCTGTTTCCATATAACATAGAGTTATATATGTTTGGAGACAAACACTCCTGTCAGGGAATGACTTTATTCTTAAAGCTTCAGTATGATTAAAGTCAACAAGTATATTTCTGAAAATAATATAGAATTTTTAAACGTACTTGATCTTCAATCCAGGTCATAACCTGACCGTGAATAGAGCGAAATTCAAAATAGGCGAGGGCTTCACGTAACTTAATATCTCGCTCCTGCAAAATAAGTTACAATGAAAATTAAAAATTTTCAATTCTTACGCTGTTGGGCAAATTAACAGATTAAAGGTTGATTCAGCGCCAAATTGTATTGAAATTCTATGTAGTCATCTGAAACATGATTAACAAGTAAATTGACCTTCTTTTTAAACCAGGTTGAAGAACTCCGCGATATCGATTAGTAAAGAGAATATACATTTCCAAGAGAAATTATGCAAACGCATAATGTTGATTTAAAATTTCACTGTATTTTTTATAGACACATACAACTGAATCACGTTATGTACTCCCAAGTAACTGCCACTCCGTCTAACAAACTCGCAATTTCAATCGGATTTTCCTACCTAATTCAAGTCAAAATTCGTACCCCGAGTAAGTCTGACATCCCCTAAGTTGGGAAATTTTCTCACCCCCTTGAAGTCTGACATAACGGCACTCAATCCTACTTTTAATATTATCCTAGTTTTAATTTCAGAAATGGATCAAACTATAACACACTAAAAACTTGCTTGGAGAAAGCAAACAGATTTATGACAACATGCTTATTACTAACATTTTATTGCTTGTTGCCTCATTTTCCACTCTGTTAAAATTATGAACAGGAGAAAAACCCAACCTAAAGGCTTGTCTTTTAAGCCTTGAAGATGATTGTTGTATAATCTTTGTTAAACCTTAGTCAAGAGTGGATTAGATAATAAATTGTGCTCAAGGACAACATTAGATGAAATAACAACTAGCATAGTTGAGCCATGCAACTACGAGTTGATTCACTGTGAATATGTACAGGTTTTGTTTCATGCAACTGCGACAATGACCTTCCATAAACCAAATGATCAAAACTTCTAAACAGCAGTTCAGAAGGTATCGTAGCATTTTGAAAATGGAGATCGTAACTCTTGATTTTCTTGATTGGGTTATGTTCTCAATGCTCCAGATTGAACTTGTTTTTTTTAAATCTTGCAATTTTAGGAGCCAGCCGATTGACAGTTTTGGTCCAGAAGTGGAGACTCCAGATCCGAGGAATTTTAACTAAATAGACATAACATGGTCGCACACACCATGATTATCTGTGTAAGAGCGACAACAGGACAGGTGCAAGATGCTAATTCCCCATTGCAGATTAGGACAAATGCACTCTAAAGTTGCAAAAACAGCAAGCTATCTGAAATCGGTGTAAATTATTCATTTTCGTATAAGAAACAAACAATCTTACGGTACAAACCTCAGCAGCTGACTTAAGTTTTGAGTACGCTATTACGATTGCGAGGTGTCGAGTTGTAACATTCTCCCGGTCAAAATGTTGAGTGAAACGTGGTTTTCTTTCTCTCTTTTTGTCTAAAAAATGAAGTGACGTCATATTAACGTACACGAAAGTCATACGGCGTGTTTAACAAATTCCCGCCACATACACGACCGTTGTAAAACCAAGTTATAGCTCAATTGTTGAAAAACTGTCAACGTTGTTGGAAATCAGCTCACATGAAATTTACGTGTTGCTAAACAATTTATCTCCCGACACTCAACGGTTACCCATAGTCCAACAACGGTTACCTATTGTCCAACAACGGTTACCTACTGTCCAACAACGGTTACCTACTGTCCAACAACGGTTACCTACTGTCCAACAACGGTTACCTTTTGCTCAACAACGGTTAACTTTTGTTCAACAACGGTCACCTATTGTTCAACAACGGTTACCTATTGTCCAACAACGGTTAACTATTGTTCAACAACGGTAACCTATTGTTTAACAACGGTTACCTATTGTCCAACAACGGTTACCTATATTTCAAAAACCGGTTACCCATAGACCAACAACGGTTACCTATTGTCCAACAACGGTTACCTACTGTCCAATAACGGTTACCTATTGTTCAATAACGGTTACCTAATGTTCAACAACGGTTACCCATTGAACTGACGTTCGACAAAGGGAACCACGCAGATAATTACAAGCGATCGTATACAAAATCTAACAACGAACTGAACGGTTTTCTTCTTTGAACCTGCCCAGACCCCTGACACAAAACATTTCTACATCCGTCTTGTGTCTTAAAGTGTTCACTACATTGCATTTTAAGCATCTTCGATGACACCACTTCTCCCATAAATCGACGCCTAGAGATACAATTTCCAATTAGGTCTTTCGCCAAAGAAGGTCCCGTTGTACAGGGAATGATTGCATCCCCTAAGACGCAGTAGAATATTTCAAAACTCAGCAATGCTTTTGTTTCAGCAAAAATAACTGACTTTGGGGACAAACTGGTTTAGCTACAAGACATTTCGCTGGGATGTCATGATGAAGGAGACACAAGTCTGCTGGTATCAAATCCACTAAATTCAACATTAGCTAACCGAAAATTCGTGGTTATTAAAATATTATCAAAATAATTTTTACAATTTCATTTTTCATGCTGTTTCTTGGGAATACCCCCACCAACCACCCCAATTCTCTTTAATTTGGAACAGCAAATAATTTTAATAAGCAAGAACAGCTATAAGCTTGGTCAAGTTGATTCTCTCTTGGCTTTACACTGTGTCGTTTCGCACAATTGGAATAGAGAAGAAAAAGCTAACTCACTCGATCTCCGTAGTATTGATGATGTTCTTTTGGCTCTTTTATCGGTAAATTTTTCTTTAGTTTTTCTCTCAACTTTGACTCGTTTCATCTTCTTTTTCTTAACCCTAACGTTTTCCACAATTTTAACCTTTTCAACAACTGGCTTTCTAAATAATTTTGGTCCAATCTCTTCGACATAGGCGGCTGGGATATAGCCACTCTCCTTGCTATTGACGCGCCTAGAAACCAATCGAAGTAAAAAATGTTTCAAGGGCCTAAGTGAAAAACATAGCCAATTTGTAATAAGCATCATTATTTCTTTTTTTTCAACATTTAAATCAACTATAAAAAGATAAATCTTCTCAATCAATTGATTAACTTTCAAAGATGATAGCAAAAAATAGCCAAAGAAATTCGTAATTCAATGGAAGGCTACGAATATGAACAATTTGCTTTGGTTCTTCAAGTGGTCAAATCATCATTTTTCAAATGTTACTTCAACGACTGATCAATATTTTCCTTACAGCTTTTTGCAAATGTTCGACCAAAACTTTTTGACACAGAAAATCTCGTGGGTATTTAGGAATATGCAAGGATAATAGAAATAAGACACTTAAAATACATTTTGCAAGCATTTAATCAAACTTCAAACAGGATACATACAATGAATGCCCGGGGAACAAACATTTTTTTAAGAAAAGCAAACTTCGTTTGATTATCAAAACATCGGACAATAAAAAGGTTTTTTGACAAGTATATTCAGATAAAGGAAATATCAAAATCCGGTTTGAGAAAAAAAGGATAATCAGGAAGCTGGTTTATAAATCTTTTGCCAGTTAGCAAAAAAGACAAAAACCTGACGCTCCACCAATCATTGTTTGTCTTTGCAGCCAGGTAGAATATCTGAAAAAACGTTGAAAATAACATTTGCTGCATAATGGCTGTCAAATGTTAAACATTTTTGTTGCTGTAAGGGGGATACATAACAACAAAGATAATAAACGTATGCATGATAAATACTATGTACATTCTAAATGTATTTCAAACGAGGAACACTACGAATATATTTAGAGCGCAAACAGGCTTTCAATGATGTTAAGACCATTCGAAAATGAACATTTGCGGATCACGTGATCCGGAGAATTCTATAGCCTCCTATCCGCCCAGCCTCATTTTGAGGTTACTTTTTACAATTTCTTCATTAGTTATTCCTTTGCTAATTTGCACCTCCGTTTTAATTGGGCCTTCAAAGGCATCAACTCTCAATAGTTCGCATAAATAAAACACGCTTTAAGGTTAATCAAACTCATAAATATTTATCAGATTTAATCAATTTAAATTTTCCATTCTTCCAGTTAAATTTTTTGATTATATTCACTTTTAGGGATCCAGCTGTTGACTCTTTAACAAGCTCTTAAACCAACGAAGCACTAGAAAAGGATGGCGATGTTTGGTGATGACATCAGAGAAAACTATCTTTCCAAAATCTGTTTGCTTTAACGATATTGCACTACACGAAAATGTATCTGCCTTTTTCTTGCTAACTTACCTTGAAGCTTGAAGCGTAACAAATAGCTACAAATGTTTTCTCCTTACCTCTCCTTTCTTCATAGATAGGCCTTCTCCAGTGTAGGCATATTTCGCAACAACTTGTGGGATTTGGAATTCCTTCATGACTTTTTGCTCAACCTCTTTTTCAACAGGCTCTTCATCCTCTGTTTCAGTCTCCACTTCGATTTCATCGTACAGGATCTGCTTAGGTGAAGCCTAACAGAGAGGAGTAACTAATTAAGACCGGAGAACACGTGAACGAACAGAAGCAAAATTTCAGTTTAATAATCTTTTTTCCTAGCTAAGTTGCTATAAAAAAATTACTTATAGAAAAAATGCGGTATCTAGACATAAAGCTCTTAAGAAAATTGGCACAGCTCTCAGTACTTTTTGTGGGAAAGAGCAGCAACAACCTTTAATCGAGAAGGTTGACACACAAACAACACACAAACAAGCTTGTGTTTTCCACAAGCCGTAAAAGCAATTGATTCGAAACAAAGACCTTTCACGACAAATAGTAGCGCTAAATTAATTGCTTAAAAGCCGAAACCTTCAAACTTTTATAGATCAAAAAGAAGAAAAAGTTAATTAAATGCACCAAAGGCAATAAGATAAAAACGATGTTATATCTAAGTTTATGGCAGAAATGGTAATCAAATGTATAGATTAGGAAAAGTATTCGTTTAGTTTGAAAGACCTTATTCGAAACAGGTGCATCTTGGGCTAGGTATTTCAAGAAGCTGAAAGAACTTCAACTGAAATTTCAAATCCCTAATCATCCCATCTTCGAATTTAAGACGAACGGCTGAAAAAACAGGTACTTTTACTGCATTGAATCATTTTAAAAGCATCTTACTTAAATCAAGTCAAAAATAAAACATGCCGCAAGCCTAAGTGTTTGGAATTTCAAGGTCAGGAAGCAAACAGCCTCGTCTCAACGAAGCAAACAGCCTCAAATGCAACTTATCTCAACGAAAATTCAGGACAAGACTTTGCATTTAAAAAAAGCAGATCCTTGCTGTAATTGTGTTTCAAAATAATCGCAAACTTTCACTTAAATTTTCATCAACACTGCGAAAGATTGATAATACATTTCGTAGCACGTAAAAACCGAGTCATCATAACGAGCTACCGAAGTGACAACCTATGGATTAATTCATTTTCAAAGTTCTTCTTAGACAAAAAAATCCTTCCTTTAAACAAGACCAGATTAAAAATTAATACCTCCTAATTAGCATGTTTTCCATGCTCCTTCAAAATTTTCCATACTGCAAATCTTTCGGACTTTAATTACAAAATTGCAATGTAGAAATATCACTTATTGAAAGTATTTGTAAAAAAATTTGAACCGTTAACAGGCTTTTTGAGTAAAAACGCCATTAAAATAACTGTTTAATTTCAGTCAGATAGGCTGAATGAAAATCATAAAATACCTCTAAATGTGCAAGATTCAGTTAAATGCGTTACAAACAGGCTGAGATATGGCCACATTAACAAATGATTTTCCCCATCAAATCACCGTTACTTGGTATATGTCCAAAATTTAAAGAACTAAGCCAATATAACAGTAATACGTTAAAAAATCACAAATCTTTCATTGATGATATTTCTTTCAATCTTTACAAATTTTTAAGATTTACACTTTCAGTTTAAATTGATTGTAATATTCAGATAATATGGTCAAAAGTGAAAAAATTCTATAAAAAGATTTTTTCGGCGTAACATTCTGGGGATGCCTAATTTCTTCCTCTTTTTGTGCAGTTTTACGACAGAAGTGAAATAGAAATTATATCAGTATTTAAAATTTTTAATTCGATCTAATTCTAGTTTTTCTGCTGCTGAATAAGACCAAGAGCCTCAAAATTGTTATAAATTGTTAAAAATTTAGAACCACTGAGGCTGAGGTACTATGAAATGTAATTTCTATGATTATGAAACCTAAAAGATCTCGTAAACAAGAAGATTTTGCCATTTAGTGACGCTTTGTGGGTGACTTTTTAAATTTGTCACCAAAAAAGGATAGCTTAACAACTTTGTTGGCAAATGAGCAAAATAGCTAGCCACTGCACCGTTTACACCCTGGTAATTAAAGAACAAATAAAAAATAATCCAACCTCGAACATTTAGAAAAATTAAGAACAACCAGCCTGAATCTAGGCTTACTGGTTCTTATAAAAGAAGTGTGCATATAATCAATGTTCTAATCCATGAAATCTCAAGCCTAGAACACTGCATCAGAACCAAACCTTGGAACTAAACATGCTTGCCAACTGTCCTTTAGAATTTAAAGAAACCATGGCCAGGGATACAATAGAATACCTGCAGCCGATTGTCTACAACACCCGCGAATGGCTTGCTTAGGCGAAGAAAATCGTCAGTTTTGCATAACATTGTATTTAAAACTGAGATACCAAAAACAAGGTTTAAAATTGGAGACGAAACAGCTTCCAGACACAAAACCATTGATAAAAAAAGACCATGAAAATGCACTCCAAATGACCACCAACAAACAAAACGATTAAAACAAAGCGACGCCATAGGTCTGGGCCACCGTGTGGTTTTGGAGGCCCTGAGGCAAAACGGAAAGCCCCCCCCCTCCCGTGAGCAAAGTGAGCAGAAATTTTTTGCAAACACAGGCCAATTATTAGCATTAATATATTTCAGAACTTTTCTTGCATCTATTTTTTGCATTGTTTTTGGCACACTTTTACCATGCTTCGTTGATTCAATTCTTGAACTGGAATCCATAACTTTGAGAGGCACTCTAGACTTCGAGGCCCTAGGGCATTTGCCCCCTTGTCTACCCCCTCTCTGCAACCCTATGATAAGATGATCAATTAGTCTTTACAGTAGCAAACTGACTGGTGTGAGAAAAAGCCCTTTTGAAAAGAGAGGAGAGGCAAAATGGGCGGTGTTTGCTATTGCTCCCCTTATGACACGGTAAACCAAAAAATGTGCTCTGTATAGTAACATGCCCTTAAAAGAAGGCCCCTTTTGGCAAAAGCATGATCTTCTCACAATTTATTTTGAATTCAGTGAATGAATTGTCAAAGTCTATGATTCTATCGATATATTAACAAAATGTGTTTGGAATATTTAACTGTAAATTCAACCGATCATCATACACAGTAATCTGTCGGCCTCGTTCTGATATTAGAAGCAACTTGGTCTCATCCTAATCAACAAAGTAAGAGAGACTAAGAGAAACCTATTGATATACATTTCGACTTCCATTCTCAACATGCGCTTATGATTTTTCTACAGGTTTTGCGCGGTACTAAAGCCCTGGTCAAACGATCCAATATTTCACCCAACATTTCACCCAACATTTCCCCCAACATTTCGCCCACCATTTTTCATCGTTGTTGGAAGGTTATCAAACGTTGGTGATAAAACGAGCCAATATTTCAACCAACATTGTGTCGCGCAGATCAAAAAGAGACTCACCGCCTTCTCTTTACGTTTTCTCTGCAAGCAATGGCGGAATTTTACACTGTCAACACAGTCTTCCAGGACGAGAGCCACATCCCTAATCAAAGCCATGGACTAAATTTAACCCCCCCCCCCCCCCCCCACCCCCTATACTTTCTTGTAGCTCGTCTCAACTGACATTATGCCTCTTCTTGCGCACAGAGTTCGTTATATTCCGTTATTTTGTCCATAATTAAAGAGCAATTAATTGAAAGCAAACGTTAATGCCGAAACGAACAAAACCAACCCAAGTAGTCAACAACGTGCGATGATTGAATTCTGGCGCTCTCTAACCAACTGCGCGTGCGTAGAGCTAACGATGTTGGCTGAGATCGTCAAAACGATCCAGCACTTCACCCAACAATTCGAAACAACTAAACTGTTTATTGTAAGCAACCAACATTTTTGACCTTAGTCAAATTTCATCAAACATTGAAAATGACGATGTTGGATGACTCAACATGGTAGTCAAACGATCCAACATTTCGCCCAATGTTGGGCAAAATGTTGGGCAAAATGTTGGGTGAAATGTTGGATCGTTTGACCGGGGCTTAACAGGATAGAACCCAGTTTGGAACGGAAGCCTACTGAAATGACGTATCAAGGGTAAGAGTAAAAACTGTGATTTGGGTGGAAACGCCATAAAGTCAAGTAAAACCGCCTGTAGGAAACGTGAACCGAGGCTGTTTTCAATATTTAATGATAGAATATTTTTAATTTTTCTCATTTAATATTGATGAAACAATTGCAGTCCGGGTTTAGAGTGCTTGGCTGCATTTAATCGGCGGCGCTGTAGTTCAATCCAGGTTTTGTGGGCTGCTGAGTGCTGTCGAATAAGTTTGCAAAAAAATACAGGTGCAAAAGTGAAAAGGCGTATATTTGGTAAGTAAAATTTATACTTAGTATCTGAAGGATGGAACTCAGAAGCTTATACTTACAAAATTATTTTGAGGATTGCGGCAATATCTGAGACGACTATATTTTGCAGCGCATATTAAGGCAAGAGAGTTTTGCTAACTAATACGTAGGAAGACAAACATATTTCTGTGGCTGAAAATTCGACAAGGTCTGTGTGTTTAATAGATTGTTCTTTAAGGCAACCTTGAACCATCTTTTAGGTGTATTGCATAAACTGTAAATTGAACGAATTCATAACCAAAATAATCAAATCGATCTGTGATTAGAATTTGGTTGGGTCTAAAAAATTTTCTACCCTTTAATGGTGTGGCAAACTAACGTAGAAGCAAGAAAAACTCCTAAGGGCTCCAAAAGAACAAGCACTTAATGGCAAAGGAGTTACTGAGTGACGTATTAGGGCATCAGGCTACTCTGTTATGTTGCTGCGACCTTTTGAAAAATCATATGATGCTGCTATTGAATTGGTTTCGTTATGATGTGCAGCGTTTCAGAAACTTTTAATATGTTTATCACAAAGCTATACCAAATTTATTGAGTATATACTAATTAACAGTGCCACAGGAGTATAACGTTTCAATAATTCACAAGTTTTCCCAGCTATACGCATATGCTGTGCGTATTCATTAAAAAACGTGGACATGACCTTCCTGGTGTTGTTCTTTGAAAATATTTTTGGAAAGATTTTTGAATAGACTTTTAAAGGTGCATAGATAATGCACTTTTAGGTGTAGATTATAATTTTAATCTCTGTATTCTGATGCATTTAAATAGTGTGGAACGTAATTTTCCTCTGAAAATGTATCAACATAGTGCAGACTCCAATTCTCTTATGATGGTCCATTGAGAAATTTTGCAGCAGATGTTCCAGACATCTAATGTTAATTATCACTTTGGACGGCATTTCGCTAACGTTGCTTCTTAGTAGTAATTGTTTCACGAAAATACAAACAAAAACGGTGTAGGGGTGTTTTTGGCAGGAATCATACTTCTATTTATTCTATCAAAAGATCTAAGTACCTAAAGCCAACAAGGAAACATGTTGAAACATTGAAAAAAGAAACAAAGTAACATCTGTCTTCAAAGGATTTGCTGGGTAAATAGCGACCCTGAAAAAGCCACGTGCTTCTCAAAACTACTTGTAGGCTAAAGCTTCTTCAAACAGTTTTAATTGAAAACTTTGCAATCAAAGCACTTGCAGATTCATACTCCGGATAAAGACCTGCAATAAAGTTTTGTTTGAAAAGAAGCCTCAAAGCAATCAGCTTGAATAATCATTTGTATTAAAGTAACCACCTTGTACAAAGACTTCATAGGAAACAAATGTCTGGCTTCAACCATCCAGGGCCGCAAAGAGGATTTTGATATGCCTGTAAGCAAAATTCAACATCAAACCTATCCACATTCGCCTGCCGCCTCACAATGGTCACCGTTGTGTAAGCTTTAACTAGTTATAGATAATAACAAAGCAATTGATAAATTTGAATTGTTCCAGGTTTCTAGATTTTTGAAACACGATTCATGGAAAAATGAGTAGAACTACGATGTTTCAAATCCCAAGAACAGCATGGGACATGGGAGGAGTCGATACAAAAATATCAAAATTAATGTTTGGCTAAAGTCATTTCTTCTTGGTTTTCAATTGCAACATCTCTTGTAATTTTGTGATCATCACGCATGATGACCGGTCTTGGCTCACAGCGAACTGCAGTTCTTCATCAATTTTTAAATGTCGCAAATTGCTTTTGCAGTCTTTTCTCTTAATTCTTCTAAAAATACTTCAATGTGAGAGATCTCTCGAAGAAATTCCATTCTTAGTCATATGTCAGCTGTCCCATGACAGGATTTTCGGGCGTTCCATCAGCTATTAAGACGCTTTTTGGTTTACAACGCAATAAATCGTTCTGCGTTTGCAAGGACAAATAATGTGCTTACAATCTTCGCTAGCGCGTTTGCCAGGACAAGTTATGTGCTTAAAATCTTCGTAAGTGTGTTTGCCGGGACAAGTTATGTGCTTACAATCTTCGTTCTGCGTTTGCCAGGACAAATAATTTGCTTAAAATCTTCGCCGTATTGTCTGATGTGCTATTACTTGGTGAAGACCTTGCCATTTTCTGCTTAACTTACTTGCTTGCTTAAACCTCTTAGTGCTAAATTTCTATTTTTGAGAAAAAGTAAAGTGTCCAGCCAACACTATGAAGGCGGAAACTAAGAAGTCAATATTATTCTCCGTCGATTTTCTCTACGCTCAGTTTTTGCTGGTAATAATTTTCATTCCCCGTTTCTTTTCTTTTGCCATTAACAAATATTTCAAGCTAATTTACCTATTCGTATTGGCAACACTCTGCTCGTGAGTTTTAATCTGGTAGTAAATCTACCTCCATTTGTCATTATGGCCTAGATGTGGATGACTGAACAGCGCACATGCTATAGACCCAACAAAGAGACAACCAAAAAAACAGCAGCATCTTTCAGTAGTTTCACTCGAGACTGACCAATTTCTTCCAAATGACTACCCACTTGATATGTTTTAAGAAAATAGGCTTGTTTGAAAAGGCTACCTTAACTGCCTTTTGGAAACAGCAACTCATCTCTTTCATCTTTCCGTAATAGTTTTTATTTACTGATGTCTTCAGAAATAGCTTGCTCGTGTGCTTTTATATCATTTTGAAAATGTTTGATACTATCATATACTGACAAATTACTATTACTATGCTCAGCTTCCAAAGTCTATTCAAGTCATGTTCTGCTGTTAACAGTAGGCAAGACAGCATTTTCTTTAGTCCATGATTTCTCTAGTCTTTTGAATAAATCAAACTACACTCAATTTTTTTAAAAGAAACAAAGGTCGATGTTGAGTACTCCAGTTTCTTGATATTCTGGAAATTTCAATACTCGTTGTTTTTTAAGAGTTTCTTAATTATGATGTCATGAATGATGTCATGAAATGTTCGTGACCTTTTTTATCACGACAAGAGATTCGTTCCCTTCTGATGCTGTATTAAGATGTGGGAAGTATATTTTTATCCCTTGTGTCTTAAATTCTAGGCCAACAGGGCAATCATGTTCTTTGATTTTACAAAATTTTGTTTTTCTCAGTTCTATCACGATTAAATAGTTTCTTAATTTTTTTGCTTCGAGGAATGAAGTTTCTTAATTTTTTTCTGACTGTCCAGTACTCGTTTCTTATAGCCAGTTTCTTATAAAAAAATGAGTGTAGTCCAACGATTGCCTTCCTTTCGACTAATTTAGCGGTTGTGTTTTATTAAAACGTTGATTTAATATCCTGTTGAAACTATTCTAGTTTTGAACGCCCGGAAAACATAAGGCCGGGTTACACGATCACTTTTTACCATCACTTTTTTCGATATTGGACCAACATGCTAAAAAATGATCGTGTAACATACTAAAATTGTCCATTTTCGCTGCAAAATTTAATGCGCTTATCTGCTGTTAATCCTCTATCATTGGAAATTTTACTCTGAACGAAATCAGAGTAAAATCGAGTTCATCACTTTTTTCAAAGGCGCCGACAAATTCTTACGTCACATGATGTTTTGATGAGAAGGGAACGGCCTAGAGTTTCGAGAAAAGAAGAAAAAGACGCGAATTGTGCTCAGAAACAAAATTAATAGGAGAAATCGAAAATGAATAATGATTTGGGGTAAATCGAGGGGCAGCCAATTACAGAAGAAAAAATGCAGTTTAATAAAATACACTCATTTTTTATAAGAAACCGTCTTCCAAAACTGTCGACAAGTATTCCAAAACTGCTAAAGAATTTTAAAGGCCTCTATGGCCCTGCTCCATTTGTCCAAATCCGTTCCCCTTTCTTTGCGGTACTTGACATGGCTCCCACACTCGCAATAACGACAAAGACGCGCTGGTTTTTTCAGCAAGCTTCAACAAGGTATCAATTAGCCTTTGATAGCTATATTGTAGATACTAACTTCAAACGAAGGAGTGAAAAAAATCTCCAAGACGCTATTTTGAAGCTATTAGATCAAATCCTTACATGCTACCGAATGAATGCAGGCATACACGTGATTGATGAAAGTTCGGAACGTCGTATAACGGAAAACGAAGTGGTTTGAAAACAGCAGATTCTTCTATTCCGACCACAAGAGACAACAGAGTCTGCCAGGAATCTTATGCCAGGATAGCAAACAAAACAGCACTCTAGACTAGCTTTTCAGTAATAACAACAGGAAAAGAAACTCAGTACTGGGGATACTGAGGAGTTACGATACCCTCTGCTAATCACTGCTAATTTTCCGTTTTATTAATGCTTTCCGACCCAAAATTTTTAAGAAACTTCAAGAAACCTTGATAAAATAGATTGCAAAGAAATTAAGAAGCATTCAGCGCAGAAAAGGCAGTAGCTGCTAGCACCATTACTTTGGCTTTCTCTTAGCAGCTCCAAAATTCACTTCAGAGCCACTTAAAACAACTAAGCGCTTCCAATTTTTCAAATAAAGCCTGACCTATGAGGTAACCCTTCATTCCTTACAAAACTATTGACACGAGTTCAAATTGTTAAAAAGAAATAACTTCTACAACTAATATTGCCAAACGAGGAAGTTCTTGCAAAATCCATGCTTGAATCTAAAAGGCCCGTCGACTAAACTCTTTTTTCTTATAAGAACAATTTCATTAGAACACGAGCCTCAAAACTGGTCAAAAGTTAAGAACAAATTAAGAAAAAGCTGAGGCTGAGCTTTTGCAAAATGCAATTTTGAACAACACTTTTTCTCAAAATCGAGGATTTTTAGTGGGTGCTTTTTCGGTGAATATTCAAATTTGTCAGCAAATTAAGGCTGTCTCACTCACTTTGTTGGCAAATGAGGCCTGAACACCTCCTTAGAGCGAAAAAGCTAGAAATCGCACTGCTTACACCCTCTTAATTTAAGAACAAATTAAGAACAATCCAGCCTCAGATTTTCGAAAAAATTAAGAACAGTCAGCCTGAACTTAAATTTACTTGTTCTTATAAAAAAAGAGTGTAGTTCGCTTGTTACCAGCAATGCGAATTTCAATATGACACTTTGCAGAATACGCAGGGTTAAACAGGCCAATTTCCCCTTAGTCCTTTAAATCCTAAGCTATTTTGTCATAATGTGAACTACCAATGCCAAATACAAAGTGCCCATAAGAAATGTTTATTTACAAATCGGTAGGCATCATTCAGTCACCAGGGGATAATGCTTACTAGCAAGGGAGACGAATTTCGAGTTTTCGTTGTTTAGGTCGATTCTTTGTGATTTTTCTGAACCAATGAGAAAGGTGCATCATACGCACATGCGCAAAATGGCATAGAGCTGCACAGCATTTAATCCAAACTATCATTCTGTTTATATTTCATGATTGCATATCAAACAAACCATGGTCTTATTCTCACCACACACAAGAGATCATGCGATTCAAGTTCTCTTTGCATGCAGCTGGTAAAAAATACGCCATCGATTACTTTTGCGCGTGTGAGTGGGCTGATAACATTTTACAATCCATAGACCTTCTGGCAAATGCTAGTTCGTCTGTCGAGCAATTATAGAGAATTTTCTTACCTCTTTAATGTTTTGATCCGTCTTGTTATCTGTCTCTTCAATCTGTTTGCATTCATCTTGAAGCATAACCATGTCTTCATTAAATGCGATTATTTCTTCTGTAATTTGTTTGTGGCGTTGCATAAGAGACTGAAATTCAACAGTAAATAAACTATCATTAACAGTGAGGTGGATCTCAGAGAATAGTGTTTAAGAACAGCATTGGCTACCATCCTTGCCAAAGGTCCTTGAAACATTCTGCGGTCAATGGAAGATTTTGATGAAATTAAAGTTTCCGGCTGTAAGATACAATAATATCCCCCCTCAAAACAATGTTGGTTGAAAAGCCTTTTTCTTACCTTTTTCTTACCCTAGCTGAAAGAGTTACATTGGTTGAATGTTCTTAATTGTTCTTATTCGACATTGGTTCAAGGAGAAGAGGGTGGGGGGTGCTTCTGAATACATGCAGAATTTTTGGCGTAGTGTACCAAGAATTTTGGCAAGCATTGTATTCACTTTTGTAGAAAACAAGCAAAAGATAGACGATTATTAATTTGAAGCTGGTTAAAAACTAAGATTGAATCGTTCTTCGAATCTATAATGCGAATTTTAAGCCAAAGTGGTAAAATTTTTGTTCAAGAGTTTTTGCCTAAGCCAATAACGAAAATTGTCAATAGATACTAGAGACGTACATACATGTTCTATGTGGAAATTAATAATGTGATTATAACATTGCGTACATTCGTGTTTAATCCCTTACACTTCCAAGTTAATTACACTCGATAAACTATTTGGATGTTAATAGCTTAGGATTAAGACTCAAGGAAACAGCTTTTCTGGAATAATCATGACATACAGCACTATGCATACAGTAACCTGGATGAAAGACGTGTAAACTCGTATCTTTATAGGAAAAATACTTTTTAATAATTTTGGATATGTGTTTCTTCCTTTAATCTCAAATTACTAACATTACCGAAACTTTGTAAAAAAATTAGATCATTCATTAAGTTTTAGTATTTTCTCCAAATTGTCATCCTATTTTAATTTGGTTTATTCTCGAACGTGTTTTCAACATTCGCTCTCAAAATCAACACAAACGGATTTAGTGCATGATAAATTCATTCTAACGATACTTTGTCGATTCAAAGATTGGATACATTTCAGACCTAGCTAAGATTTGCTTATAGTGCCGGAAAAGATAAAAGTAAGATAAGTAGACACGAATGAAGAAAGCATTCAATCTGTCAGAATATTTTCTGTTCTTATAAATCAAATTTCAAAAAAATTCTGCGTTTGGAAGTTATACGCATTTTTTTAAAAGGAACCACTTTTATAAGGAACCTGCATGTAGAAGGATGAAATATTTAAAGAACTTATACTACTAAAAACGAAATCCCTAAGGAACTTTTCAATTAGTCAAATTTTTATAACTGCAAGCATCAAGAACCAAAAAGCCGGTTCCATTCATTTGCAGCCATACTCGCATAGATTGTTTGCTATTTTTGTGTCAAATACTTCATTAAGTAGTTTCCGCATATGCTGTCTCGCCCCTCTCTCTATAAAATGTTAATTTGATGATTTGAGGTCTACGGATAAGGAACTTTTGGAACTAGGCCATGAGGTAGTTTCCTTATAAAAAGCGTGTATTTGTCTCTTTAGTGCGCGCTAGCAACTCTATCCTGTGAGCGCTAGGAACTCAAAATTTCTCTTTTTGAGCAAATTGTTATTTCAGTTTCCTTTATAATTACCTATCTCTTCTAGCCAAACTGTCTTTCAATGATTTAAACAAACTGTTTTATTCTATTACCCAAGGGATGCGTTCAGTAAGAATGTTACGCTAAATATAAGTGTTGGACAGCGATGTAAAGCTATGGTGCTTAATGGGGCTGAGCCCCTAAATGCCGAATGGTAGTCCTTCTTCGAGCAACATACTTCTGGTAATGAGTGATAAAACTAACATATGGTGATTCCCATTCCAGGAGATTAAAATACCGTTTAATATTGACCATAAATCAATAAGGGTATTCTTTTAAAAAACTCATAGTTTAGCATTTGCGTGCACCAGTTTGAATGAGACGGGAATAACTAACACGTGACTGCGGTCTAAACTCTTATTGTATAAGAACACACCTTGTCAGAACACCTAGGCTCGATTAGCCAAAAAAAAAGAAAGTCGCAAGAACATTCCCAGCCTCCGATGAAAATTAGGAAGAATAAATAATGTGTTTTTTAAAGAAACAAAATAGACTTTATCACCGAAACCAACTAAAAATATCTTACTATCTAGTGGACTTGGAACGACTGATAGTATGAAGTTGTGGAAAAATCGACGTTGGAAAGAAACAATATTAAGAATAGAACACCCGAGCTTCAATTCATCTAGAAAATAAGCATATCGAGACTAAGCAGAAATTATATTGATCTCATAAAAAGGTTTATCATAGTTGCTTGGATGGTTAAATCTGGTTATGCGTATCCTTGGTAAGCCATAACAAGAAAAAACATTCCCAAAAAGTTCGTGATACACTTTGTTTTATCCAGTTCTAAACAAATATAATCTCATTCTTATCTCAGCGAGCTTGTTTCAATACTAAATATTCGAAAACCATCTGATCTCCCTAAAACATGCTGTCTTAAGCGGCAATCTATTGATACAAACAGAATATAGTCAGCTGGATAGCGCAGCTTTCCGAAATCAATACAATTGACGTGAAAAGGCAAATATAATAAAAGGTATGTAGCTTGACGATTCGAATCTTCTTACCCTCGTTTGGCAAACATTTCCTCGAGTTTCAATTACATGCCGAGTGTTGGAACCAGTTGAGATTAAAGGTATGATACCAAAGTATATTGCTTTTGATACGAAATTGTTATTTAACGCCCTGAATTTTTTGTGGGGATGCATTGTCGACATCGTAAGGGCTGTTGCGTATAGTACTCCATCCAAAATAACGATAATATAGTTAACAAATAAATTGAGTACCAGAATGAAAATAAAATAGTTTGATTGTTAAAAACACAACATTAACATTGTATTTTATTTTCATGATTATTTGCCAATGTTTGATGTTTATATTGTTTTGATAATTCGGAGTTTAGGTGTAGATTGTTCTTATTTTAACATTGATTTTTCTACATTTACATACAATAAATTGCTTTTATGCATGACATTTTTAATACACGGTTGATTACCGGACAAAATCTCCTCTTTTTGGTTAATATTATGGACAATTAAATAAAAATCTATTTTTTTATTCGATCTCACGCTGGACAGGTCTTACGTTGCTCTTAATTTTCCTGGGAATCGAGTCTTGTGTTTTTATAAAACGTGTAAAAGTGTATACGTTGTATAAGCGGAAGACCAAGAGCTGGTTGTGCAAACGTGGCAAAAGTGCCCAAAAGTGGCTCTAGCACTTTGCTATAAATTCTGCAGATCATTCGCAAATGGGAAAAAGTCCAATGCCTAGTCTCTTTCGTTCTCGAATAACATTTGATCCTCTTCAGTTTCCATTTTCAATGCTTCGCACAGCAAGTATATCTAATCTTCTAAAATGGATAGGAATGCATTGGGTAGAGACACAGTATTCTGTGGCATCGGGATGGTCATGTTTTTATGTTTACTTATATAAAAAGGCATAAATTAGCACAGTTGTTCTACTAAAATGAAGCAAAAGAGGGTTCTCTTCAATAGCGAAAGGGTGTGGTCGTAAATGCTATCCGAGAGCTACGCCCATTTTCCAGTCAATCTGCGACGTCTGCCACTGCTTACTATCTTAGAACAAATGGAGACTAAACTTTTGGTAATAGGCACCAGGCATCGCGGGGCGTTGAGAAAGGCGGGGGTCTATCAAAATGGGGGGGGGGCTAAAACCAAAAAAGGCTTGACTGGTGGTTCATTTCATACTTGTTTTGCATTTTTGGCAAGATTGGGAGGCTCTAACCCCTACCCCCTTCCCCTTCTCGGCGGTGCCTGTGTACGACGATAGCATTTGAGTTGTCTCAGTTTGGCGTTTCATTCATCCCTGATGCCTTTGGTGTTCTCTGATAAATATGTTTGATAAATTTCCATTTTCGATACGATTATTTTAGAAAGAAGCAGTTCTAAGAGCGCAAACATGTATCCTTAAGTTGGTGCCTATCGTTTTGTCTATGTTATGTTAGACAAAAGTTGAAAATTATCTTTCAGTCTCAAACATTTTAACAAAAACTGAAAAAAAGATTTGGATATAATCTAGTCTCGTGAAAGTTCATTTTGTCTATATTTGTTTCTTTCTGACATATCGATAGCGATTGCTGGCAAGGAATCTCCAAATCAGTTTTTCTATTAATGTTTCCAACGTTTTTAAATAAGATTAAAGGAAAGTTTTCCATCAAATGCTCATCGTTAACAAACCAATAGCCTCAATACAAAAAAGAATAATTCGTAAACAAACAAAAAGCAATACATGCGGTAAAGATTGATTAAACAAGAGTAAGCAATAACGGAAACAAAGGAACTTTACATGCAAAACAGGTACCTCTGCCACACCACCAGGAAATAAAGCAATAAGAAAGGGTACATTGTTTCCCAACTGGTAGTTTAAAACAAGATCATCAAGGATGAATATGAAAAAGGTATGATAAACTATGTCAACATTGATGTTAAGATAACAAGGGGAATATTTTGAGAACGCTAATAAAAGGCAAACATTAGTTAGTCATTAGGTGAAAGTCAGGTAAGATTCGTATTTCACAATGTCGGGAAAAACTTGCGCTTGCAATAAAAGTAATCAGTAACTACTATATCACTTAAGTCGCAAATGTTGCAAGCATTGTAAATTGTTGTCAATATAAGCTGGTTAACTAATAGGTTATAATTGTGCGTCTTTCCCAAAGATACTGGACTACTTAGAAGCATCGATATTTACATTGCGTCCCCGACGGTCTGGTATTGACTGGATATTTCGCAAATATCGACATCATGTTTTTGAGTGACTAAGATTAGAAGGCTCTCGCTGCGTTAATTTTTAGATCAGCTTCAACAAGAGCAGACAACCAAATACTTAAGATTGAATCGAAACATAAACCAATCCATTTTAAAAGATTGCCTATCAACCAAAGTTGACAATTTAGCAGATTTTAAAGACATCTTTGGATCTGGCTTCTGCCAATATAATCCTTCATATTTAGGTTGTCACAATTAAGGATGTCAAAAATCGTTATCAGTGGGTTAATCCAAATCGATAGACCTTTGAGGGGATTAGCAGGTCTCAAACTACAAGCAGATAAAATGACAACCAGGGCAGTTAAACAAGATTTGACTGATTTTGCCACAGAAGAGCTATTACGGGGCCTAGTAGGATGCAAAATCACACAGAATTATGAATAATGTATTTTCACTTAATCAAATCAAACCTCCCTTTATACGCCTTGATACACAAATGAGATTGTCATTGACGTCATTGATGATTAGAGGTGCATTATGGGAGATTCGCACACCGAGTTTCACTCAAATTCATACAAATATGAAACCTTCCAAAACATGTTTTGCAAAAAGGAAACGTCCTGTTAGAAAAGAAGTCGCAAAACGGACATTCAAAACAATTCGAGAACGACCCCTTGCCTGCATCTTCATTTTCTTTTAAAAATTGAAATTAATAACATGTTTATAGGTACATGTTTTTGATTGCACATCACACTTAAAGTTTTTTGCCAGACTCTCCTTGTAATTTGGAATATCAATGAAAGAACAATAAAAGAGTCGATCGAATCAAAGGTACAAATATAGGGACTTCATATTCGCTTCGTTTTATACTCAGATAAATAGAGATTTAAGGTAAATCTTCACCGCTCAGTGCAACCGTAGAGTTCTTTACCACTATAAAAATTGATAACATGGAGACCGCTGAGGATCTTGTTTGGAATAGGGTCGTTTCCAAAGGTAGAAAATAACAGCGGATATGCAATCGAGATGTTTTCTCCATGAGAACAAGAATAACCATGAGTAAATAACTTTGTTAGTTCTAGCTAAAGGCACCAACACAGGAGAAGTATAGGGGGGGGGGGCACTCTCCTCCATTAATTTAGCTACTCATCCTTTAATAATTTTAAAGCTTCTCCTTTAAGAATTCTATCACCTATTGCATTTGTGTTGTTTTATAGTTTTATATTGTAAAACCTCTATAATTAGTTATATTTATTGTTTTTTTGGTTGAAGCTGACTGTAGTTAGTGGAATTTAATAAATGAAATGAAATGAAGACGTATGTTACCTCAGGAAAGAAGTGAAATTTAAGTGAGATTATATTATATGTTGTCTGATTGGTTTATGATAGAAATTTTGCAAAGAAATCCTCTTAACGTGGAGGCTAAATGGCTTTGGAGCATTAAGAAAAATTAAGAAAAATTATGAAAAATTATGATCAAAGTATGACTAGAGATCTATTATTCTGCTGTTCCAATAAAGACGTTTAAATTAACCCACAAATTATCGCCACTCCTCATATTCAAAGACTCCATCTGCAAATGATTTACAAAGCGTTAGGGGTTGGCAAAAACTTGAGACAACAAATGATAAAAAAGTAAAACAGACTAACTTTCGCTGTTTCTTTATCCTTTCCAAAATCCTCGCTTGCCAGCAACTGCATTCGCTCATCAATCCAAGATTCTACCTCGTTAGCATCCGAATAATACTGTAAACGAGGCCAATTGTTAGTTAAAATTTACCAATAAAGTCAAACTATAAGAAACCACTCTTTTAAACAAACAAACAAACAAACAAACAAACAAACAAACAAACAAACAAACAAACGAACGAACGATACAAGTCCAGATATTGTCAAGTTTACAGAACCATTTAGGGGAATTGAGTAGCAAAACATATTCAAATTTCAAGAGAACACCCGATACAACATAAGAATCGTGATGTTTATTTAGAACATGTCTTTATTTATTTTATCATTTTATTTAAATCTTCAAAATCTCGAGCATTTTCAAAGTCTCGACACATGATTTCTAGATTGTCATTGGTATTATCTGTAGGAGCTTCAGTTCTTGCCAATTCAGTACTGCTAGGATGCAGACATTTTGAGAATATAAACAACTTGGGATGGGGCACTACTCAAAAAGGAATCATTTTCCAAAGCAAAGCTTTTATTGGCAGGCCATTCGCACTTGGTAAGATTAACTTGAAAATATCAGCAATAATAAAACTTGAAAATATTAGCAATAATAAAAGTTGAAAATATTAGCAATAATAAAACTTGAAAATATTAGCAATAATAGAACTTGTAAATATCAGCAATCATAGAATAGCAAAGAATCACCGGAAAGCAAAAAAGCATAAGATCACAATAAAAAGGTATCGTGTAACGCTGGTTTGCATATAACTTTTAAGCATATCAATTCTAAAATGGAATAGACTATTTTTACTGAAGGGTCCCTTGGAATAACACCAATATTAAGTTATTAGTTGACGCTGCATTGAACGTTTGTTCTCCTTAGCCTCATTTAATAACGTTTACTAAATATATGCCAATTTATTTAACAGAGAAGAGATGATAAGATACGATCGCTATTCCTAAATAAAATACAGAAAACTTTGGCGGGACAGAACTTGAAAATGGCTTTGAAACATTTCCCAACATACACTCTTTTTTTATAAGAACCAGTAAATTTAATTTCAGGCTGACTGTTCTTAATTTTTTCGAAAATCTGAGGCTGGATTGTTCTTAATTTGTTCTTAAATTAAGAGGGTGTAAGCAGTGCTATTGCTAGCTTTTTCGCTCTTGGGAAGTGTTCAGGCCTCATTTGCCAACAAAGTGAGTGAGACAGCCTTAATTTTCTGACAAATTTGAATATTCACCGAAAAAGCACCCACAAATCGCTAAAAATCCTCGATTTTGAGAAAAACGTTGTTCAAAATTGCATTTTGCAGAAGCTCAGCCTCAGCTTGTTCTTAATTTGTTCCTAACTTTTGACCAGTTTTGAGGCTCGTGTTCTTATAAAATGTTCTTATAAAAAAAAGAGTGAACTACTGAAAGCTTTTTCGTCTGACACTACTCAGAGGATAAAAATTCATTACTAAGCATTACAAGTAAATTTGCATTAAATTCCATTGTTGCTTTATTCACATGGGAAAGAGTAATATCCAACGAATTTGAATGTCAAAAAATCTACAAAGGAAGTTTAAGCAATAAAGGAAACTTTAGTCGTAGAAAAACGAACCTGAAAAGATTGCGAGGCTTCCACCAATCTCTCCGCTCTTATCCACGCCAGCGATTTCAAATTTTCAACATTTGCTTGCAGTCCATCGATAATGGATTGTATGTCGTCTGAGGAAGAGTTCTTTGCAGATATCATCTTAAAACCAACTTGGCAAACGGCATCGCACCTCGTCTCACAGGCATCTATTTCAGCTTCTAGTCCCTGAGAAAAATAGTCTTCGGTAAGAAGCAGCTCTAACAGTCCGTAAGAGACCAAAATGTCAATTTATGAGTCGGAAGTCAACCTGCCCAATTCCGGGGCGTCACTTCATACATGGGGGGGGGGGGGGGTTGGCAGTTGGCTGCATATTTGCCCTGCAGAAAAAATTTGAGTCAAAGCAAATTTAGATCCAAATATGCAAAACTATTTCATCAAATTTTGACCCAAATAGCTTCGTTTACAGTGTCTTAGTTTTCTGGCATGCAATGCTTGTTCTTTTAGTATGGTTTTTAAATGAGACACAAATATCAACATAAGGCGTAACCATAGAAATCGATGTAACACTTAAGGTGAAAGGAAATTAGAATTAATTTAGAAATCTATTCCATCCAGCCCAAGATCAAGCTGGCCATTTCTACTTCGTGTCACCTTTCTTGTTACAGCTATATAAGAATAACAACAAAACAGACCCGTTGGTAGAAAACATTTGCCCTGCAAAAATCAGTTTTGCCCTGCGAAAAGGTCCTATTTTTCGTGGTTGGGGGGGACCACCACGCCCCCATACCCCCCTCAAGTGACGCCCCTGGCCCAACTAACTGTGAATTTGTACCCGATAGTAGTACAAAGGCGGCTACTGTCAGCGGGGGAAGAAGCCGATCATCCTACCTTGGCATGCATTAACCCTCTCAAATAATAGTCCTCTCAAAAAAGGACCATTCTAGTGACAACAAAAAGTGCCAATTTCTCTAGTGAAATGAAGGTTTGCATCACGTATCAGGTTAGGCTGCGTCAATTTCCGAGTCATCATCTAAATGAATGCTCTGCTTAACATTGGCAAGTTGATGAGGAAAAATAAGTACTCTTATTTTCAGGAGAATTTTTAGACTAGAAGTTACAGACATCTTCTTAGATAAGAATAATATTTAGAAAGGAACTTTTCCTATGAATTTGCGATTCCTTCTTACCAATATAAACGACAAATCAGACCACGTTTTGCTTTTAAAATGTCTGAGATATCCTAACAGTCACTTTCGTTTCTCTTAGTACATTTTCCCAATCCTGTCTGTTCTTACTTATCCTGACATTTAATTGCTACAGATAACCAATTGAATACACCTTATCAGAAAACACATTTAAAATGTAAACTTTAAAGAAATGGATATACGATTATATATGATGCAGATCACTTTATTGTACTCTGCCTTGCGTATTATCTGCAACACTTTAGAGGAACAATGTATGAAAAATCAATAATCTAAAAATTATATACAACAAAACCTTTTCTATTTTGCCCAACGATTGCATTGAAGAAAAATCTCTATGGAAATAAAAATGTCTCCGTAACAGCTTCCAGATGTTCGGTTCTTTTGTTTCAAAGTAAGGTAAGCCGATCAAAGAGAAATGATATAAAATAAAAAGCTTTTACTTAAGAAGTATGTAGCAAGCGTCTAAATTTGTCGTAAGAAGTAAGTAGCTGGCGTCTAATGCTGTCAGAAAACGGGCGTGTTCCCGCAAATCAATAACTAGCAATACCAAAATACAGCATCTTACTTTATTTAATCCGATAAAACAATTTGTCTGGGAAGCGATAGTTGCTTAAAGTATTTGTGCAAAAATAAGATAAGAGAACAAAAAATTATGAGCCGTTGAGGATATCATTTGCTGTGGGATTATCTTTAGTTAGTTGAAAATAGACGCTAAATCTAAATTTGTTGGTTGTTAACTTCAAAGATAGACTGTACTTTGATTGTTATACTGCACATTTATTGAATAATAGGCTTGATCGATATCCAGAGATTTTTGCATGTTGCAATAGCACGCTTTAATCTTTTCTTGAAATTTTCCTTCATGCTGAAATGAATTAAGAGACTCCAACTGGAGAAACTAAGAAACTAAATTAAAGAAATAGATCTACTAGTCCATAACTCAATAGCCAATTATTCAGAATTGAAAGCCAGAGATCATTGAACCAAGAAGTGAGGCAGGCCAATACTGTGTTCTTGAAGGGATAAACAAAGATTTGCAGACAGAAAAATGACATGCATGGTAATTTGCCTGAGCATCTAACCTCTAATGGTAACTTTACAGCACATAAACAATCTTACATTCAGAAACGGTTCTTCAATTTAACAGCTTAATTTTTTAAAAGCAGGCAAAAGAGGTATATCAAAAACTTGATAACAAAACTATTATGTTTTACTTAGCGTTACAAGATTATTTCAATTGGAAGTACGATGTACGTAATATCAGATAGTTGTGAAACAATGGATGTTCACCAGTCAGTCAAGGGTGACGTTCCTCAGAATCGCCTACACTTTGGCAGCCGCATAAGTGAGACGCGTATATCGTTAGTACTCAGAATGATAAGAATCGGATTGATGATGTCTGAAAACGAAGCAAGGGTTATTGCAATGATATTTCGTCGAAGCCAGCCAGTGGAAAGAATCTCAAAATGGAAAAGTGTGGTCAATGATAAAGGCGTGTAACAACAAAATATCAGCATCATCGCAACAGTAAGAAGGCGAATACCGCGCGAAGATCGGAGCAAACATTTCCGGCTGAGCGAATTGCTAAACCGCGCGCTTGTAGATCTAATTTCCCGTTCTATCTTGAAAACTGCGTAAATAATTCGCGCGGTGAGAGTGAGAATAAAAATTACCAGCGCAATATTATTTGCCGCGAGTGCGAACAAAACTGTCTCAGAATCTACGTCTGGAATAAAAGTTAAGCTACCGACAGTACAAGGAATCATCCACGAAAAACCTATACCAATAGCTATGTTCCGCCTTGTAAGGTACCGGGGGTATCTATATGGATAAAATATCGCAACATAACGCTCAAAGGTGAGACAGCATAACGCGTACACCGAAAGCGCAATAGTTGTGTGGCCAACATACATTCCAGACTTGCATAAATCATTCGACAGCGTTATTACGTTTGAGGCAAAGATTAATCGTCCGGTGAAAGTGAAGGAAAGATCGACGACGCACATGTTAAATATCATCGCGTTTGCCTTAGTTCGTAAACAGCGTTTGGTAGAAATGAGGAACATGATGACTCCGTTTAGACAAATAGATATTGGTATAATTGATAGATGAAGGCCCGCAATGAAATAGGTCTCAACAGGCAATGCAGATTTAAGCATGCTGTTTGACACTGCACAAGTATCTTTGCCCATTTCGATGCCAGTTGAAAGTCTCAAAGACCTCAGTCTTGCATAGAGATCTGCATGAATTGATTGGGTCTGAACAGCTTTGAAGTAGCTAGCAGTATAAATACATTTAACAGTGAGTCTCGGTAGCGATATTCTAGTGAGCAAAGGAATGGCCCATAGAAATATGGTCAATGCTGTAGCTTCCAAATTTACAAAGGTATATGTCCATCGATGGAGCCTCCAGAGGCTAAACTGGTACCATGCAAACGGTCAAATTTACGCACTTCTTCTAGTGCAAAAGAATTTAGCTGTATTTTTGATAGTCAATTGATTTGAAATTTCAGCAAATCACAGAGACGGTGTTGGGTCCAATCTTCTTTGGAGCTTGATTACTCCGCGTAACCGAGAGCGCGTTTTCTTCTACATAAGCAGATAAGAGTTTCGCGTTTCATCCAAGGAATCCTCGTCTATTTCTCTCATTCATCCAAGTCTGCTCATTCAATATATCTCGACAATTCACATCTCCTTCCGTCATAAATCGTTATCCAAAGCAAGATTTGCGGAGCAAATGCTCATGTCAACTGCAAATTGGTCACTTTAAATTTGATTTACAAGCCAGGTACAAGTTTTGTCTGTATAAGCAATCAGATTTTAAGATTTTGCAAGTCTGTGAAAGAGCATTTTTCCGTTGCAAAAAACATTGAAATGATCGTCAACGATTCAATGCAGAGGGGTCGCAAGAAAAGCCCAAGAGTGTACATTTCTTAAGACAACAGTATTTTTCAATTTAGAGGTAGAGATGGTTAATGGGGATAAAAATTAATTAATTTGCATACAAAAATCGATTCTCCTCAAGCCGATGTAAACAAACTTGCCTTCTTTTTACCGAAGCTCATTAGTGCCAAGCACACAAACAACGGCAGAATTCTTCCTATAAAATAGTTAATCGTAATGAATTTGCTGAAATACTTATGAATAACCTGAAGTTTTGACCATACGGAAACGGGCTTCTACTATTTGAAAAAAAATCAAGCATGTAATTAATTATCAACTTAGCCGGGTATTTGACAAGTACACATGCGCAAGTAAATTTCCGGGTGTCCGCTGGGGAGATGAGCGAGCGAAAATCTTCAAATGAATGAGGCAACCCTCCGTCCTGGAGCCAGAGGGCATGCGTAATAATAACTTCGTTCCGTGTGCATGCTCTTTGACACCAGGACGGAGGGTTGCTAAACTCGTTAAAAAACTTTATCTTGCTCGTCTCCCCAACAAGTGTATAAATAGACAAACTCCATGAGCCTCTGTCTCGCCATTGCCTCCCTTCAAGGGGACTACAACAGATCAATTCAACAAAATAGCGGAATTTGTAGCTCATGGGGTAAGTGTAGTGGTCTAGTAACACAGAGCATTGTAACTGCAGGAGATTATCTAGACACGAACATTCGGGACGAAGAATCTCCAGTCCATTTTAAACACAAACAAAGTCTTTATAATGGATTGGAATTAAACAGTTTTGAACACGGTTTGAACACGGATATAATCCTTATAAAAACAAGGCCCAGTTGCTATCTGTCTAGCATTATACCCATGGGTAGGATCCGTTTACATAGGCCCTCGCCTCAATTTTTTCCTACGGGCCTCCTTTGGAACAAAAGTTGAGAAGGCGAGTTGAACCCGCCACGGCCTGACATCCTTGCAATCCTTGACACATTACCTGAGTTCGAGTGAAACTCTGGAACCCGCAAGCTACTAATTAATCCAATTTGCAATAATAACCCACATTTAAAACAATCTTTTTACAGTTATATGGCAAAAAGAACCCGCCTGGCCAGGGTTGTATCGGTTTGCT